TGTACCAACGTGAGCTATACGGAGAAGCTAATGGCATTTATATGTTTGAAAAGCTAAAGAAATATCACATTAAATCTTTTTGCCCTGAGAATTTTCCCGGACCCACGTACGTCCAGTGTTATTAACTGCAACATTGTGGATATTACCAGTTTCATAGCAATAGGTAAATCAACAAGTAAATACAGACTCGAATGCATCTTCGCATTTAAAGCACGACCTTTAAGTATATGTTTATAGACACGGTTCAAAAAGGAGCTGAAGCAAATTTTCAAAAAGAATAATTGTATGTTACATAGGGTCCTGCCGTGTGATGTCCGCGTACAAGTTCCCCGTAACCTGCTTAAAATACGATTACTTTACAGCTAAATCCAGCTACTGCTTATTTTAGACTACTTGAATGATAGCGATGCAGGCGAATCAATGCAAGACGCGGTCCGTTAACAAGCTAGAACCCCCTGAACTAGATCTTAGAACTATATCTAGAAACTAGAAGTGCTGAACCCCACACCCAGAAATCTAGAGATACTTACAACGACCGATTTAAATAGGCTTATGCAAGTGCGATATATCGATGCGAATCATTATTATGTTCTTTTACTGAATATCAATCTGTCCGATGGCAATGTCCTACGAAGGTCATAGATGTTACAGTACTTAAGCTTTATTAATGTAGATATTTGGGGGCATATATAGACTAGCCAAATACCTCATAGTCAGGTCTGAACGTCAAAATTGCGAGCACCGAGCTTGCCGTGGGTATTCATCATAACCACAGTTCGGTTTATCCATAAGAGATTGTCGAATCTCATTCGAGCTGGATCTAATCTGTCGGTATATAGGAAGTCTACCATAGAGCTTCCATAGAAATGCGTTAGTTTGTGTACCCTGAAAACAAGCCATGAGCAATGTTCTCAACTGACACCATTTAGAAAATTGCCCTATCAAAAATACATATCACGATTCCGTGGATGGTTCACTAAAAAGTGAAAGACATATTCCCTCATGCAGAAATTGAACTCATAAAGTTACCTTAAATACAGATTCCTCGATTGAGTATCGCACGACCAGATGTTTATTCAAATATGAAGAGAAATAGCGTCAACATAATATCCACATTTTTTCTATAGTTCAGTGAAAATTTTAAATCAATCTCTTGTTATGCATATTGATGCAATAGCCGATTGAACGATTTCTCCCTACCTTAATGCACCACCATGTTAAGTGACACCTTAGTACCAAAGTGCGTCCAAGTCATTGGCCTAACCTAGCTGCTGATATCGTTTAATCGTACTTTTTCACGAAGACAGCTGTATGACATGCGGATAAACCATTGGTGTGATGAACCTTCACGAAGCTCGATGTTTTAAGATGACTAGAGCGGAGTTTGTTCAAGTGTCCCGTGGGCGCTATCGACCAGCGATGCGCTGTGAATCCACCGTACACGACTGTCAAAAGCGAAGAACTGTTGGAGGGGTGAATCAGGCCATTACTTCACTGCCGCATGAATCCTTCGGCAATGTTCCCAGGAACCTTAACCTTGGGTGGAGTCGACTAACTTTTCGAAGCGGTTTCCATCCCACTTATTTGGTTGGGTTTTTCCCACAAATTGGAGGGCTGGATGACAGGAACAAAATAGAGAGGGAGAGAGAGAGAGCGAAAGCGCTTGCATGGGAGTAAAGTAACTTGGTCAAGTCATTTACTCTTTTGTTTTCCAGTATCTACAATGTAACTGCCCGTGGGAGCTCCGTGCTATTGTACTGCGGATCGGGTTGAGAAAATTGACCAAAAGAGGGGCAACGCTGAAGCACAACATGATGGTAACGACGATGCTTCAAGATAAGCCTGTGTAATGAACGTGTAGGCCTCAAGAGAAACAAGAAGCTGAGACCCGCTGATCAGATACCACGCCTTCAGCTGAATCCATGTGTCTAGCTACATCGAATGGTTTGGATTGGCTGTACAGGCTGGTAGGCTTTGGGGCCTTTATATTAGATTTTGGACACGAATTGCTCGAGGCTGTTAGCCCCGAGAAAACAGCGACCGAGGATCAACTTGTCTGATGATGGTCGCGATGCATCAGCAATGCAACTGGGAGAAGGAACTAACACGAGATGGGAAACCAGGACGGGTTGCTTGTGAAAAATATCAAAAATAAGGAAAACACCACATTAAAGCTAAAAGGCAGAGAAAAAACACTGTGGGCCCTACATTAGATATATAGCAACGTAGCTGGCGGTTGAGCGAGGACAGTATGCCAAACTACACCTTTGTGCTGGAAGTTCACCGTTTTAGCAAACAAACACTAAGGGACCCAACAACATTATAGCATTTAGAAATACTGTTACTTTAGAGGAAGAAAAAGATGAATATTGTGAATGAGATCATTCAAGGTTTAATTTAATACCTATATATATGTGGAGGTAAACCGCTATCGGGTTAGGGTGTGTGCATCAATGGACTTATCAATAAATTATCTGACTTCGAATATTCGTTTGAAATAACTATATTTGCATTGTGTAAGTAAACTTTTGTTGATTATACTCGTGATTTCTGATCTGCAATATATACATCAAAAAGAAAAAAAAACGTTTTTGTGATGTAGTCCATCTCAATAAAAGAACAAGCTGCATAATATCTTTTTCAAAACGTTCTCGCTCTTTCTAGGTTCTGCAGAGCTTTTATTAATTTTTTAGCAAATTTAAACGAAGCAAGCCAGAAGCTACGAGTAGATATAAGTACCTTCAAAATAAAGCTTCATTATGAGCCAACTGGAGTTGGAGTAAATGAAAACTACATAGTAAAACCCGTTTAACAGTTGTCCAACATAAACATTCCAGAGCCAAAAGTCAGTACAAGCATATTGTATTGTATTTGCTGTACACTTTAAGAATAATACCTTTATAGAGTTATGGTAGTTTGGTACTATGCTTGCCAATTCTTCTGAAGCGCTATTCATTTTGTACCAAAAATAGATATACTCGTTGGCCAAATCATCCATCGTTACTACATAAGGAATATGGACAGCTCTTAAGGCCCTCTAAATTTTCAAATTACGATTTTTATAATCCTGAGGGACAGCCTTTAGTAATGTTAAATCAAGAGCTGAACTTAGGAAGGTGAATAATAAATAGAAAAAAAAACATTTTCAAGAGCAGTCTATTCTATTGTACTTTGCTTACTTATTTCCAGTTCATTTGCCCCCATAATATCACACCTCCAGTGGGCTTATTCCAAGAAACCACATCAAACTATCTATAGCCGGACCGTTTAGCTGTCAACAGAGTACAAACTATTTGTTGTTTGGTAGACGTCGTGCATGATAAATATGAGTGAATACGATGAGTATGGTACCCGCCTTTCTTGGTAGTCTTTCCGATTACGTCAAACCCCCTCATACCGTCACGAGCAGGTCTTCAAACCGATGTTCACCCAACTAAGCTGACCTCTATCATTGATGAGTCAGTTGCAAATAGACGACGCAGTGCGAGCATGCGTCTCATCTATTATGAACGACAAAACGCTTTACGGCGAATTACATTCGTCACGGATTCAGTTCTATCAGAAGGATTGTCGTTTGTAGTAGGTTGCCCACATGTCATGTGTGTTCGACTCAGGTGAGTTTAGTCAGCGGCGACATGATTCCAATTTGAGACATGTGCTGGGTTTAATTTGTATACTTAACGCCTGGGTGAAATTCGAATTGAAAGCTGAAAGTACATACCAATTTTATGTCTTATCATAATGACGGGCTCCCATGCGCGTGATTTTTCAAACAGATACGGTTCTTCTTCTAAGGTCTATGAGCAAGAGGTCGATGACGCCTTAACGAGCCACAGATGGATTTATTTGTTTAAATAAACAATCACTAAAAGAAAGCGATCAAGAAATGCAATAGACTCTAAGGTCATTCGAAATAAATAACTGAGATAGATTGTGTAAAATGGATAGTAGTTGAGATTATAGATTGTTCAAATCATAAGCACTGAGGACAAAATTTTTCATCGCACCTGTCTTTTATCGTAATAAAATTAATTCAGAAGTGCTCTTTAATTTCGCTGAATTGATTATACATGGTATCTTATGCAGTTTGACCAAATCTAGTAGTAATATTTATTGCCCTATTAGATCGTTAAGTCTATTAGGTCATTTCTTCTTAGTTAGATATTAAGGGTAAGAGGTAAGCGGGTTAGAAATGCTTGCTAGTTAATCGATAAGTCTTACTTTGAAAAACCGCGAGGTTACAACGCACGATATATTAGAAATGAAAAAAACTAGAAGACGTATATACTTGATTACACCAAAACGATCTTTCTGTACTCAACAAGAACAAAAAGCTTAATTTTCCTCTGTAGCTACACAGATCGCTGTTATTATGTAAAAATCGTTATGCCCTACAGCTAATGTTTCGCGTTCGGCCCTACTACCACTAGACACTATTTTGGAGAGCCCGCGGCCCTTCTGTCAACTCGAGACGACTACAACTATCGAATCCTGTTGCTTCCCACCCTCGGGTGCCTGAAGTGCATTATAGCTTTCAGCTCTGGCATCTTCTCAATCAGTACTACAATAACAGTTGTGAGGCGCGTGCATTCAACCCTGCAGCTTCGCAACCTCAGCATATGTATCTTCCCCTTTGTTCCACCGAAACGCTACTGTTTTACGTAGGCATTGTTTCAGACAACTGACTTCTCCTGTCAGGTTGATGGCCTATCTCCAACATAGACCACTTCACATTTTTTTTTTCACATTTAAGCTAAATTATGACGCACATTAGACCGAAACTTGGCTTACAAACTTGCCAAAAACCTAGCAGGCACACAGGCACACTGTTTCTTCACCTCCGCGGGGACATTTTTATATTACCACCAGCAATACAAAGCAGACGACATTTGTTACCTTACCTACTTCCATCAAAACAGACATCCGCCGACCGTTAAGCCTCCTAGGACACAGCCACCAAAAACTGGCTCGGTTCTTGTAGGGGTACGTAGGAGTAATTCCTAGTGTAACGATACAGTCCGCCGCGTTATGCAGTGCATTTGCAATAACAATACAAGACTTGCACACATAGAGATAGTCACGAAATTGTTTTCGTCCCGTTTCTCGCTACCAAAAGACTAAAAACGGAAAACCAATTTCCTGCTGTTGCTACTGCTTGTTGGCTCGCTCGTATATAGAACAATATCGCTACAATCAAACCTCTTGGGGTGTTGTTCTTCTCCACGTTGCTGTTGTGTCTGCTTCAGCAGTGTGTCCGGTTGTTCTGCTGAAGACTTATGATTTTTTTTTTAGATCCGACAGCAACAATAGAGGACTAGTCCGGAGTGTTGATTTATTTTGTCATTTCGCCAGTTCACTTTTGCTCTTCCTGTGAAGACGAGAGAGATTAAACGGCTGTTCATTTCGCCGTCATTTGTCATTGCATTAATAGCCTACAGATAGCAGTGGTCGTAGTTAAACCGATGCAAGCTGCTGATAAGTTCGTTCGTGTATTTGTGTGCTGATTTCGGTGTCTGAGTGAAAAGACAAGCAGCCAACTATAGGCTACGGCACGAGCGATTGAATTCGTAGCCTATAGATACTTGTTAGTTGCTCTGGAGTGACGTTTCTCTACCGTGTTCGCTATACCAAGAAAAACATGCCTGTCATTACAGTAAGCAACAAAGCAGACTTCGACAGCCAAATGAACACTGCCGGCAACCGGTTGGTCATTGTTGATTTCACCGCCAGTTGGTAAGTAAATAAAAGAGATTTCAGTGACAGCAGCGGCACTTGCTGCTGCCATTACGAAAAACTCTAAAGGGGGTACAGTTCGACCCGAAACGCAAGAATTTCTAGGAATCGGTAACTTATTTGACAAAGCATAGTCTACTTGATTTCTTTGCGTTATATGCGCGATTTCTCAGCGTTAATGCAGAATTCAGTGAGGCGGGAAATCATAGTAAGAAGTTATACGTAGTAGTGGATTGATAGCTTTATCATTGTATTTCTCTGCTGTGTAAGAATTACGCATCAATAGGAACTGCTACTGTTGTTGGTGTTGCTGCAGTTGATATAGAGTTGTGCTGCAGCATTCAGTTTATCAGTGTATGAGAGTATTGCTGAAACTTATTCCACAATAAGGTTGAAATAGTTGACGCCAATTATGTACACACGTGCCGACAGTATCCACATATACCCAAAGTACTGAGTAAAAGTTTGTAGTGATCCGTTCAATAAAGTATTAGAATAGTGGCGATATGTATACAGCGACAGAATTTTGAGGCCAAGGTTTCCTCATTAGTAAAGACGAGTTCTGGCGTATGACATAACAACACGCGACATCTGTGTCGATCAGGACCAACAAACAGGGAGAAAAACTAGATATAATACTAATAGAAAAAAAATGAAGCAAAATGTTGTCAAATAGTCTTGACTTTGGTTGTCAACAACTAGAAAAAGCAACATGAAAATTGGACTTCGTATTTATCTACAATTTCCGATTAATTCAATTTTTTTCTCCATATGATCTGTCCCGAACATGTTTTGAATATAGGTGCGGTGTTGTTGAGGCTGATGAGTACCTGACCTGAGAACTCTGTCGCAGTATCCGTTCATTCCAACGAATTTTCTGAAATTTAACATGTTATGTGGAGTTAGCAGCATCTATGAGCATGTAGACCAATAAGACATTACAGTAGATCCTAAATATATAGTCAGAATATAATTAGTTATACTTAGTTGATATGCACTTGCTTTGTAGAAATGCATATTTGTTGTCTAGATGATTTTTCAACCATGAATTCAATTTTTTTAACGTGAGAAACTCGTTTTTCTTTCAGGTGTGCCCCTTGTCAACGAATTGCGCCTCATTTTGCTACGCTTTCGAATACGTATGCAGCTGATGCGGTGTTTCTTAAGGTAGGTATCTCATGCAATTTTATTTATTATATATATATATATATATATATATATATATATATACGATTCCGATGGATTTTGAAATTGAACACATTTCGAAGTCATTGAGCTAAAATGATGATTCTTTAATACGTGTTGGAAATTCCCGCCTTTATTTTTTTTACACACTTATCTCAGTTTTTTGGGCAGCTTCCAGATAGCCATGTACCTACCATTAACGTTCTGACATATGATTTCTCTATCTATGGCTTCTCAAAGTAAACTGATAATGGGATACGCTTCCCAACCAATTACTTTTTCTAGGGCATACAAAGTTCCATAATTACACGAGCCAAAATATTATTTGCTCAATCCAAAGGGCAGTTGAATATGGTGTGCCGCTGTCATCAAATAACCAGACTGCATGCTTTCGATTACTGTGCTAACGGTCCCTAAGTCCCTCGCAGAACTCGAGATAGCAGGCTGCATATTGTTTCATTCTCGACGAGCATATTATTATATCAGAAGCAAGCTCTAGTATTCTTCTCGATACTGCTGAACTCGATTTCTCTCTAGGGCGACGCCAGTCTCTTATTTGGGCTTTTTCTGACTGGCAGTAAAGATTGAACCATGCTTCGTCGGTGCTAACCGTATGCTCCAGGCGAGTTTCTTTTTAATTATAGTTCCGCAAGTTGCACGTGGAATGCACCACATGGATTTTCAACTGACTTGGAGTAAATTCACGGGGACCCATTTCTTTGCTTAGTTTCAAGCTCTGCTTTCGCGAAAACCTGCCTTGATTGTGGTAATGCGTCCTTGTTCTTCGGGTTTCAACACTGGTTAGCTCCCCGAAGGTTTTAGTACTGTAACGTCTGTTCTTGAAACACGTGCATCATGCACGTACTATTTAGGTTAAGGCTTCTTCGCCTAATGTTTTCATCGGTTTTTAATGAATTTCCGCAGTGCTGTGGCCTTCAACGAATAAAAGCATGGCCACCTAGTGTTAATTTTCGAAAAAAAATTTTCTCTAAACTCACTTCTCCTGAAGTAAACTCAACTGGTTTTCACTCACAAGTTTCTAGTAGACTATATACAAACCAAGTTTCGTGTAGTTCAAAGATTATTCCATTTCAAAGTCTGCCGGATTTTTTGCAAGAACCTTGTATATTAGTTGGTTGCAGTCTATATAGTGAAGCCCATCGGCGACAGATATCCCACTTCAGAAACAGTATTTTTTCGGAAAAAAAATGCATGATCATCATTATAAATGTTCTTATATGCCCTTTTTGATTTTCGACCCGATTTTCGACGATTGAATTTTCGACTTCTCCAGTTAAACACTTATTGTGAAGCTTACACTCTAACCTGCCGAAATATTGTTTGAATCCTTTGAAAACCGCATAATAGTTGATAACGTTATCGACCGTTGACTTCCTAAATTCATAGCCTTAGAAGAGATTTACTGGTCGAGAGAACATTTCATAAAAGTTGATCCTTTCATACATTTCGAAAATGAACCTCTTACCATGGGCCATATTGTATTTAGTTCTATTTTAAAAACAATTGGCTTTCTACAAGTACCACGAGTATCCGATAAAGGAATACTTACAATGACAAACAGCTTACTAACGAATCTCTCAAATTGTTAAGAAAACCCTATGTGTTTATTACATGTTTACAGCGCATGTAGATATTTTGATATATTTAGGTGTTTTTTCGTCATTTAGAATTTTTCAAAGGGCTAGAATTTTGGTTCATTACTGGTTTTTGTTCAATAATATAATTATCATGATATTCAAGACACAGATTGATGATCCCGGAGGCACCCTCGTGCGCTCCTGTTTTTTTCCTATTATACTCTTACAGGTTGATATTGACGAAGCTCGCGAAGTTGCCCAACAGTACAATGTCACTGCTGTTCCAACATTTATCTTCTTCCGCGGAGGGGAACGACTTTTTAACATGCGGGGATGCAATCCTACTACGTTGGAAACCAAAATTACGGAACTCCTCAGTCGGTGCCCTGAAGTCGAGCGTGTAATTATCCTTACTAGTATGGCTTCTGAATATAATGAAGTTATAATCAAAATTTAGCTAACAAAATACTGTCCGCTGCCATAAATTGCCTATAGTTTTCACTTTTAATTTTACCTGTTCCTGTCGTGTGTTATTTATTGAAATAGATACAAACCCACGGAGACTTAGCGCCATTCATTGCTAAACAGAATTCGGAGTGCCTCAACGAGAGCGACAACTTCAACTTGGCAGCGCTCCTCGAGGGAAAAGCCCACCTCGAATCCGACTGCGATGAGCAGTTACTAATAAGCATCGGCAAGTTGCTCTACTACTTCACAGCATTATGTTTTCGAAATATTTGCGACCCGTGAACATGAAAAGTCAATATGAAATTGAAACCTCACTTTTACCATCTTTCACATTAGGTTAAAATATACATTCGTAGATGTCTGTACACATATTGATGCTGAACATATCTTTGTTATATCGGACAATAGACATGTTTAAGAAGTTTGTCACCGCAGCGTAGTCGATCATATAATAATGCATAAATAATTTGTTGGGAAGAAGAATTGGTTAGGCTCAGCTCATCTGAAGCTTAATAAAATGTACATATGAGCAGTCATTGTATAAGTATTTGTTAGCATTACTTCAAAGCAACTGATGTGCAATTTCGATATCAGTCAATTCTATTGCTTATGTTCTAATTACTCGCGTAATTTGTTCACTTTCATGATTTTAAATGGCAATGCCGTCTTCCTGTAGGATTCCAACAACCAGTAAAGCTGCATTCGTTTCGTATGACTGGACCAAGCAATGCGGCAAAGACTGTCTGTATCTTCATCAATCAACCGCACACACTTGATTTCGATTCAGCGTCATCAATGAAACCCGTTCAGGTTCTCGAACTCAGCCCGAAAGACGCCGAAAAGGATGCCATTGTCGAGTTAAAGTTCGTCAAATTCCAAAACGTTTCAAATCTACAATTGTTCATTAAGGATAACCAGGACGGGTCAGAGGTGACTCGTATTGACAAGCTACAGTTCTTCGGCTCAGCATTATCCTCCACGAATATGAGCGACTTCAAGCGCGTAACCGGCAAAAAGGGCGAAGCCCATTAAAGAGCTGAACTCGTTGACTGGTAATGATTTCTTACCTAGTTGCGCCGGCGAAGCAAATTATTACCAATTGGTCGTAACGTTCTACCTGTCTAAACGCACGATACATAACAAACCTACACAAGATTAGCTTTGTTACATTAAGGTTGGCCATGTCACTGCAAGATCAAGCCCTGCCTGCAATCCTCCTGGTGGGTGTGCGGAACGCCCAACAAAGGTCATCTGGTGGCCAAAGGAACGGTGCACTGTTAGTGACCTTATCCTGAATAGCAAAAGCGAAAAGCGATTCTCTATTGGGACATGTTGGATACACAAACAAACATACACATGTTTTTCTTGTTATTACGGGCTGGAAAAGAGAGGGTAGTTAAAGGAACAAAGAAGATTGGGTTGAATCTGATTTTTAATCCATCGAAAAACAATAAATATAATGCTCACTAGTTCGAATGTGGACGTCGTTGCAATACGTCCATGGGTTCGATGTAAGGCAAAGAATGTAACAAAAGAGAACATAAATAACAACCCATAGGAAATAATCGATATATAGATAAATTTATAGTGGACGAATAAATACAGACATACGAGAGATACAAGTGGATGAAAATATATATAAACGAGTAAATTGATCTTTTTCAAATACAGCAGTATACGGAGACTAAGAAAGTACCGAAGGAGATTTAGTAATAATTGCAATATAATATACATTTGTTAGTAAAGAAGATGGAAACAAATGTCAACCGATAATTATGAATAATATGTAAGACTATATTTAATTGGAGAGTTTCAAACACAAAACGTTTTTAGGAAAAGTGCAAAACGTTCCGTACAAGATGTGAAGTTTTGGAAAACTATGTGGCAGATCATTGTTCACAAAACCGACTGACTTCTGAAAGTAACAATCTGATAATAGAGAACTGCAAAATAGCTGACCTGCATCTTATGTGAAGATGTCGATGTTTTCGATCAGAGTACCTAAGATCAAGGCAGAGGTTGAAAAATGGAGACGCCAGAAAAACATGCGAAAATAAAGTTATTTCAGATGCAAAACGTGTTTTAGATATGTGCTCTTTAATTCTTTGCCTTAAATAGTGCGTATAATATAACTTATCCGTCGACGCCTTCCCGTCTTAAACAATTGAGATTGTTATTGTGATGTAGACAGTATTTTCTTGTCATACGCAACAACATTTGTGCTTTCTTGCGAGTCAATTTGCGTTTAAATGCTTTTCGCGTCTCTCTTCAACCTATTCATAACCCATTTGCTGTACTGCAGCTAGTAAGCGTAAATATCTTGTAAACAAATACATAACGAGTATTTATATTTTCAGCTTACCTAACTAGGAAAAGTCGAAGAAAACAGTGTTTGGTATTTTTAATTCCAACAATGATTTTATTGCATCAGTCGTTCGTGCAACTTGCCTTAACATGAGTATTACTTTAAAGTGGAGAATTCCTCGCTCTAGCAGTTTCTCAACAATTAGTTTATTAATCAGCTAACTCGTTTTAATTCCCTGATCATGGTGGCGGCGAAAATTTCCATCTGCTTTTGTCTACTGACTGCACTGTTTATATTCTACGTACTAATACAATAATACCGCCATATACAAATTAGCTATGTGTAGAACAATTATATCGAGAATCAAAGTTTCATTCCGCCGCATCTCTGCCCAGGTACTTCACGGTCACTCTCCACGATTATGTTCCACAATATAATTTCAGACAAAAAAAAATTAACAGTGGGCTACTCGCAGTGTTTTCACTTTTTGTATTCATTAGCACTTGCATCAATAATAGGTTTGACGTAATCAGATATAATCTATCGAGAATTGTTCTAGCCTTGTTTTTCTAAGCACATTAGATTGGTCTGCTGTTATTCTATGCCCAATACTGTGCCACAGATCCGTAGTATTCGAGCATACTGCTATTACAGTCATACTGAGAACATGTGGTGGATAAATTAAAGCGTCCAGCATTTGTTTCATGTCAAACTCTTTATTTTATACTATATTTAAACACACCGTAACATTTTTTGATAGCACACACTCAAAATTATTGTCATCTCATGATTATTTAAGCGAACTTCCACTTCGTCATTCTAAACACCAAAACTGTCTAACGATCATGTGACGATTCATTAATCTTTTATTGACTAATATATATACATATAAAGTACTAATGTGAAGCGGATAATATTGAACAGCAATGTAGAAGCTTGGGAGCTTATTTCAACGCCGTTAATACTCCATCAATAATTTGTCGGGTAGTTCACTCAATGCTAAACAATAGTATCCAAGTCAGAGCAAACCAAGAGTAAAAAGTAATCAATTGACACCTGCAACGTCTTTTTATCGTCACAGAAATCAGTAAACAAACTCAGAACTCGAAAGTGGTGTATAGGTTCAAGCAGAATTTCTCAACAATTTAAACTCGTTTACTAGCTGACAATTCCCTGATCAGCATAATAGAGAAAATTTCGATCTGCTTAGTCCTACTGGCCACATTGTTTACATATAATATTACAATACGTCTTGACGATATCGACATCTACAGATGCCAATTATTTGTGAAGTAGTTTATTGAAAACCTAAGCTTCATCGTGTCGCATCTCTGCTTATGTACTTCTTGGTTATGCTCCACAATTAAATTTTATAAAAAAAAAAATACGACAATGCACTACCCGTTAACTTCACTCAATTCACAGCAATAATGTGCCTTAAGTAATCAAACATCGATCTATACAGAATTGTTCTAATTTTTTTGTTTTGTCTACTTGACCACATTAGATCGGTCTGTCGTTATCATCTGCCTGGCTTTATGACATAGATCCGTACCCGAACGCGACTTTCTTATAGTCATACTAAGAACATGTGTTGGAACATATATGTTTCATGTGTCCAGCATTTGTTTTATGTCAAACCTTTTTATTTTCTACTAATGTTTAAACACACGCAACATCTATATATAGGGTTAATATCTACATTTGCAATAACGTGTTCTTGTTTCGAAAAATAATTACCTGATGATATTGAACAATCGCCGTCGCCATTGGTGGTTTAATTAGATAGTGAAAGCCACGTCACACTAGTGTGACGTGCCCGCAAAAAACAATCTGCTTTGTTTTTTTTTGCTTTTTTTTCGAAATAACTTTCTAGCCGGCCATATACCGCACAAACACAGCAGCACGTCCAGTTATATTTAATAGCAGCGGCGACTGCTTACCAGGTTGGCGGTGTAATAGCGATTCGTTCTGACGGCGCTGCCATTCAATTATTTTTCTACTGGAATGCCTCCGGAGGTAGTTTGTTATTTTGTTCAAGTATCCGAAATACGTCGTAAGCTGCTTCTGGATTCCAGTTATGTTGCGCAAGACAGTCGATCGAAAAGCGGCGATTCATTTTCGTCACTTCCATGAACTTTATGATAATCTCCTCATTGGAGCCGGGAACTGTTGGAGTCGGCAATGGAACAGCTGCAGAACCAACTACAGCTGCCGGTGATGGTGGCCGAGATGGAGGCGAAGGTTCCTGATAGGCACGGGACTATTGAAAGGAAACAATAGAAGAAACAGAAGTCATGTCATCTCGAATATCTTATTCAGGTCGTACAAATCTGGAGAACGTACATGTCACACTCGCTACAGATCTTGTGAGAGATCCCGCAAAGTTTGATTTTCACAGAAAAACTAACATCCAACTTATTCTAGCCTAGGGTGGACACTAATTTATACGTTTCATTAGATTCGCAGGGTATGGCTGATCTTTGTAAAAGACCAGTTATACTCTGGGGCTTCTATGAATAGAGCTCACTTCAGAGAAAAGAATTCCTTTTGATTTTGCACATAGGTACTGAACGTTTACCATGTTTTAAGTACGAACCTGTTTATCGGTGGCAACAGTAATAAACCATCCGTCGTTTACAATTGCCAACCCGGCTCCTTGGGGTATCACGGTGAACGTTCTCTGAAAACTGCGAAGATTGGATAGGAATCCACCATCTGGCCGCTTTTCCCGAAATACCCCGTTTACGTTGAAAATCATTAGGGTAGGCTCGACAAAAGCCACATCTACAACGAATGACGCTGGGTCGTGTTGTGTTTTAGCAAAGTTTTTCAGGTATTCGAGAATATTGATCCGACCCTGGTGCAACAGACGCCGTTTCAAGTCTGAGGAAAAATTAAACGATACGTGCACTTAGTCTATGACATCCATAACAATTCATATAGCCTCACTGGTACTAGGTTATCCTTAGTCTGTTGTCACGAATGCATTGCGTCACACTAGGCAGTAGATTTGACGGCTTGTGGATGGGCTCAATAGCAATGTACCGGCTAAACATTACGTATAAAAAGCCGTTGTTGCACTGTATTGCTGCAATACGCTCAAAATCTCAAGTCATTACATATTTACCTTGGTCGTGCTGCATTCGTAGAAAGTTGCGGCTGTCTCCCTTGTAGTCAAGCTTTTCTCTATCTTTTCTTGCTCTTGAATTACATAAAGTAGTGGACGATAATGAAAAGAGAGCAGCTTCATGATACGCATCGATCAGAGGTGACCTATCGTCACTATCAAACACCGTGAAGAATTGCTCAACAAAGCCAACAACCAGCGGCCGCGTTGCATCCGCGGGTAAATGGCTTGGCTGTAAAAGGATGAACCAAAAGACGTCAGTTTTATTCTAGCATAACTAGTATACAGAACAATTCCAAACAGTAAGTTTGTGTGAAAAGCTTTTTAGTTCCTGAAGAATTTTTTTTTAAAAAATTGTCTTCTATTGTGCACCTAACGAATAGAGACCGCGCATGATGTGGCCTCATGGGATTAGTTATCCGAGCTAATCTTCATTTCTTCTAGGACATTTGGGTATCAAGCTAATTTAAGCAAGAATAAAATATGTATTTACAAGAGAGCGCGGTACTGCAATCTTCTCTTCTTGGAGGTCGAACACAATCGGGGGCGGTAGTTGCTTCTGGTCCTGAAAAAAAAATAGGAAACCACATTCAGTAGCTACATTCAACCTTTCATGCAGCATAGCTTTTTGTACAAATGTATCTTTGTGAAATGTACTGTCAAAAATATAAAAAAAAGGTAAACATTTTACTATGTCATCGGAGACATTCTTTGTATGAAACGATACTTACCAAAACGACAACGCGAGGAAACCGATCCCGGACGGCACTGCAAGTTAATCACGAACCGTAAGCTGATTGTTCAACAAATGAAGACTCTTCCATCCTCCTTTTACTTTCTCTTTTTTAAATTCGCCAACGCTTCAATTAGATTATTCCACGACGTCTTGACGAGGTGGACAGCCCTCCGCGAAGGACAAAAGAACATTAGGTGATCACACAGAGAAACATTAGATATGGGTGGTCGAATTTCATGAAGCCACTTTCGACCACACGAGTGTTTCTCGTTAAGCCGAATGGTTTGCGCGTAAACGCCAAACACGAACTTGAGCTACCAGGTCGGTTTTGTATCTCATATGAAAGTGAATCGATGTTCTATAAAACAAAAATCATTACCTAATTAACCGATGCAAGCTTTTATACCTACTATGTCTTGCATAAAATCGTAAATTGTCCAAGAGACTTGATAAGAATGATAAAATAAAATATAGCGTTTTTCTAAGAAGCGCCTAATTTACGTACCAGGTGCGTATAAACCATTAGGAACAATTTAACTTTTTCGGTAAGATTTTTGTATTTTTATTTGAAAAAAAAAGAATTTTTCGCTATTAAAAGGCTTTCCCTTCTTTTCACGTAGTTGGTCATTTCCAGCCGCGAGCTCAGAGGCCCTCCAAATTCCGGTTTATGGCACATATAAATATGCACTAATATTTACTGTTATCTCCAATCGCAACCTGCGCTAAAGAGAATTTTTAAAGACCTTTTTTTCTGATGAAATACCTGTGCATTCAGGCTGAACGTTGTTAAGGACAACAAAGTCTAAAACAGCCAATGTGTTTAATTTTAAAACTCGGCACTCTACACCCATGCCACCACCGGTTGCCAAGTAGAGACCTGCTTATCTTAAAAGAATAACAAACAGCTCTGTCTAATGGTACATGTCCATTAACGAATTTTTGTAGCTGCTTAATTTTTTTTTGAACCCCCAATTTTTTAAGGACCAGGTCTTAACGCAAACTATTTTTTCCAGCGTTGAAAAATGTCGTGAACTTCTTTTATCAATCGCAGTCAACCTTTTTTTTAGTTGTGTGTTTTAAATCGTGTTCCAATCATTCTCAGCAACCTATTCCCAGTAGTCAACACCGTCGCTTTCGATCCCAGCCACTCGACGTTCCTTCGACCCGCACGCTTTCTGTATGAGCACCCCGCGCCACACCAGGTGTCTGTTCTCCACCACTTCAAGGGCGCAGGTAATACCCGTACCTGCGAGAAGTACGGAAACACCCACTCATCTGCCTCCTTATTGCTGCAACCAGCGAGACCCGCTGGCTACAACGGCATCAGAAGCACAGGGTTCCAACCCCGAAAAGCAACGGCAGATTAGGTAGCCTGGTCATCACACGAGGTCCTTACTGCCTCTCGTCAACCATTCTGGAGTTACGGGGACGTCTGTGAATCGACTGTCTGGCCTTGGGAAAGCCCAAGGCTTGTAAGGAAAACAGTTGGACAGTACCATTCCACTCAGTCCCCTCCCTCCCAATTATTTTATATTAGTGCCGACGTCTTGGAACCCTCAGGGACGTGAAAGCGATTAGCCGACGTCAATATTAGATCACTTCGAAAAGCAATCCTGGGTTAACTGGGAATAATTGCAAGGAATGGCTGGAGCATACGTACGTGGCCCTTTTAGCTTCAGTGAAATCGCAGCTTTACGAGACAGGTTTACGGAAAAAGGAATAATATGACAGTTTTTTGTGGTAACAGCTGAATTAGGTCTGCGCTCGGCTTTTACCGGGTGCTTTGATCGATGTAGACAGTGCAAGCTCAGGCAACTAGATTCATTTGTTTATTAGAAGATGACAAAACAAAACAAAATTCTGATTTAGTTACTACATTGTTCAGAAGTACCTTAAAACCGGTTCAGCAGGAATGCGAGGATTCTCACAAAATATATTAGGAAGGAAAATGGCCAAACAGCCCGTTCTGTTGGGAATAACTTTAGTGCAGCGCCGCGACGATATGGAGCAACATAAGGCAAGAATGTAAATAACAGATATACAGGTCCATTGAAATACACAAACAAGTGCGTCAATGAGATCACAGCTGTCAATAACACAACCAAAGATTTCAAGCAAACTGCAACGGATGGTAAGGTATACTAGCAGACTGGAATAAACAAAAGTGAGGAACTAATTTCTGAAAATCGTTCCAAGGAATGTAGGGAGAGACTGTACTTTTTGGGCTATTATGGTATTTGTAACAGTGGAGCACATAGATAACCGTGTTTACCCAATTGAACCTATCAGGGACTGGGTGAGGATACTCATGCATGTATTGGTCTCACAGTGGATGAAACACAATATAGTCGAAAGAGCGAGCAGGCAGGTGTGGTTGGGCGTCGCTCCTTCGAAAGTCGGAAGCTCTCTGCAATAAATTCTGTCAAAAGTTCGCGAAACAAACGTTTGCCTAAACGATGCTCTACGCAATTAAATTCTGCCAAGAGCTCGCTAAACAAACGTTTGCCTACGCTATGTATTAACAAATATTTACGCATATACTTAAGTCACTCAAAGAGAAATTTCACCATAATTTAGGGCTACGAATTCGCTGTTAATATTTTTTTTACAATTCTAAACGATTTAAATGAAATTTGCTTATTACAACACTATTTTTAATGAGACAAAAGGTTTTTATGAGATCCGCTTATGGGTCTACTTAAAGGAATGGCGAAGCCGATTGTTATTCTTTCTAATTTATTTTACCAGAGAAAATCAACTGCGCTTGTAACACGATTATGTTTGTCTACGTTTAGTTACAACAATCTTTTCAATGTCTTTGCCAGTAAAACTAAACAGCTAATTGTCTATGCCTATATGTTATCTACTATCAAGGATTGAAGGCATAGGGTCTCTGATCAAGCCGCCGCGAGGACAAACCAGCCTTTTTTCAGTCGTTGGAGCTCACTATACGAAACTTGCACTTGTACAGCAATAGGCCTTATAAGCTTCTGTGCTCTATTACGTCAGAGTCTAAATGGCAGCAAGTATTTTGCTGCCATCATTATTGGAAAAACTCATGTGGCTACCCATGAGTTTTCTGCATCACCCATTGTCTGGCGGTACGTACGTAACATAAGCATCCTCCTCCTTGTATCGTTCGGTGAACGGGCAGCCAGCAAATGTAGCCACCGTTATGGGAAGACCTTTCAGCGCGTCCAGGTCTTTTACATTCCTGATCTGCAATTCACAGGATTGCAATTTAATCAGAAATTAATACTGTGCAGGATAAATTGTTAAACCATGCATCTGAAAAGGGTCAGCGTGACGCACGAATTACTACTTTGAGGTAGCGATTTGAAAAAACTATAGTCCAGTTCAGTTGACATACCTTATTCCCCGCAAGTTTCAGTGTCTTCAGTTCTTTACATTTAACCGCAAGTGGAGCTAGGCAGCTTATGTTGTACATCAAATTGTTCGAAAAATCAAGACCTTCCAGTTCGGGTATGTAATCGATAATGACCGTAACAACGAAGTTAGCTACATTCACCCGAGACAATGGCAAGAAGAGACCAGCTTCAACCAAGCTCGTGTCCGCTTCGAACTTCGATAGATTCAAGAACTTCGTGTTTATATCGTACCGATTCGACATGGCCACTAAAAGAGTCAAATAAAATAAATACTTAGATAATCCTGTTTTCCAAAAAAAATGTTTAGTCACGTTCCGACTTAATCATTAATTGAAGCCTGTCACTACTGCTTAAGTAAATAATGCCCTCTGCCATTACGACGAAATTTATACTTCTAATTTTTTAACGGATGTTCAATAATCATACGTTCCTTTGGAAAGCGCGACGCCTACTTTAACCTAATATATATATAATTATCAGGACTTCATGTAACTCTACGACAGACCAACTAGTCGTACGAAGAAAACTGGTTCTTTTCACCTGCTTTTTTTAAATTTGTGGGAAAATGTAGACGCAGTCAAGATCGGATTGTATTACCTACGTGAATTTCAAAGATAACGGAAAAAACAGTACATTCTACGATTAACGTCTTCACTTGTCAGTGAAAAGGGAATGGCATTTATAACCTTCATCCGGCGGCAACAACGTGAATTAAATAAGATTATTGCCGTAATAGTACTCTCACTGACTAAACTATTGATTTAGACAATACCTTTAATTGCATTCTCGGCAAATTCCGTGAGCGACACCTGAGGAAGGTCACAACTCCGAACGATAATATTCATTTTTGTTCCATCCTCAGTTGAAATCGTGCCGCTCAGTTTACGAAATTCCTGTGACACACGGTATGAGTTCACATAAAACGTGGCACACTGCTGGTCCGTGTGGAAGTTCATTGCACGAAACTGAACTGGACATTTTGCTGTGAGCTCTTTCAGAATGAAATCTTGCCCCCACCGACGACCACTAGGGATCAGTATGCGGAACCAGGGCTCACCTGAGCCACCGCGATCTGAAAAGAAAACGTTAAGTTCTCCGATGAGGACACTGATCAGCTAAGCAATGAACTGTATTAACAATACAGCCATCGCCCAGAAAAAAATCATTCATGACAAATGCAGAACACTAAGTCGAACGATATACATGAAATCTGTAAAGGTGCTGGCACCACATTGTGCTCATGTTTCCAGTATGAATAGGTTTATTTCGCGTTAGATTTCTTCGTTCGATGTGTTCATTACAACGTCGAAATTAAATAACCATCACTATTATCTACATATCACACCATGCATGTTTGTCTTACGAGAGCATACAGTAAACAAGAAATACTCACGCATCTGCATTGCACGATTGGAGTCGAAATTTTTCATAAATCTCGGCTTTATTCGATTGCCCTGCGGTTTTAGGCGGCTCACGATGGAAGAAAACCTGCTTCCTGAAGAACCATCGCCTCTGTTGAAGCTGGATCCACCGTGGCGGATACCATCTTTGTGTATTTGTACCCCATCCATAACAGCATCGCCATCTTCGTCGACGCCTGAAGTAAATACCAACACAGACTGTTTCTTCTTACGAATTTCGAATTAACTTTTGCTTTGTCTCTACTACCTTTATCCTGGCCAGCATCTCACATCGCCTATGGAATTTACTGTTGATGTCTTTTAGCCGAGATTTTATAATTCAACAGATGAATTGTATAGTCTCGAACAAAAATCAAAATAACGAGAGTACGACAAATACTAATTAAAATTTGTTGGTTCCGGCAGTTCTACAGAATCTTCCATTTAAACTACAATTTCTGCACTATTGATACTACTACTATAAATGAGTGAGGGTACTAGTGAGTGACATTAGGAATAAGATAAATTTGTAATACAAAAACACCCGTTATAAAAACATCCATCAAGTTGTAATGTTCAGCTAACTTACGTCTGCTTGCAGGGTATCGCGGCCCTTTTTTGTTGCGGCCGTATTTCTTCATCGTGCTGCAAACATTGTGTATATCCGTTAGGTATTAGGTGAAACGTTCAATTATTACATAACAGGTTAAAAATTGATCATTGTACCTAATTTCAAACGTTTTTACTAATAGAATCATTTACTTCAATACTTTTACCGAGTATATATACGCCTTTTGTTTCAAAACGAAACAAAGCAAACCGAAATTAAAATACTCCTACACGCATTCAGTAATTTCTCGATACTTCACCGCACTATTCGACGAGTTAAAAAATGTCATATGCCTTTATGAACGTTGAAATCTCATCTGCTGATATGCACACTCGATTTCTTAGACTCATTGCTTATTCTTTTCGCTGACCCATTGATCGTATGGCTTAGGTCTTATCGTTATGCAAAGTTCACACGACGAGTATTTCTATGATATATTGATTTGTACGTCTTAATTTGTGAGTGTATGGATCCACAGCGCACGACAACAACCATGCAATATATCGGAAATTTTGCAGCATTTTTTCATCTTGACATTCCCGCTACAGTAAATATCAATTTTGCTATAGCTTCTTATAGAGTTGTATAGTAAACGAACTTTTATAGTACTATGCTTATACAAAGAATCAGTATGGCAGCAAACACGTTGCTGCGTAAATAGCTAAGATAAAAGAAGTGACGGATAAACAACAACCGCAATCGCGCTTGAAAATATTAACAAAATACGAGGGAACAAACAACTGCTAATACATAGGCACCTAACAAAAACTGGCCTCATTAAACCAGCTGGCTCGCACGCATGTGCCCAACTTTTCTGCTGTTCGAGCTCTCAGGCAAACATTGTCCTGGGTACAGCTGAAGCTGAAACAACATATGACGTATTGATACCCGCTAATGCAAAGCGGTAATCGTATAGGCCTCGCAGACTGTTTAGTGTGTGGTGGTACCTGAATTTGTCCTTAGCGTCTTGTGGGCAAATGTGCACTCCGCCTGGTTTGATGCACCCAGCCTTTGTATTCTTTGAAACTCTCACGCAGACAATAACACACAATTACTGCTGCAGCTGCACCGACACGCGTCAAATTGATGGCCACTAGTGAAACACGACCGCACTCAATCAAAACCGCACAAAGAGAAGTTAGCCACGTAGACTGGATTATTCCAAGATGGCCGATTGGGTGGTTGGTGTGCAGTCGAATTTGGCGCGCTTCAACTGAAAGTAAGCAGTTGTAGTCTGCATAGCAGGCCGTGAACTATAAACAAGAAAATATTTAATTTTATTGAATCACAAATGTCATATAGTAAGAAAGAATATGAGAGGAAATGTGGGGCTACACTTTCCCAAAATTCGATAACTAACAATTTTGAAATTATTATTAACAATAGATATATATATATATATATATATATATCGATTGTTAATAGGCTTAGGCAGTTCATAAGCTTTCCTATAAATCAAAGTTAACTGTTCTACCATTTAGATCTTTTCCCATTTACGTTGGTGCCAATTGTTGAATATCTCTTAAAGCTTTCCGCAACTCCTTTGACTTTAACAGTTGATATAACACAATCATACATAACAAATGATAAAGCAAAATTAAAATAAAAAAATTATATAAATAAATAAAGGATAATTATAATGTGGTGATTTGTTGAATGGAAGTTATGCTTTTAGTTAGTCCTATCCTGATCGAAGTAGTAATGTATAGCACTTCACCAGCCATTGTCGGTTTTCTTTATTTCAAGTAACTATATTGTTCAGGCAACGTATATTTGATATAAGCCATTGTTGGTATTTTATGACAAATGTTACATTTAACACAATGTTGTTGTATCGCAATCATCTGAGAATCGGTACGATCTTAAATTTTCAGGTTTATTATTATTGTTGTCATTATCATTATTTCTAATTTACTCATGAGCATCAAAATTAACTGCACAAGAATTCTTAATGTTGCAGTACTTTTAGGCTGCAGCATTTACAAAAAAAAAGATATTTTTAGTGGAGTATAATCTTGTTACTCTTCTACCAAAAGGATCATGGCATTAAGAAAGACGGTTCGTACACTCGCAGCCCTCATGCTACGAGTAACTATGGCTAAAAAGCTAAAAAACAAAAGAAAGCCGGGACCGACGAAAGAGAATATTCTACTTGTCCGTGTGACTTTTATGCGTGGACGAGGTATAGGATACCGCATTTCACATTTTGACGAAATGCAAGACTCTGGATAGCACTAGCAAGCTTCTCTTATGCCAAGGCAAAAAGAGCTTGCCGATCCATAATACTATTAATACGAAGGCTCGGACTCATTCGGTTTCAAATTCATTATTCAAAAAGGAATTGAGAATTAGTGAAAGATAATGGCCTTAACAGATCCAAATCCGACTGTCAAGACCGAGCCCCACACTCGGCCCACATGCGATAGGCTTTACTTGTGGTGTCCAATCGTTGGTAAATAGTATTACTCAAACGCTCTTAAAAAAGCTCTATACTTATTTGTATTTCGCTTAACTTTTATAACAGTCGTATTGGAATTCTATATTCTCAAGGATAAATAGTGTTTTTCGTTAGTCAATTGAATAAAAATGAAGTGCGTATTTTCTTACTACGTGGGGAAAATGGGACGTATTGGAAACTTCCACCGTCTAAAAATTTCGTTACAAGAAGATAATTAGTGCCTACGAACGAGTTTTTTGTTGTTTCCACTGTGACCGTATTATAATCGATCATAGGACGTTGGTAGGGGTTCACATAATATTACTGGTAGGGGGCAGCAGTCAAGGTGGATAACAGAGCTCCTACTAAAGATGTCTTGACTCTTGTCGCACGACGAACTTATTCATGTAGATGATCAAGTCAGACACACGACCTCTGTTTGCTGCTTGACATGAGCCATGGTCATTGTAAATACTTAGTCCAGCTCCAAGCGCTTACCGGTAAGCTAATTTTTTGTGAGATTGACTAGTATTTTACCAGGGAGAAATGGCACAAGTCTTTCATTCGCTTTATTTTACCATCCATTTTTATTGTGACTATGTCTAATCTAATAATGTGCACTGGGTCTGTTTATTGATCTGTCACGATATTGCAACTTCTATGTAGGTCTTGGTCGTTTAATTACACTATGATGAGCTCTTTGTATTGGAGTTGGCAAATATTGATCTGTTTCCGTAATTGCTTCGAGTTTTACGTCCAGTATTGCGGTAGGCATTTCATCAGATGGCTGGCTTTCAGCATGAAACGAAGTCCGTCTATGCTTGGGTTTGAACCTAGACCCCTCAATGTGTCCCTAAAATTAGGATGTAAACATGATACCCTTTTAAGCTGTGACTGTTTAAAAGACACTATTTGTGATTAAGGAGTTATCTTGCAGCAAAGCTGGTGGTGGTGGCTGTAGGGTCGTCCTGAACAAACAACGCTCGTTACTTCCGAACCTTGGCTAAGATAAAGCACGATCTCGTAGTGTATCTGCTGCTCATCGAAGATTAAAGCGTTGGCAGTGTTAGTAGTAACAGTGTTTCGTTTCATTGATGATACCCTCTACTCGTCGCCTATTGGAACTATGGGTAAATTATTAGTGAAGAAAATGCCAAAGCAGAATAGCAGAACTCAACTGGCTTAGAAATGAACATTGATAATAACATACTTCGGACCGTTACAGCTCGACCTACTTGTAAATAAGCTGCTGCTGTTCCATTGCATATTTACCATATGTTAAATTTGGCTAAAGTTGAAAATTGTTCCCTAATTACTGTTCAGTATAATTATATTATATATTATCAGTATCATCAATAAACTTTGAGCTTTAAGAACTGTGATGACTGTACTATCACGGCAGTTTTTTCGACGATTTTTTTAGTAGTAACTTATATTTACTAGTTCTAAATATGTTCAAAGCGTTCCTAAATTTTAAGTTTTTAAAAAATTCTAAAAGAGATTGAATACAGTTTTTTTTTTCTTTCTTGACCATGACGTTGTTGTGTCATACTGTTCAATCTTACAGAGATCGATTTAAAGATTAGTACAGCTAAATTAAATGGCAAAAAGATAAAGTTGCAAACGTGATACCGCTGAATAGGAAAGGTATCGTACAGTTCGACGACACTCTACAAGAATCATGCTTGTTTATGACATCATCAATCCGAAAAAGTTATGAAAATATCGCATGTGGTTGAGGTTCATATAAACGCGATTTTAATAATAGAATGAAATCCTTAATGGAACCGCAACTTTCACAGCGCCTAATAGGTTCTATGTCGTCTATCATACGTTGCTAATGCAGGCACACTATGTGCATCTAGTGTTCCTAGACGTGATTTCAGTCATTATTGTACTAACATTAACGCTTATAGTAATGAAATTCACAGATGTATTCTGTAAACAGTGCCGGTGTACGCTTCATCCTAGCGCTTTTTCGATGAAGGGTTATAAAAAAAAATATTTTTCGATACACAGAACTGAATTCCACTATCAAATAATGATAATTGTGATGTTTGTTTAGTAGTAGAGCAGACACGAATATCGTTTGCATTTGAACCTAGGCATGCGCAGATTTGAATGGCTTAGTCGAAACCCAAATTACACTAGCTGTACGTTCTACCTGGTCTCTTCAGATCACTCGTAGTGAGCCACTTGCTTTGAAACCGCGCTAAAGACCGAAATCTGATGTAGACGAGTCAGCTGAAAGTAAACCCTTAAAGGCTGTCAAACAATTTCCATTGCTATCTTTTTTATGTACGCTTCGATAAAATCGTTGAACGAGGATTAGTCTGTCATGTGTTGTCCAATTTGTAGATGTGCTAATTAATCAAACTCTACTTCTGTAGTCCATAAATATCGTTAATAATTAGCTCCATGATCTGGAGCCTCTATACGCGCCGCGCTTTCACCTGCAATATGATATGCTAGGGACATTGGCGAGCTCGCTGATGAAGATATAGAAACACTGATAATTCGAAATAAATGCGAAGTGGAAGTTGCGCGAATAATCGGTTAAAACGAGACAAAAAGCAGTGGTACAGCAGTACAAGATCGACCCATCAGAGGCATCGGCTAAGATGAATATTAACATCATTCTAAGATGATAGGTAGCAGAGCTCGATAAAATACTTTCGATTTTGTGTATTTTCCTTGTAATGTAACTTAAGATTCGATTTCGTTTAGAACACGAAGAATCTAAGGTTAACTTAGTGTAATGGCGTAAAAGCTCTTCTCTTCAAGATAAGCTATCCAATTCAGTTTCGTTTCGGCTATTTTTAGGTTATTATTTCCTCCTTTCAAATTCATAGTTAGGTCAGCTGTCTTAAATTCCAAAACAGACACAAATACGGTGAGTTCACAGTATTTGGTGTTATATGAATGAGTTTCGGTCAAGGCAAGTCAGTTATTTCTGAATAGAAGGTATGTCCTAAATATTCTTCTTGCTAATGCGATCACTGACCCACCTCACCAACGATCTATGTTCAAGATCTAAATGAGTCAACAGCCTGCAATTTTTTCAAATGGTTACGTCGCCTTTCTTTTTCGCAGGAGTCTACTGCACCAGAGGCAAATGGAGCGCATTTAAACCTACATAAAAGCGTACTCCCTTGCAGAATTAAATATTGAAAGTGATTGTCATCAAAAATACATCTACAGGACAACAGATATCGGCAGTGACCTTTCTTCGTTGTTGCGAGCGTATATGACGACGTCGGACGACCTATGGGGATATCACTGGACTCGAATAAATCCGCTAATGCTAACATGGTGAACACATGTCGAAACGTGGCTGGCAAGGAGATAGTGTCTATCGGTCTCGTCAGTTCGAGAATACTGGCCATCACTATAGCACTAACAATATACCAGTGTTATTGTGTTGCGCACTAAATGTTGGAGGTCTTTGCATCGATTTCCATTCACATACTTATATATTCTTTGTTATTTAATTAAACTTATCATACAGTATGTTATAAGCAGGGGGTCCTAGCCTTCTCAGAAACAGATACGAAAGACTGATACCAAATGCCTAAGATGAGTTTTCGTTGATACTGACTATGCAAAAATGGGATGCAACTAAAATAATACTAATAAAGCTATAAATGAAAAAGACACAGATTACACTAGAATTATCCAATTTTCCTTTTCAGTGATTCGTAAGCAAGATTTGAATCAAACCAACAGAAATAAGTGAGATAACGATGTCAAATAAGTCTGATGGTAGAGTCGGCAATGCTGAAACCTGGCGTGACTGAACCTCCATCTGTAGGAAGGCAGATCTATGGTAGTTTCAAATTCGAGCTAATACAACTGTATAAACTTATGTTAACTAGGTATTAGCGGGACAACATCGACCTTCGATAAATATGTTGAGTCAACTTTTGCAATCAGTTAGACAATGTAGAGGCTGATGGCAAGCTTTACCTTATCAGAAGGTGTCAGCTGCCTTTGACAATGTGTGGTCTTTTGGTATAGGGGAAACAGAAGTACAACATTGTTAGTGTGCATTTTCCCTTTTAGCCTCAATAAGCTTTTGAAGTTTTACTGTTGTTCTTGTCGTTATTCAATCGACTACATTTTGTCATCATTCAGATGATTAACATAACAACTTACATGAGTTATCATTCGTTTTCATGCGTGGCAATAGCTTTAATCAATCGAAACGTGAACAGAACTAGTTAATACCTAAAAGGGCTAATGACAGAAGTTGCTAATAACGCCAGCGGTGCTCATGTCTTCCGATGTATCACGCATGCTTCTGTAATAAAAGCGATCCTAAATAATAGTATTGATAAACGAATGTCCGCAGAGCAAATTGTCCCGGTGAGCTCGGCCGGCGTACAGTTTAATCGTTACGTAGGAGGATGCCGCTATGAAGGACCACTGATACATCAGGATATCTTTACTGTGTCTATATGCATATGCATATCCAGGTAACGTATTACAGCGTCCAGAGCACTTTCACCAATTCTCTTTGTCGAAATACCCCTTTTGCAATAGCGGAGATTCTTTATGTAATACATTCCTTTTTCGTACAGTTGAACTTAATGGAATCGGTAGCCAATCGGATAGGGATGTTACTAGTAGACGCATTTAATGACGGTATCTTTTCTTGCCAGTATCCACTTGTCTAACTGCTACGGCTACATTTAACATCACAGGCGGAAAACAATCTCGATCGAAAACTGCCGTGTTATCGTCAAACAGTGTGTGCTATAAATTGCTCTTTATATCTTTAAAGTGACGACGATTTCTCAATCAGCCACCGTTTACTGACCGAAGCGTGCGAGCCTTTTTTAGGCAGTGTGACTCATGTTGTGCGTATCTGTGACGCATCTGTTAAACATGGCGGCGCCTGTGGATAATACACCAGTGTGAAGATATTGCCTCGCGCGGTTGCACTGAAGTTTACCACTGATTTAATTTAGGATCCGTACTTATTCAGCTTCGCAAGTAAGACTACTATACTTGTAAATTTTATGGCGATGTTGCGGCTTAGCCATGTCGGATGTTTCTCCATGCCTATGTGTGTCAGAAGCAACTGCATTGTTTCTCCTCATAAAAAAATGGGCAGGTATATAGCATTAATGGTCGATAAACAGCCTCGAATCTTTAGAATTAGATAGTGTAGTCACGAGGCTTGAATGTGGTCAACGGACATAAAAAGCCTTGATAGATAGTAAATTATCGACTTTATAGATATTCTTTTTATTTAAGTAGATATTCTGAGTTGCTAAGTCTCCCGTTTGTCCTCTTGTCACTATGTTTGTAGGGCTGACTCCCAACACCAGTTGCCGGTGCATCGTGACGCTCTCGTAGCTTTCATTATAATTTTGTTTTCATTTAGCTGAAATAGTTCGTTTGTGTCCTTAATGTTTAGAGTTTTACATCCGACACAGCCGTTGAGCATCGTATTAGATGGCTTGCTGTAAGCATGAAACAGTGTGTCCACGCTCGGATTCAAATCCAGGCTGCCGCGTGTCTTTCAAGTTTAGCTAGTCACTACGCCATCAGCAGGACCGATTTTCTATTTATTGTCTCTCTACTCTACTATAATATATTCGTTGTTACTATTGAAAATTGATAACGAAGTACTGTTTACCCCCACTTTCGCTGGCCAACGAAAGAATTCGTTATATCAACGATACAATCGGCTGTCACGTTTCTAACAATCAACGTGAGCTATTTCCTGCCAGAAAATAATTTACCGCAACGTTGCATGACAGTTTCGGTCATTTGGAAATAGTCCACATTACCTAAGTCGCTTTCTTCCGTGTTGCACGAAGGTACGCGCGTGGGCATGCTCTAGACATTTCGGGTAAAGCTTGTCTTTAGGCTATTTTCCGCTGAAGTACAACCGCAGAAGCATGTGATTCTGACCTCTGCGTTTCTCACGGAAGCATTGTCTGCATATGCTCAAGTTAAAGACACTTAATAGAGCGAATTGGACATGATACTTAACTAAAAAAGTACGATTGTGTATTGCTGGTGCCTATTGGGGACTTGTCGTCGTTTTTTTAGCATGCAATAGGATAGCTGAAATGACGAATATCTGCTCTGTAAGCTCCATTAGCCCGTAAATAAATTAGCGCCGATATGCGCGAGGTGGTTATTTAGTCTAGCTCCGTCTTAACGCGCTACCCCAACTAATTTCTTCGAAGACAGAACAGGGGCGTTTTTTGGGATTGATTTTAACGATTTGAAAGAATTAAACGAAACAAACGGTGTTTATTAAATGGACAATGTTTTACGTACAATGCTGATTGTGATGGGTAAATCTCCATTTACTGTTGGTCCTATCCTCTCCAATGTATCGGTTCGACCTGCGCGAGTCGGTGATCGGCAGCAATGGGTTGACGTTGCATTGCTTATCACGTCGCATTGTTTTATTTTTGTGGTAGTAGGCGAATCCTTTTAGCTTTAAGGGCCTCGCTACTGATTTCCCTCACTTATCCATGACTATATAGTAACTCCTTAATTACAATCGTTGGCTGTCACCATTTAGAGGAACAAAGCGGTTACAGCAATATCAGCAGCTTACACAAAGAAAAAAGAATCGTTTGCATACGCCGTTAAATTTCAGCACCTTAGCTCCTGGCGCTATGTCGACGCACGATTACGATTTTATGTTGAAATTGTTCCTTGGGGAGCAGAGTGTGAGCAAAACGTACATCTCGTTTCTCTGATAACGATTTTTAACTAAACTATTGGTAAGAAGAAGTACATAGAAAATAACTAGTATTTGAGTCATACGAGTAGTCAACAATAAATGTGCTAAATGCTAGTAACAGCCAAAACAAGCAAAGAATATGAACATATAATGACGCTACCTTCGCTTCCGCTGTCACTGCGTATTCCTGATCGTCGATAGCTCTTTGGCACGAATCGACGTCAAAGTTAAAACTATTGTGTCAAATGGCAAAAGGATCAATTTGCAGGTATGGGACATTGCCGGTCAGGAACGATATCGAACCCTGACAACGTCATATTATCGAGGCGCGAAGGGTATTACACATATCTATGATATAACCAAACGGCAAAACGTTTAACAGCATCGCAAGGTGGGTAAGGTTCATAAAAGAGGCAAGTGTATGTAAATAATTACTTCATATTATTTGAGGTAATATTACAATCAGTTCCGTACTAACATTAAAAAATAAAGGGGTATACGTTTAATGGGTTAAGGTCCCACAAAACCCCACAAACCATATACCTTAGCAGTGAAATCTAATCTGCATAATACGCTCGGTTTTAATCTCGTCAAAAGACAAGCTATCTACAGTTTAGAGGAGCTCTGAGAGAGTATCTGATCCCTTGACTAAGCAATTCGACATGTTTGTCCAGCTTAAAGTAATTAATTTAAAACATAATTGAATTAAACTATTTGCTTTTGTAAGGCTACAGAAGTACAACAAACAAGGCTTAGTCGCGAAAAGATGATGGCACAGTATTTTCTTCAGCTATTAAATATACAAAATGCTTATAGATGTTTATTGCACCACCAACACCGTACTCTAACGGAACAAGACGCTTTAACATGTTGTTTCTATTATTTTATAATATTCTAGAGTATTAGTTACGTCCGTTCGATGCCCGCAGAAATCAGAACTTCAGGATCAATTGAGTTTGACGAACAACTTTATATTGTTAATTAACTGCATATAGACGATTTGAATTGTGTGCCGATGATGATGTAGAGAAGATACTTGTTGACAACAAGTCCGACATGGAACCGCATGGAACTTTACCGAAACGTCAGCAAAGAAGAATATTAACATTGACGACACATGTACCCACCTCGTGAAAGCCATTCTACGGAAACGTTTACCGGTAATGATGGGCAGAATTCTTCTAGCCTTTTGAACTTCGAACCTCGTTAAAAGTTACATTTCTTTATTGTGCCGAAAGTTTTTCCGAACTTGAAAAAACGGTTCGTATAAAGTCACGTGGAGCGTCACTCACGTGATGCCCATGTGACTTTACACATGGTGACGCCACGGTGGTGACGCAGCCTACGTTTGAAACAGAGAATGAACACGCTTCATTTCATGGAAAGAACTAGCCATCAGAAGCAAAATTCAGCGATGGCACCGGGAATAGAACTGCATTCGTTTAGTTAGTATAACGCTATTAACGCGACTAGCAAACTGGTATTCACCCGTTTTCGTTAAATCGAACCATGCATAGTAGGGTTGGCGCGAATGCTGAGGGAACTTTGCTGGGTCTAATCAACTAAACTAACTGTTGCTATACCGCTTAATTATAGAGGTGTTTCGCCCTGTTTTCCATCTGCGATATTTACATTAAAGTTAGCTAGATCGTTGCCCCTTTGCTGCCCTTTTCCTAGCACTCTGCTGGCCCAACGAATATTGTCACGTTTAGTGCTGACAAGGCCAACTTTCGTCCCGAAGCCAAGTGCTGCAACCTAACGTAATCTGGATAGAATCTGCAGGGAAAGGCTGACTAAATGTGGCATAATTGATGCCAAGATGTCGGCAGGGGTGACGATGTTTTATGGTGTGTAAGCTTTTTGCTGCCCTTTAACTAATTTCAATGATTTGACTCGAGTACAATTGGGCTTGTGAAGTACTTAGTAGTTAAACTATCATTAAACAAATTGTTAGTATGTACCACTTATTGTAGTTCTATTAGGCTTTGGATGAAGTAAAAGCAAGGAGATACTCAGAACACACGAAGAAGTGTACACTAGCTGAACTTCATACGTTCGTAATACAGTGGTCATGTAAGTTATGCGGAGACCTACGAACTATGCATTTAGGCCTTGAAATATACTCGAATTTGATAAATATGAAACGATAAATTGTGAAAAAAATACACAATTACAAATTGTTCTTCAAATTTCGGCCGTGAATATTGCCATTCCCTTTAATGCATTTTATAACGCTTCGTTTTAGTGAGAGATTGAATATTTTCGGAGTGCATTCTTGAGTGCAAATTTTCATGTAAGAATCGCTAACCTTAAATGACAGTAGATGTTTCAATTTAAGAACCATACCTCTATTCACTGTTTACTAGCAACAAATACTGCTTATTGACTGTGCTAAATCGTACTGAGCCGAGAAAAGCTTAATGTCTGCTTGTTGCATTTTAAAATTATCTGCAGTCACACCTACGGTGTTCAGTCGTGCGATTATTACTTATTATATATACAAGTATAATAGAATTATACTTGTTATTATAGCTTATAATCGTATATTAGTTAAATTCATATACAATGCTCCGTTCAAAATACAGGCTGCCAATAAAGGAGTTATTATGCGGTTAAGGTGATATAGCTAAATGAATATACTAAACCTTTGCGTCTATTAGAACGTCAATTTTGGCGGTAGCTAAGGCTTGTATAGCAATTACGATGATTGCATGAACTATTATCTTTGCAGACGTCATATCTAGGCAGTCTCTCATATTAATTTTAATTTTCTTAAACGCTAACTTTAATTTCAGATAGATTGAATGTTTGTACACTCTCTTGATCAATGCGCGATAGTAAATCACAGTTAATTATAGTCGTCTGTTTCGAAAAATATTCCCAGTAATATCGACATTTACTCACAATGACGAACCGCGTGTAAAGCAGCTAACACAATACTACTTAGCTGTCAGTGAAAGCATGAAAGGCACGTATACGATAGATTCTTGTTTTTACAAATACTCTAAGCTTATAGACGGTATACGATATAACCGAACCAACTTATGTCATTTTTTACAGCGTGAAATAAAGGAGAGTCAACCAAGGTGTGATGTGTAGCGATTCTGTTCTCCACAGACATGTGAGAATGCCTTAAAAATAAAAAAAACAAACTGGGAATAATGCTGACAACTGGACTGATTGAACGGCAAAGCCTTACATTCTTTTATTGAATTGAATATTTTTTTTTCTGTTTGTACATATAAAGAAAAATAGGCGGCTTGACCTGATTTGAATTCGTTTGTTCGGCAAATGACGACTTGCGCAAACTTACTTGCTTGAGCTAATACTCAAACATCTTAAATCGAACACTGTTGGGAAACGCATTGTTAAAACGGCTTGTTCATCGCGAGAATTCTTCTTCTGGCCATACTCGATGTGAAGGCAGGTTAATTCAACTCGACCTGTATTTAGCTAACTTGTTGGTGTATCACAGTCCTCAACGTGGAGTACACCGAGACGTCTGCATTATTCAGTGCAAGGCCGACCCCTAGAGATGCAGGAACGATAGTTGGATGAGAAACGCAACGGGACGTGAGTATGATCGTTTTTCATTTTGCTCCAGTCAGCATCAGAGAGAATCTAAAAAATCCTTCTAAGTACATATTTCAGAATAAGTATATATCGTGACACGGAAAAGACAGAACGCAACAATCGTGATTATATATTAGCTGGTACTCGAATGTATTACTTAAAAGCGATCTAGAGTTTCAGGTATTTCTACTACTAAACGCATTGAAGCTATGTGGGAAGCACGATTCGAGTTTGAGATTCTGAGCGAATTATAGTGAGCGTCTGGCAATTGAGGGTTTGCTTGCGAACTTGGCTACTTTTCCCATGAGAGTCATTGGATCGTATCAGGCTTTACTGGACTCAAAAAGAACACCGCCTTAGATACTGATAGCACATTGGTATTTTACAAATGGGGCTGACTGCATTTGAGATTTGATGCAATTTTCTATGGAAAGATCCCTTAGCGAAATACAGCTATAGTAGACCATGATACTTCGCATACACAAGGAGGGATTCTTCTGAACTGATTAGAAACTCTCAATAACTAGACCCCTGTTTTGATTATGTGTCATAGCGCCATGGAGATCCAGCTCGAGTTTCGTCGTCTGCCTTCTATTGATTAGAAAAAATACTGTTAGCAAATATCGGTTGCCATGAGCAAGCTCCCAACAAAGCTACCATAAACTTAATTGCATATAGTCTCCGTTGCCGATCCCTCACCTGAAACAAGTGCTCTATTTTACGGCAGCAATTACGGCAAAAGTATGGAGTTTATCAACGAATGACAAATGTCATTCGTTGACAAACTCCATACTTTGACAAGGCTGCAGCTGCGTATCGAGTACACACCAGTCTCATATAGTGTAGCTTACAGTTGAATAGAGAAGACGGCGGCAGATAGATGAAATCAACTTCAATATTTACTGAATTAGTTATCACACAGCCGCTAGAAAATAACTCAACTAACCAGAGCGTCTTTACAAAATAAATTGTCAATTTTTTTCCAGTTACGGGAGACTCAACAATATGATCCTCTATAAAAAGCCGAGAATTTATTTGAAGATTCGACTAATAAACCTCATTCATGTAATCTCTTTTAATACACAGGTAGTTTCCATTTTTCCATTTTTTTTTGGAGGGAAATATTCAGGTACCAAATTATGCACTATAAACAATGAATTATATAGAACTGATTCTACAGTCGGAAGCGCGGCCTAGACATCACACGAACAAGCTCAAAATTAAACCAATGGTAACAACTGCATCTCTATCACCAGTTACGACATGTCGTTTTATCGTAAGCCTTGAACAGCTTTGCTTGAGCAACAAAATTTACAAAAGAATCAGTTTTTAAAATTGTCCTCAATCTATCAGAAAATTATTCAGACAAATTTACAATATAAAGTAGTAGAGGAAGAAACTCACTACGGTTTTAAGGAGCACGTATATTAAATTCTGTACCTTGATGTATGAGGCTAACGCAATGAGCATCTCCAACGAACTTCATTCTTATTTGAAAAAACCTACAGAACAGACATGAATACCTGAATGAAAATGACGAAAGAAAGTGCTCAACAAAAAGCTGACTACAGCATGGTATATCATATGCTTATTTGATCGACCTTCGGCCTGTAATGGCCTCCAGTATTTAATGCTCAACCTGTTGCTATTGGCCGGATTGTTCTTGACACTAATAATCGACTAGCACGCTACCGGTACCTGATTTGATAACAAACAAGGCACAAGATAAAACAATGATATGGGTCTTGATGAGTAACTACAAACCTTATATTTAGTTACCATATATTATTGAAGACGCAACGTCTTCATAGCACAAAACTTTATTAGTGACTAAAACACCTAGTGGCCAGATCTTATTGCCTAACTTTGAATTCGCACAGGAACTCACAGAAATTGAAATTTTTGATGCCACTAACCTGGTCAAGGGCATGATAATATTACTCAATAGTAACGGAGCTTATTTTATCGACTTAATAAATTAAGACAATGTAGAGAGAGAACTAACTGTTTTGCTTATTAATAATGCGGCTTTATTCGTCCTCGATCGACTGATCCGTGTAGCTGGTTCACTACAGCGGAACTTTTATGTGGAGAAAAGTTATTTTTGTTATGGTTTAAACCTTTCAGCACCGGGACGCTTGTAACGGGCAATGTTGACTCAAAGCGCCATAGAAAGAAACGCTAAATATATTACAAAAATACTTCTATAGAAAGTCCAATCACCATAAAATGGAAAAGCAAGTTGACTGCTTTTTCGAGCAGTGGACAGTATCCTGCTAGTTAATTATTCGCACCTCTTTACTCTTGAAGACTCAATGAAAAATCAGTGTCCTAAACTCCATTGAGTCATTCTCCCCCAAGGCCTCCGGACGAGTGTGCCTAAAAAAGTAAAACACTTTTTTTTTTGAAAGAACTGAAATAGAAAAAATTGGCCCTCCCTTTTTGCACTTAACAAAGTAACTTCATTTAATCATCAATCTCAAAAATAAAGCTGATATAAATGGTAAATCCGTATTTCATACTAATGCGAATCCATAAGGTTGCTTTCGCATTACGTAGATTAGAAGCACCGCTTACTTGAAGCCTGTCAGAGCTTTCAGATACCATGCTCTTGAGAAAGCATTTTTTTAGATTTCCACCATTAATGTGATACAAATATACTTCGACAAAGACTGCATAAGCTACGCATATGTACAGGTAAGTATACAACGTTGCTTAGTTGTACACAAAATTACATTGAGATTATTCTATGTAAGTTGACTTCTCATATGTTCTGCACTTGTTCCTTTACAGGAGGGTCTAAGCGACTTGACGATTGAAGTAGCTGTTTCGCATTACGTTCGTTGCCTATTGTTCAGCAAATCTCTATTCGTGTGTTTTGATTTGTGTGAAAATTGCAATATAAGCGTTATGGGAAATGGTAGAGTCTATCTCCTTTTCTGTCTACTTAAAACGTATTTAATGATTATACATTTATATTTATAACACACTATAATATGTTAGGCCTCCAGTTTTCTTATTCAATGCTACTTATATCCCGTTTTTCCCGTAGCTGTTCATTATTATTATGAATTTTGTACAGGTTCACCAGAAGCACCCGGGCCTCGCTAACCTCACAGGACCAATTTGGCCCCCAAAGGTTTCCGCCAATTCAGCCTCGATGCAATCAAACGGCGACTGCAGCGCCACATTCGAAATCTACCACCACCTGACCCCGCACTGGGTAGTAGCATGGCACCTGACAGTGAAAAAGGAATTGTTTGCAGCGAAAATTGATTAAGTCTGTTTCGAGGTTCAACCTGGTTATGCGTAAAGATGATTTACGGCGCACAGATGGTGAAGACATGCTTTGTTACTCTGTATGCCAACGTATTTCTTGTTTTTGTGCATTGAACGGTGTCTTCGGTGTGATGAAATAAAGTACATAATATCAATAATAATTTTTACATAATATCGGCGATGTCAACTGTATCTCCGGAGTCGGGTACGTGGTTAGTACGAAAAATACGTTTAGCTATAATATGTGTCATATTTTGCCACGACATGTTTTCGTTATTTTTATAGTGTTTGAAGGAAATCGGATTTCTGCACTTGTTTATAGCACAGTCAAGTTGGTGGTAAAGTTTCAATTGTTTACGTGAATTCGGAAATAAGGCTGTAAAAAAAAAGCTGTAAGGCACACCAGGCCGAGGGTCGGACTAGAAGAAATGTTTCTTTAAACATTACAACAATGAGTGACTTAAGGAAAGCTACGACTTGTATTAGGCTTGTTTCAAATGCATTTTGCCGACGCTCGAAGCCTGATAAAAAGAGTTTTTCAACAGTTCTCTTTTGTAAATGGATGTAGCACGGTTTCGTTATTGACTAGATACCTTACTGTTGATAGCCAATGGATATATTCGCACTTCTAATGTTTGTGATGTTTGATACCTGTTTGTTTTGATTCCCAACGCGTTTACAGCTCTGGAGGGCCTGACACCCGAACAATCGGAACGGGTATGCGAATGGCTGAAGTTGTTCTCTATTTCAAAACGAGATTTAGCTGTGTGGAAATCGGTCCGTCAAAAGTTCGTCAGGTCCACGACATACAAGGCACGGCCTTAATAGCAGCGATAATTAGAACCACATCCCTCGATGCGAGTTGCTCGTATAAAGACAACAGACTATTCGTGTTCAGTAAAAGCACGAGGTGCACCTAGATAGAAAAAAAGCTGCCGAAAATTATTGTGCAATTATTTGTTCATCCTGCTTCTGCATTCGGATGCGTCGTTTTTCATTCGCTTCAATCGAATGCGTTACTTTCAGGTTCCAGTGGAGACCAGGGTTGACGAAGTTTGCCGAGATCTGTTTGAGTTGAAACAATTCGCTCAACGAATTGTGTCTTTGCTCCCTAGAGTTACGCTAGAAGTTGTCGCCAAAAAGACCCAGGGCGCATTTTCTGTGAAGGAAATCGCCCACTGGCGAAATGCTCTTGCCGCGATCCAACTTCCTTTTCGGTTTGTGTAAAGCTGTTTCATACACAAATAAGCCACAGCTCCTCTTAACGGAATCAAGCTGTTATGATCGTACACAAATATAAGGCGAAATTTATCAGTATACTGTGAAATATCAGCGTTATATCCTAGACGGCCATATCATATATGCCCAGACGATACTTTCAAAGCTTTTTTGCTTGCAGGTTTGACACTGGTTCACCGCAAGCAGAACTCTACGCGTTGGCTAAGAATGTAGAAGAATCTGAACTCAACGAAGCCGGACCTGAGTCAAGCGTCAACATAGGAACTGCAAAAATTACACAACTTCCACACAGTTCTACGAGTATTCGTCTTGTTGCAACGTCATTACCGTCACAAAGCTGGAGTCCGGCAGCTGCGTTGGACAGTAAAACCATTCCACAGCTTGGTCATTGTTTGTCTGTCACAGGTGCTACAACCTCTACCAAAAAAATTGCACCTACGGGGACCCAGGAAGTGTTTTACGCGAACCCGTTATCATCATCCGTAATGGCCCGAAATTTGCGAAGTTCGACAAAAAAGTTAACTATGGGCAACTCCCCAAGCAAAAATGTCGTTGCGATTTCATCGACTGGCGTTCAAGCGAAGGTCGTAGCCGTAATCGATAATAGAGAAAGGTCTTCTGCTTTAAATGACCCCATGAAGCGATTTGCGGTTAAAGAGACAACTTCGTTACCAAATATTATTTCGGAGGATTCTGTGAAGACCAGCACTTCTAAAACGTCTGATGAGTCTAAAAGAATGATTGACGATGAAGGGGACGCTGTGTGCAGTTCTCAAGCCTCCTTTGCGGTAGCCGTTAACACGTCAGCTACTTCAAAATCCACTAAAAGTTTTGACACAAACAAAATGGATCTCGACAAAGATTGCCAAGAACTGATTTTACCTGAAGTGGTTGATTCTACGACGGCAGGAACTCGCCGAACAGAGGTGATTCTCGAAGTCAGTGAAGATTCCAGTAACGATTCAAGTTCAAACGCTAAGAATACATTAAAGGTTAATCAGAGCACAAATGTAAACAATGTCCCTGTCGAAAATTCCGAGGCCACTTCCGCCATCGACAGCGAAAAAAATCCGCAGGAAAAACCGCTGTCACGACTGGAACCGTTCGTAGGCAACCCTTTTACTTCCACATTCCCGATGCTCGAATACGATCTACCAATCGTCGAGGTAAGAGGATCTTTCTCATGGGCCTAAAAAAGCATATTTAAGTCTTTAAATGCAATACCTATACCGTATGCGTCATCACTTGTTATTGGGCTTCTTATACAGACAGGATAAAACTCGCATTTGTCTTTTCCCTTGTTATTATGTTTTTTTACAGATATCTCCAATATTGCGCAAGTATCTATTGCAGTTCCGTGTCGAACCCGTTGAATACATATGGTGGCGGAAGCAAAGAGGGGACTCAATCGAATGGTTGACGCAACCTAGAGAAGTCCTCGATAAGGCAGATGAATTTTTAAGTACGTGTCAATTCGTTTTTTCATGTGCATTCGTAGCTTAGCTCTAGCTGGATACTATATTTACTTGCTACTACTATAGCACTTGATTACGATAATACATGAAGACCTTACGATTTTTAAACTTAATTTGTGTGCATGTCGAAGTTGTGCATGGCATAATGCAAAGAATTAAAACCTAAGGTGGGTATTTAGTCAAGCATTGAATTGTTGTTGTTGTTTTTGGGGGTTCGTAGCTTTTATCACAAATCTGCTGGAGCAGATATCCTGTCCAGATAAATCAGCGATCTTATCAGTGGCAAAGGCCTATGGTGTACAGGCTCACTCGCTCGAGAGATGGATACATTATAGGTAACATGAGTAGACACTATATAATCTGTGATTTTTATATAATAATAATATTAAATAATATAAACATTAAATATTAAAAAATAAATATAAAAGATAAATGAGTAAATAAAAGTCATATAGGTACGAAAATGTGACTTCATGTATAAACCGATTTATTTGATAATGCAGTGGCACTCCAGACCATTTCATGTATTATGTTATACTCGCTTTATAATTAATTTCGTCATGGCTCTATTACGGTTCACAGAAAATTGTTTAATCAGGACAGAACCGCATTAAAATTCAGCCTCTTTGGAGAGTCTTCCTTACGAAAGTGTACCATCGAGGACAGAAGTATTCTTCAGCTAGAAAAAATTAGCAGGTTTAAGCCGTAAGTTTTAAGCAACACCTGTAACTCTTTTTAGTTAAAATTATCATATTTTTGCTAATTGAAAAGGATGTAAAGTTACGCTTTGGTGTGAAAGCTATGCTTGACATGTGACTTACGCGTTTTTTAGTAATTACCTGGGTACGGAAAACTCATCGTTAGTTTTTGTTCATTTCCTTCACAAAAGCGACGGCATAGGCAGTTATTTTAAGAAGCTTTCTTTTAGATACCAAAAGCCTGCTCATAGACTTTTACAAAATCTTGAATGGAAGATGTGCCCCATTTTTAACAACTGTCAACGTGACTCAACCTTTCTATTAATTCGTATGACTGATAATAATTTCATTTCCAACTACTATGTCTTAAAACGCGATGAAATTTATGACTGGTCTACGGTTTTCAGGCCTCCAAAGCGACGTCGCGTATCATTTCGGGTGGGTCGAATGCAGTGTTCGGATCAAGAGGTCGTCGAAAGGGTGATGTCATTTTATATGCTTTCACCTGCCATCCTTGACCAATTACCTCTCCCAGAAAATATCTCGGTTCAGGAGAGTCCTGAGTTTTTACACTTGTTACCAATAGAGAAACTTCTCTATGACCTAGAATCAATCATTATCAACAAGTGTGAGGTAAGCATATTGCCAAAGTTGTTTGCTAGTAGCACTTCCGATATATGTTCCGCAATACAAGAAATTTAATCTGCGTTGATTTTTTAATTCATGTGGTATACTTGAAGATCTAATGATGTGGTGTTAAAGAAAGCATGTGCTGGTCCAGGTTCAAGAAAGGCGGCCTGTCGATGGTACCGGGCCTCAAAGGACGAAACATTTATAGTATATACTTAAATGCATTTGTCTGCATATCTTTTGTCTTGATGTGAAATGCGTCTAAAGAGCTGTAAAAGCCTCGTTTGTGACTTACTTGTATGTAGGTCTAACCGATTTTAATTTACTTGACGTTTCTATTTTGCAAATTACAGGTGAGTCAGTTCCAAGAAATGTTTCCGGCTGACGCGGGTCGTGTCTGTTTCGGTCCAGCTCTTATAAACCGATCTGGTCGGCTCCGATCGCTCTATCAATTACCTCTAGGGGATGCTGTAGCAGCAGCTGTCGAAGATAACTCGCGCCTGCGAAGTAAAGAGGTAACTTTACCCGCCTATTTCGACACAGCTTATGATGGTGCCCAGCCCGTAGTCCCTGTCGACGCGACCTGCGCTCTCGTCAATGCCATTCATACAGGTTTGTTAATTACTCGACCTAATTTAGTAATTTATTGCAAGGTTATTAATGTTCCACCAAAGAAAGCAATTTCCCTGAATTTGTAAGTATAGCATTGGATGGATTATTTTTAGGCTGTAACTTTTGAGCTATTAAAAAATTCCGCACTAGTTCGGCAGAGAGTTCTCTTGCGCGTACCGAATGTTAGTACTACGTTAAAAGAAACAGTTGTTTCTTTCTAATGATAAGTTAAATCTTGATTACGAAGTGGCTCACAGAAGAAGCGAACTCTCGTTTCTGTATGCAAACCTACGACTCCATGGCCTCATCTTTTCAGGCTCAACAAATCGAGACCGCCAAAGAGTCAAAACTCGGGCTAAGATTATGGATGTGCTGAAGAAATACGGCGCAGTCGATTTTTCTGATGAGGTTGCATGCGATGAAGAACAAGAAGTGACCGGCTTACGCCAAGAATTTGTGGTTCCATTTATCAGCAGGCAAGAAACAGACGCGGGGGACGTTGAAAGTGACGAATATTATGTTTATCAAGAGGCAGAAGAGCAATATTATAATGAAGCTACACCAAGCGTTAATGTTCACGCTTCAAGTAATGATGACCATAGCGCAGCAGATAATGAAATGTATGAAATTCGTGTTAAACAGGAGCCAACCGAAAATGATGAGTAGAATTTTTTGAAGCAAAAAATAAGTGCCTTGGCTGTTTAGTAAATAGAAACAGCTACAATGAAATGTGCCTATTGTTAATAATGTTTAGTCTTGTGACAAAAAGCACGAGTTTTCGCACAAGTAACTGAAACGATCGAAATGTACCTAACAGATAAGTGATCACTGATATTGCTTTGGGTATATAACTCAGTTTGTCTAGCGCTTTACTTTCTCCTAATTTTACTAAATTAGCATTCTGTGAAAGTATAGTTTTTCATTTCATTAGTTCATTCAGAACATACGCAGCCCGTGGCGCGATATAGATACACCAAGAGCTTCTCTTACGTTACACTTTCATGCTCCTTAAGCTCATGGACGAAGTAACTAAGATGAGCAGAATTCAATAATTCTTAGAAATAAAATTTTGTTTCCGAACATCGGAGATGTCCGCTTAAAAAACTTTGCCTGCTTATAAAAGTTGTGTCGATACATAATCGGAAAGATTTAATTTAGAAAAGACTGGGGTGTAAATTGATTCAGCCGCTGCCTTAAGTTATCGTATTGCCGTGGATACTACAAAATACAATTCACACTGGCAATTTGGTCTTGGGTTATTCTGACAGTGAACTGGTCAGATGCGGAGGTGAGTATCTCTAAAGACGAGCGGCCTGCTGTCACCTTCCTATATCTACTAGTAGGTGTACCATTCTAAAACCTCAGTAGCGAAAGTGCACTAATGACTAGCTACGAGCAGAGAATTAAGCTGCGCCTTGGTTATCGCATATTTAATGTACCTTGATCATGTACAAAAAATTGATTAGTAAATATATACTAAAAGATTGAAGCTACTTACTAATAGGATAATGAATCTGCAGCTGTACTAGTGTGTACGATAGGGAAAATCGCAGTGAGTAATTGGCGGGACTTGCAAAGTTCTAAGTTAATTCTAGTGGTGATATAAAATTTGTTTGAATTTAGATTTGAAATTTTATAGTAGAACTATTTTTTATATGAAAGAATACGCACAGTGTGGTAATGGACAAATCGTGGTGGGAAGATGAAATGACTCGGACAAAAGAGCAGTGGCTAAAACAAAAAATAGTACTAGTATATTCTAATAAGGAAACGGGATGGCCCAGATAGCAGGACAACCCAGTTATACAGTAGTTGGTTGAATGTGACTGATTCCTATGATCGGATAACAAAAAAATAAAGATCTCCTATCGACCTATTGGTTACGCTAGATTCGATATACTACGAATGAAGTTAATTAACATGGGAAGAGACTCGTAAAGAAATTGAAAAAAGATAACGGGATTGTTGGAACAATTCAATAGAAAAATGGGATCGGAGTCAACCGGATAACTGGTACGCCATATTTATCGTTAAATTTTGTATTAGGTTGTGTGATATTAACGACTCTGATAAACCAAATCAATAGGAAAAACCCTTCCGGTCAGTCTAACTAAGACAATTATTGTTAAACCCCAAACGAAAGTATCAATCACTACGCAGAATTGAAAAATTATTTATATTTTTTATTTAATATTTTTATCCTTGTCTTAAAGACCTCTCTAGCCTAAGTGCGTGCATTCTTGAAATTTTCGTTTCATCTTAGTTCTGCTGTTATGCTATCATTACTGTGTCATCCAGCTGTTTCGCGAGATATTTTGGTGTTTTTTGCATGTTACACGTGTCTGTTTCTCTCTATAATACCATCACTGTTATTATTATTATATTATTATCAATATTACCGTTATCATATAATTAAACTTTCACATTTTTATCAACTAGACCATTCATCCCCACCCAACGCCGTTTAGCTAATCTGTTTGACGCGGATTTGATTCTTCATTTGTCATTATCAGCATAGGTTAAACAAAACCGTTGCTGTATTATCAACTTTTGTGTAAAGGTTATTACTTCACGCGTAATAAAAAGGAATTCACATGAACCAATTCGCATGGCCTTTCCCGACACGATTTCACTTTGCTCGTTTCTTCGGCAGGGCTGAAGCTCGCAGATCTAATAACAAGGACAAATGACAATGAAGAACAGTCGACCTAAATACCTATATGTATATATATATATATATCCCATGTCATATCGATTTAACAGTTTTCAATTTTTTTCGTAACCGCCGAAAGTTAGCAAGTTCACAAGAAAGTTTGCACTTGTTTCGATCATCGTAAAATCAAACGCGCCATAAGCCCTATGCTAGCGCACGGTTAGATGGTGAGCTATCGGTGTTCCGACGCCGTGATCCCATCTGTGGTCCCCATCTGGACAATGGTGCGTCGCGCCTGTTTCCAAGTCAACAGCATTCGACGGGCCTTATTTCCAAGAGGAGAAATCACCTTCGGAGAGGTAAAAGTCATGGTTAGCTATTACTGACAGTGTACTTACGTTTACTCTCTAATGGGTTCGCCCCATGGGTGAACATTTCTTTTTGGTTAAAGCTTGGCGGTTTTGGTTATCGGACGCCGGCAATTAGACCATTTGCGCTTCACTTCGAAGCCTATTAACAACAGACACCCGCATTTTTTGCTTTTCAGTTCGAGCGTTTTTAGTTCATAAGAAATTGAGGAATCAGTGCGTTGAAATAGAATATTTGAACAGATTTTACTGATGAACCGACGCTAGTATCGTAACTCCCGTTGATCCTTTAGTTGCCTTTTTTGCGGCCCACTATAACCAATTCGAATTGCTTCTGTTCCTCATTTTCGTTTGTCTATAGAACTATAAACAATATTTCTCGACTCGAATGAAGTATCCCTGACCCCATGCATCTTAAACAAACCATATGAGTAACATCGATATCCTCATACACACCATTTCCAACCCGCACTCATACCGTGCACCGTTCTATTTTTATTATTTTCTCTATCATTATTCCCTAAATTACTGTTATCGTCATTATTGTTGTCATATGTTGTTGGCCTTTAGCTTTCTGATATTTCCTTTCTCTTCCTCCTTCTGTGCCTATGTAACTGTCCTAGTTGTAGGTATAAAAATATAAAAAGGCTTTTGGAATACCTGGAAGCGGGATCTCATTACCAACACGTAGGTTTTCTACTGCCACCATCGTCATCATTATAATTATTATCACTACCACCAGTATTTTATCGTAGGCAATCAGTTGGAACAGTAATGCGGCTGAATACTGCAACTCGTACGCTACCATAAGCCTAAGTTGGCAGTACAAAAAGTAGTGGGTAATGTCCCGCGGAAATAGCATACCTGGTAGTTAGGCTATCTGCTATTTCCTATATGACTTTCTTCCTCTAACCCACTGATAGTCACTGTACTGTCGCCCTGCCGCATTCCGCTTTAACTCATGTGGGTTCGCCGCTGCTAATGTTGGCTATCATTATTATTTTCCAATTCCGTGCTTTTTTTGTGAGTACACACAGACAGGCAGCTATATGCTACCCTTCGATAACAGCTATCAGATCATCGATAGATCGATTTAATGTTTGTTAATGATTATGCAAAACAGAAGGAGGAGGTAATTAACATTGAAATTTCAAGCACACTTCAATTTACCTACAACAGTAGTCGTTGTCAGTAGGTCATGATTCGTCTAAAAGCTAGTCTTTACCGTTGAAACGGGCGTATCTTTTGACGTATTTTTATCTTTGCACTTCTCGCAGTGCTTTACCTGAATTTGGGGTGCCCCACCCTTATTTTCTTTTGTTTTATTGCAGTTGGTTAAAATTATGAATTATAACTTTCGTTTTGTTCTCATTCCATAGGCATCACTGCGACGTATTTGCAACACAGCATCTTCGTGAGGTTCATGTTATCTTATGTAGTTCGCATGCGTCTGTCTAGTTCTGGAGATACCAACAACGGAATATCAATGGTGATGATGGATATCCCTTACGAGTGAGGCATGCCCAGGCGAAAACAAGCCGGCAGACCTACGACAATAAGAACTCTTGTTAATTCCAAAACTTCATTCACCGAATATAAGTACCACTATAATTAGGCAGGGTTCGCGCTACTCGCATACAAAGCAACAGTTCTATTGAGTTGAGGGATATGAATAGGATCAAAGAGCATCGAGAAGAGGGCACATCATAGAGAGAAGGATCATCAGCGAAAAAGTTTTTCTTTTAATATGATATCTCTATCGTATTTACCAACTGGGTCAGGCTAGAGGACAGGTGTGACACTGAAAACTGATTATAAGTCAGGCTGCTTCGATATTTCTAGTTAAAAAAGAAACAAGGTACAGTTTAGTTTACTACACAATCGCACACGTCCACTTGAATAATGAAAACGCAACGAATCTTTCAACAGAGACTGTTCGATTCGTCGAAAGAATAGCGGAAAAAAAGCTTTACAACGGCACCGAATTGCCATAATAGAAAATTTTTACACGTATTTACGTATAATGTATCTATTCTTCTAGGCTGCTTCGATGCTAGGCGCTAGAATTTTCATATTTCATTTGCCTCAATGTGTTTTTTCTTTACGTTCAAGCCCATCGTTTACCCCCTCGTCCTTTGCTCCGCCGAACTCTCGAACCCTGTCAGCGGTCGGTCACTAGACAAACCGATTTTCCACAATTAAACCCGCATTTACACACGCACGTATAATACTAAGATTTCAATGTGTTGTTATTTTATTATGGTGACGCTGTTTATTTTTAGTTTATTATTGTTATTATCATTATCGTGTTTCGTGCTCTGTTTATTTTTTAGCTACTTCCCGTTCCTAAACTCGTCGAAGTTACCGTTATCCTTTGCTCACCGCATTTGTTGCTCGTGTTGCTATTTATTTTGCTTGTTTTGTACACTCAAAGATAGCAGTGGAATCACAGAACAGGTACTACAATCAACTCACTCGCTTGCCCGTTCGCTCCTAACGACTGACGACCCACCGATCAATAACTAACTTCACCAAAGTATTTGCTGCGTTAAATTTCAACGTCCGGAGTCTCCTCAACTTGCATATCAGCACTGCTTATTTCACATTGATATACTTAGTATATTTTCTTATTGTTACTATTACATTTGCGCCACCTTATTGTCAGTTCATGTCATCTGCATCAGCATTAATCTGTCCCCGTTACCATGATCACCGTTGAGTTCTATGATTTCATCCAGCCTACGAAGAACCCAATCAACCCAAGCACAGTTTTCAGTTTACCCGGACAACATCCTTGAATCTATTATCATTGTTATTATTAATGATTATTATTATATTTTTAATATCGTATAATATTCAGTAGTTATTATAAACTGACAGAGTTACACAGTTTTACGAGTCCCAGCAACAGTTCGTCCAGCGGATGATTGCTTTTAATGCGTACTGCTAGCAGGCTATTTTTGCCTTCATTATCTTCATGGTGTTAGTTATCGTCAAAATTATCGTCAAGATCGTCTTCGACGTCCTCATCATTAGCCGCCGTATCGTTGCCAACAAATTCACTGTAAACTGTGGGGTGGGTGATCTGCTCACAGCAAACTGGCTTGACTGATCAACCTCACCAATCAGGGTCCTGAATCGCCAGCAATTGTTCGAATTCGTTCAGCGCGCAACTGCTCTCTGCAGTTTCTCCATCTGTCGTAATCGGTGTTGTCATGTACAACAGCTCTACAGCATATTAAAATAAGAAATGCCGTAGATGTCCTTTGTTTTGTTGTCTATCTTCATCTGCAGATGCAAGGAAGATCGCTGTGACGCTCTGATGCATTCAGTTGCAGCAGTTCGCTCCGAACCGGCTTCGGTCACCGCCTCCTGCGACGTTCACTTTATCCTGAGCTGTTGCATCAATTGCCTGTTGAGAAATAAGAAAAACCAAGATGCAAATGTTAGGTCAAGGGATCAAAATCAAATCAAGGGATATGGAGTAAATTGCCAGACCATTTTATTTTCTTGAACCGGCAATTACTCAAGAAGGTTTTAAATTAAGTGAATGATCACATTAAGTAAATGGTTATAATTTATAAATCGCAAGCAACGTGAGATACGGATATTGCAAATGTTCCGTGAGCACCCGGCCAGTCAACGAATTGTTTAAAGACACCATTTGACGACAGAATTTCTAGATCAAGCTCGTGCTCAAAGGATGCAATTCTCTCTGTGAAAAATCGCTACGTAAAAATGCAGACACTTCAATTTCGAGGAAGATAATATATGGACCTTTTTCATGCAATGTCTAAATAATAAATGTTTACCAAGACACCGTAGTTTAGTCTATACTTATTTTGAACCAGATAAAAGGAACGGGCAAACCCTGGCATTGTGAAGTATGGAGTGTTTGAGAACTTTTACGTACTCTCCCAGACATCTGTTTCTGCAGAATAGCCTCGGCCAATTGCGTGAACGCCTCCTCAATGTTGATATTCGCTTTGGCTGACGTTTCAAGAAATTTGATGTTGTGGTCCCGCGCGATCGCCTCTCCTTTGTCCTTACTAATCACCCTCTTGGCTTCCATGTCACATTTGTTACCAAGAATCATTTTCTCTACGTCTTCATTTGCGTGTTCGTCGATATATCTGTAACGTTAGGTCGTAGCAAAACAACATCCAACCTTTCATTATATATTAAGTATTCTCTTTAATGGGATTTGCTCCGAGCCGCGTCCATAATGCATAACTGGGCATATAAAATATATAGCAAAATAGAGTAAAGAAAAATAAAGTCAACCACGGAGTCAGTGTGTGGTATAAGGAAATAAAGTCCACAATGAAGAAGCAGAAGTTTTCAGTAGATTTTTTAGACAAAATATATTTCAACTGTGAGCTTACTCTCTGCCCCTATTTTACTTTATTAATTGGACTATTCAATTTCAAATTTGAAAAGTAGTATGAATTAATCATAGCGAATTCGAAAGCATTGCATCAAGAAGCGCAAAAATTGCATGATAAAGTGCATGTCTAATGAAATATGCCTAAGGCATATGTTGCAGAAAACGCTACTAGACTCAAATGAAGCTTTGGTAATAAACGTAAATAGAATCAAAATAGATAAATTATTATTTAAGGATTCAAAAGCTGTTAGTAACACAGCTATTGTTACAGCCTGAAACATGTCAACTTTCTATCGTTTCGTAAGCAGTCGACAGCATTTTGATGAAAGCTAATCTAAAAGTCCACATTAGAATCGCGACTATGATGCAACTCATCTTGGCCCCGTACATGCAAGGCGTTACTCGGCAAGTGTCTGACGAGTCGATCTTGAGTACGCACTGTTATTATAAACAGGAGTAATCTTACTACCAGAGACATGTTTAGAGAGTCAACATATTGTTTAACAAGATTTCACAGGAATCATAGTTTCGACTAGTTTCGTCCAATGGTTTCTTCTATGATGCAATCTAGGCAGCTGAGGAACAACGCTTTACCCGAAGCCTGTCACAACTACGAACCTTAGCCACTTGGCAATATTTTCAAAACTCTTCTGATTAGTAATGTCATAGACGAGCATAATGCCCATCGCTCCCCTATAATACGACGTAGTAATTGTGTGGAACCGCTCCTGTCCTGCGGTATCCCAGATTTGTAGTTTGATTTTCTTGCCGTGTAACTCAATCGTTTTGATTTTGAAATCGATTCCTGAAATACAACAAAAAAAAAACACAGAGGATAAAAATACAGAAACATCAAACTAATGATATGATAAATATTGTCGCTGAAAAGTAGAAATCCTATTGGATAGATATTACCAAACTATAAGCAAGCTGTGTTATTTACAACGGAAATAAAACAAACGCGTCTCCGGAATCGTGATTTACCATTAAGCCCGGTCCATGATGGTGCCAACCAGTGTTGCATCGTATACAAAACATGAATCATGTAGTAAGAATTCAACTTTAGTCACCACTAACTCCATCCGGAAATGTTTTTTGACCTGACTCAAAGTGCTTTTGGAGGTTAAGCGTCATCGTGTTTTTGTGAGGAATGGCCTAAGCATACATATTTTTGACTATAAGTGACTACAATACTCAACATGTAATTGGATTAGAAGTAAGATTATTGCAGCCTGTTATATAACGTTTAGCATCTATTTTTTATAATTGTTACTACGTAATACGGTACCATTACTGCAAGAGCTAAACAGGGTTCAATATAAGGTGATCTTCATTTCTTTAAGATTGCATGACTCTCCATTCGAATCAGCTGGGTATGAACGCCAAATGTGTTTTTATTGTTGTTGTCTTTTTTGTAGCAAAGTGATTAATTGTCAGTGCAAGCAGTTCCCACAATTCTATTTAAAAAAAAAAATATATATATATATATATATATACAACAATGATTACCTACAATTGGAGAAACAACGATTCATATGCAATTTGCTATAAATAAACTGAGTTCTCTTCTTTATCCCCCCCCCCCCCGCTCTCTCTCTTATCCGGGACATTGTTTAAACGAGAACTCCACGTCCTTACAATAATAGCCAAAAGAAATATATTTTTGGTTGCGAAACGACTAAAAACATATTTCTGATAATGTGGCCAAAGATATGACACGCAAACTCTTTATTGCATGTGAAGGAGGCACCTAGAATAGTAAATCTATAGACTCTCTGGACTTTTTTGACCTATAGCGCATTATTCTCACTAAGTGGCCACTAATTTTATGAAAATCGATCAGATAAATTTTTAATATATACGTCAGTTAAGTATTTAGACATTGAAAATCTTCGGCTGGGTTGAATTGGTGAAGATTTTTCAATTTTTCTCGAAGCAACAATCTACAATTAAATATCGTCAAAATATTAAATATAATTCACAGCAGGTATTCAGAATTTCGAGGCCAGCAATCAATGTACTGTGCAACGCTAAATAAGTGATTAGCATATAGACGAACATGTGTTGTAACTATTAATGAAGCTAAAACGTTAAAATTGTGTCGTTTGTAGCATTTATTAGTACTGGATTTATTCAAACGTTGAAGGGCAAACAATTTAAGCACAGGGACATTTAATCCGGCACAGTTCACTATGCCTATTTCGTAACTTTTGAGTTTGTTCTTGTCAGCTTCTGCATCCTAAGTTCTACTTTGTCCCCGCGCTAAAAATCTAATATGAAGGTTCTGCTTCTATGTTCTTTTAAATGGTGAGATGTAAGCCAATTTTCGCCTACGTCACATATAGATAAATAGTTCACCGAAGTGTCTTAAACAAAAGCATCTCTCGAAGTATGGAAAAAACAAAAACACTCGCAAGCTAGAATAACACACTACTTGCAATACGAAGTAAAGAGACATAGTGCTTTTCTCAATTTGCTAAATTGGTATATATTATATTTCGAATTGTGCTCGATTACCAAAAAAAAGCAAAAAAAAGTTCGACAAACTCTTTATGTACGATAAATCGGTTATTAAAAAAATGCCACATTCTTATATTTGAATGTTCTGTTGAGTCCATATAGTAATATCGGACTTCTGATGATGGATATTATTTTTGTTAAATCACTCAGGGATACATTTAAATGAATCATATAAGTTGAATGGCACGACCTCGAAGATAAAAGGGAATTGCTCTTGGCACATATCTTTTGCGTATAATTTCTATGTCTATTGTTATTTATATTAGGCGGCCTGAAAGAAGCTTCAACGTACATTTACATCTGTACATTCGATCCTTTATCGACTAAAACAAAGCCTTTGCTGGCAAGTTTCCATAAGAAAGAAAAATCCATGAAGCATTGCTTCTACCAAAAGCACGAACATCGTCCATGCTGCAAACAGTTCCCGTATTCAGGCCGAGTAACTTCCCCCAAAAAACGAATCCAGCACCCGTCTCATAAATCTGCTCTCTGCATCATTATCGACGGGTGACATCTGTCACACGTTTATTTTACTGCTTTTTGAATGTAAGTCGATTGAAAACATAATCGATATAACGGGACGAGAACATTAAACGCGGAGCGCGGAGGCCCCGCTCACTTATCCATCATAACCATCGAGAACAAGCAAGCCGAGCTTCCTTCAAAATCGCAGCAGTTACGTTTCAATAGTTTTCCCTGCCGCCACTGCCGGTCGGAAGCACACCACTCTGTTTATCGTATTTTCCCGTAATTGAACAATTCGTACGCCAGGCGCATACTGGCTCAAACCAATCACGTGCGCCCGCCGTATGAACAGTGAAAGCGTTAAATTAAACTCAACCGCAGCAACAGGATCAAGAACGCCGACCCCAATAGCGTGCGTGTGCGCTGTATTTCTGTGTGCTGTGATGCTGCGACGTGCTACGCGACCCGCAGAGCTAGAAAGAAAATAACCCAGTTAGTGACAACGAAAGCCCAACCTGCTTGAGCTGGGCGGCGCGCTCGAGCAGACGCCCATACCCAACGATTCTACCTGCGATAGCAGCACTGGCGATGCGGCGGCGGCAGCAACGGTTCCAGTCACAGTGGCAACAGAAACACTAGTGTCGCCGGCTTCACAGGAGTGGGAGTAGCTCTGGCGCATCGCCAGCTGCACCAAGGCACCAGCGTCGTATGGCAGCAGACAGGGTATTTCCGATTGGCTCCTGTAGGACACTGTCTGCCGGCCATTGCTACCATGGCCCTTGGCTATTCTACCCGACGGCCACCTGTTTGATCTAAGGGAAAGAAAATGTAAGAAACACGTGGACAAAGAACGCAGCTACAAAGATTGATCTGCGACTACATTTTCATAGCGACTGGTGTGGTTGTCATTAAAGTCCAAACGAAAACGGAGGCCCCCACCTATTCGTCAATGAGTCATCCCCGACTATTCATGAAACACCATATGCATATGGCATGAGCATCGCCATATTACTGAATTGTTACGTTCTTTACTCCCAGTGTATTTTGCCTCTGCTGTTTTTCATAGCAGGAACCGTACGAGCGCGGCACACGCCGGTTCGCACAACCATTATAAATAAACACAGCGCAGTCGTATCAGCGACATCGCTGCGACGAGGATTGATTGTCGGACCAGACAGTTAGCATGTTATATGTACATGTAGGTCGGTGGGGGCCGGCGGGCTACCAGCGAGCAAATACGTCTATTATGTCGTCACCGCTGTCGTTGTCGTCGTCGTCGTCGTCGTCGTGGTGGTGGTCGTGGCTTGGTGCTAACGTATTTGCCTATTACTACTTGAAGTAAGGCAGGATTAGGGTTTAAAAGTGGGCGCACACACGGTCTATTTCTGATTGGAAAGTCACCGGCCGCCTGATACAAGAATGCTTCACAATAACAGGTATCGAATGAAAAATATGAAACATGTCAGGGTCCGTGTCTATCGATGATTCACCGAAAGCTGCGGTCAAAACAAGAGAGACCATGTTTGCAAATCATTCTCGTTCGATGAGGTGAAAATGCGAACAGACAGCCAACAGGCATTGATAAACACGTAAAGACGACTGAAGTACTATTCATATCAATAACAAGTAGCAACTGTGAGGTTGTGGAGACCAGTAAAATGCGGGGTAGTCCAGTCCAATGGTTAAGTTCTTTTAATAGTGGCTTTTAAAGTCACGTATCCTTCTGTGTTTGTTTTTAATACAAAAAATGATTCAGTAATAAATATAACCGGTGTATTGGCACGACGGTGTTCTGTACCTTATTGTTAATTATATATAATAATATTAAATAACACATGTGAGAATTCATATTCACAACAAGAGTTTATAAGATTAGCTACCTACCGAAGCAAGCAAAATAAAATTTTTCAGTAGTTGTTCTTGATAGCAGGCAGTTCATATAGTAATAAATCGAACCGTTAAGATCTGACCTAAAGGGGGCTGCCTACGACTAGGTCTCTACACAAAACAACCTATGCATCTCTCCCGGCTCGGAACCCAGATCACCTGTTATTACTCCGCCATCACTGGGACGTGAAGATGTAATAGAATCATGTGAAACAACTGTATACAGTGTTTAATCAGTATCATAAATGGTATTTGTATAGCTAGCTTCAGTGGACAACGTTCTCGTCCAACATTTAATAGAAGTTATCATATAGCTGTAAATTAACGACAACAAACCAAATTCTTTAAGGTCTGTTTTATTTCTCTACTGAAACAGAATTAAAAAGGTTGTTACAAATAGGACCCAAAATTAATGAATGGATGTTGACTTTAAGCTACAAACATTTCACGGAGCGCCGTACTTATAGACATAACTGGACTTTCATTTTTCCAAACACAGCATGAGACAAAAATACTTTTACCGTAAGCGATAAAACGTTTGTTTCAATTTGCCAAGAACAAGCCTAAAACAAATTGAAGACCACCTAGCTAGTCATTACGTAACCATTAGAATAGTTCTTTTTAGCCAAATGTTTTATTTGCCCGTACCTTTCCATGCCAAGTTTTTCTTTTTTTAAATAGCTATAGCTAATAAAAAAAAACATAGAACTACTAGTGATTGCGGTCCGACATATTTAGGCCATGGTTGTACCTGATTTCTTCCTTTAGGGCACCTTTCATTGGCGACATTTAGTGACGATTAAATAAGAACGTTTTGCAAATCTGATATTACAAACACATGCACCAGCAGACTGATGTAAACAGAATTGCGATATTTTGGTTTAATTTTTAGTTTAATCTTACGGAAAAGAGGACGGCGCCCATCAGCACCAAGGGGTAAGCGCTCGAGGAGTCGGTCACATAGTTGTGCCGCTCGTGCCTTTATGTACGCACGTTCGACGTAGCCGCTACCGTTAAAAGCATTGTATTAGGATATCAAGAGTTGCTCCCATCCGACGCTAATTTCTTAAGTTTCGCGCATTTTTTAACATACCGACGGCGGCGCGTCGGGCGACTAAATAATAATTTCACAGCTAACCAACCAGGCCTCAACCATAAGCAAAGTAGCAACCTATGCCGCCACTAACTACGTTGTCGCCCATGAGACAATTAAATTCAAGGAATCGAATGGTTTTTACCCATCAGAGGTTACACGTCAGACAATGAACAAGCAGCTATTATAAGATTGACCGGTTTCAAAAAGAAATCAGCGTCAACCGCAGACCATACATAAAGGCTTAGTAGTTCAGGACCCTAAGACGAACACCACCATTAGCCGAATTGGTCGATTGTAGTATGGTAACTCAATATTTTTTGGATCATCATACTCCTACATAGATTGCATATACCTACATGCAGTTGTATAAGAGTGAGAAATGATATAGTCATGAACCTAGTGTCTTCAGGAACAATCGTCTCTCCCCAACTTTGTATATGAGATCCAAAAAAGATATTCCAGTAATTTAATTTTACGACGACTATCGTTGAGCACACAAACATTTCCACTACGTGGAATATAATAAAAAAAATCAACTAGCCTAGACACGTTAGTCACCATTCTATGACGGAGCTCCTGTTCCATCGCTTGTTGTCGCGTCTAGCATTTGCGTTTCTCATCTTTAGCGAGTTTTGCAACGCGCTGCCTTGTCGCCAATGACAACGAAGCTCCGAGACGTTATTCTATCGACGATACTTGCCACGTAACGAAGGAGATGGTGGTGAGAGAGTGCAGGTATCAGTGGAGCGAACCGGCTCGAACCGACAAAATGTCGCCGGCGTTGCCACTGGCAGCTAAAGACAGCATCACTATTGGGTTCTATAGCGAGCTAGGAAAGGTTCGTTTCGCAGGTTTGTTGATCACTAACGTTAGTTACAGGCGCCTTGCAATGCAGCGTTCGTCTCTTAATATATACGAAGGTCGCGAGCGAATTTTGGACAGAGTCGATGATGAGCGGCTGGTAGAGACTGGGCTTCATTAGCAGATTGGGAATCAGCACAGTACAGCACAACGGGAAACAAATTCTAACTAGTTCCACTATTATTCATGCGATGATTCATTGCAAAAGCTTTAACGCATAATACACGTATAATAGAACCTCAATAGAACAACAATAACTTAAATAAGTAGAATACAGAGTCATATGTGATAATCTGATCTCATCTATCGAATCTAATACAAATAGACACGTGATGGAACACCAATAAACACTTGCTGTTGATCAATAGGAACAAAGGTTGTGTCTCTAATGGTTTGCATGACTGTGCTGTGATTAGCGAAGAGAACTATTGTTGTATCTAAATAGCTATAGAAAGCCTCACATAAGTTGCGGTTCGGGAAAGGATAACTCAAATGTCAATTTGTAAATGTCGTTTGCTCGCTAATAGTCTTATTTAATTTATATTTATTTAATTTTTCTTTGATTAACATTTTCCTCAAAATATACATAACATGTGTATTACGACTGGCACCCAGGAAATATTGAGTGGCAGCTGATATTGGTGTACCAACCTGAATGCCTAAACGAGAGTAAAATACTGATGCGTATAACTCGATTTAGCTGATTATCATTGAATATTGTCAACCGCGACTGCAAGGGCCTGTTCTTAACTGTAGTAAATCACATATGGTTCATTCATCCCTTGAATGGCTGGCGTCGTTGTTACATGATGCTGTATAATGGTGAATCGAACAAGTTTCATTTGAAACACTACAATTATCATAATAATAATAATAATAATAAGAACAGCAGTCCCAATGGAGATATTGTTGCTAAAAGACTAGAACCGTATATCTGCACATTCCTATTGGTTTTATACTATTATGCTAGTTGCAGAACTAGCATAATAGTATAAAAAAAGAAACTAACTTAGTAAAACTCACCGATCGTCGAGATGAATGTCGAATGAAAAGCGTCATCGGAGAAGCGGAACAAGATACACGTTTTGCCCACACCCGAATCACCGATGAGCAGCAATTTGAATAGGAGATCGTACGTCTTCTTGGCCATTGTTGCCGCAACAACGACTATCCTCTTCAATCGTTAACTAGAACACCACGAGTATCAATGCTAATTCCGATATTATGGCTGTTGTTGTTTTGACGCGACCAGCTTTTCTTTGATAGCTTCGACGTTAGTGAAAATATATCTAGCGAACTAAACTTATTGATATCAGACGATGTCAAGCAACAGCAACAAAAAAAAATTTATTATACACAGCGAAACATATCAAATCTCAAAGTGTCGGTTGAACAAAGCACCGTCACACGCGCCTTCTAACTGACGTAACGTTTTGTGGGTGTCTGATCAATACGAAACCTATGCAACAGTCGTAGATTGTTTTCTCTCTCACAAGAGCGAAAACTCGTTGGTAAGCGCACACACTCTAAGAACAAAAGCACCTTGTGTACACCTGCACAGCGTACGACACAGACACCACCTTATAAACAGACTAACTACGGCAGCTGTAACTGCACTCGGGTCGTACTCGCACTTTTCCTTGTTCTATGTAAAATCTAACACACACATGTGTCGGATATCTTCGACAATAACGACTAAAGTAGCAATGATAATACCACGAAAAAATCCAGTGCCTCGTTGGGCATTACAGTTATCGGTTGCTGACGGGTTTCAGGATGTTCGTTTCCGTCGTGAGTACCTATGTTTCTCACTAACGAAGAACGAGAAGATTCAACAGTTAACAAAACGAGGCCACCCCACCGCTGCTAACAAGCTTAGGCCCCGCCTCACAGAGAGAACTAGACACTATCCGAAACCTGGATTTGCTACTTGGTTTACGATACCTTGGTATCAAGCGATACAAATCGGGGTTGAACCCTGTACGAAATAATAAACAACCACCTTGGACGTTGCACCACTTTGTCCGATGGTAGTGATGGTGGCGCTGATGGTGATGATGGTGGTCGTGGGGGTACACAAACGGAGGAGGGCAGGCGACGGCACGAGCAAATACGAAAAAACACAACAATTTCAGGAAAAATTTTCCACGAAATTGACCACTACGAAAAACTCCACAATTGTTATATTTTCCAGCCTTCTACACTTCTCGTACATATAGTACAAACACCCGCCACACTCAGTTGCTTGCGTTTTTGTTATTAAAGTTGACCGTTTCGTTTTCGATGAGGCGACGACGGAACGTGCGTCCACCAGTCGGTCCAACAGCAACAGCAACAGAATCGCAGGCCACTACGGACAACAGAGCAGCGAATAGTTCAGCAGCACTAGTTCGTTGTCGGATGGTTAACCCAAAACAGCCATACAGGCAGGCAAACAGACAGGCAGAAACGTCGTCGTGATGTTGCTCCTCCTGCCAGCGCTTCCGCTATGGCGATGACGTGATCAGCTAACAAAGCGCCACCAGACTGTAGCATTAGGTGGCTGGCGTCTGCATAGTGACCGACACGGTCGATACCAAACAGAAGTCAATGGCTGATCGTTAAGTTTGTTTCTAATGTTTGCTGGATGATGTTGGTAGTAGTCTACTCGCCATGCTGTTGTTTTTCCTCTTCTCCTCGTTTATCAGAGTGCGATTATATTTTGAGAGCAAACGATATTCGTTCAGTACGATCGCTCAAAATATTGGCCAGTGCGTCTCAAGAGGTCAGGCGTCACACAGCTGGTCGGTGCACGCGGCGACGGCTGTCAATGCAACTTTTTACTTAGAGCGATATTTCTCTGAAAATACAAGATACAAATAGAATGTGTTTCTCAAATTTCGGCCAGTTTAGAATTTCGGCTTTTCAGCCGACTGCTACTGATTGGATCAATACGGCTAATATTATCGTAGAATGGCAAATATAGGCCACTGTTTCTGCTGCTCTAATGCTGCAGCTACAGTCTCTACTGGCGAATAACGTACTAAATGAAAACATCGGCACCGTACAGACACAGTAAACGGTACCCTCTTCTCGCTCAAGAGACTTCTCGACACCCGTAATAGCACAGCCGGCGAAAACAACAATGAGAAGAGGGACAATGATGTCGATGTCGGCATATTAGTAAATAACAACAGATAATATAAGACAGAGCTTCAAGCAGACGCCACGAGCAGCGGCGCCGTGGAGCGGTGTAGAGATAAATACAACGATCGTGATGCCACTATCAGCACACCGTTTACTATTGCCATAATAAATCGTCAGTAAAAGTATGGGCAGCCGCCGTAGCATAGGTTGTGCATGCATAGTTAGTTTAGCGGGCGGACAGCACCTCTGCCATTGGGAGCACTTCACCGCTAATTCTTGCGCCCAACATACCAATAAATGAACGCATGAAAACAATGACAAAAAAAAGCCAAAATAGTAGGCGACTCACGGCTTGAAACGGTGTTTCGGAAAATTATGGGATTAGAATTGAGTCGAAAGATTTTAGAAAAAGCTCTGGACTAGACCGAAGAACTTCGTTTTGCATCGGTCGGGATATTTCCACAAAGCTTTGCTCTTTTAATTAGTCGGTTTGTATGATTAGCACAAATGAATCTCTGGGGGCTTCGGCTATTTAGCCTGTGTGATCGTGGAAGGGAAACAGGGAGATGCCAGATTTTTTATATTCGTCTTTAGAATATACGACGTAGTAACTTTATCTTTAAAGTTTACCTTTAAGTTCTGCCAAAACAAAAAAATCAAGCCAACCGTTTTAATAGGACATTTTTTAAAGAAACAACCTAACAAACAAGCTGAATGTTCAGTATTGTATAGCGATATGTTAATTACGGGTTGATGATAGAAGAACAATTATTTTTAACGAAAATTGGGCAGTGCTTATTTCGGGTACCACCTCTAATAAAAGAAATTACTGGTGATGAAGAAAGGTTAAAACAAATGACAAAAAGGTCTCGCTTTTATTTGTTTTTGCGCAAAGAGTTATTCCACTGTATAAAACAAATTATGTGCATGCAGTCTCGTGCTATAGAACATACTTTTTTATTGATATTTTGTTCAGCGAATACAGGAAACAATAACTTCGAAATTTATACTAAATATAAAGAAATAATGACAGAAAATTCTCAAACGTTATATTGAGGTAGCGGTTCTCTGTGTATCATTTAAGCAAATAATATATTGGAAAATAATAAATTACTGCTCAAAATAAAATTTCAGGTATACGTCTTTTACGTTTTTATTCATACTTTATTACGATATTCACGATCAGGTTAGTTATTATCAAATACTTCTGGCTACGTTTTTAGTCCATTCGCATATAAATTACCGTACCTAAGTAACCGGTCGTAGTCTGCAGAGCATAACGTGCAATGTCAGTCAAACCTAAACGTGTATCTTTTTACCAATTTTTACCGAAACTAATATATACTCAATGAATATAACAAAAAGAGAACATATTTTATTAACAATATTACAATAAACAGAAGGCTTTTCAAGTAAAAACAATACATAATTTTTAGTAGCAAATTCCAAAAGCACTGAACAATGGCATGGACAACGAACGAATAATACGTTTGCGCCTTTCCGTTAAGCTGTTTCAAACCTCGGTCGCGGTCCAGTGCTACGTTATTAAGCATCGGATTCGTTTTGTAGTGTTGTTGAAGAACGCCCTATTAGATAACAACATTAAGGATTTAATAGATACCTCACTTACAATCACTTTATTGGCCTTTAACACGAGTAAGATGCAACTAGTTCAATATGACAATGACACTCGAATCGATATAGGTTTTGTTGAGGTTGCATCCTGAATAGGTATTTTTTTTGCTCAGAAATATTATACGAGTTCTGCGGTTCCACAGTTATTCGAAATTCGCAAGTTGTAAATGCAAACACGATCTTCTATTTTATCTTTCTTGTTGTTATTTTTTTGATGTTCTATTGCCGATGTATAAGTAGTACATCGGTTACTACGATAATAAATGCTATTATAGATTTTCACTGTAACGACAAAAGACTGATTGCTGGATGTTTTTCGGTTGATTTGTTAATACGCCATTCCTGATGATGTTGCTACACATGGCGCTTGATAGCTTTCTACACCTATTGCCTACTACAAATTATATATTGTTTAGATGGTGACTAAATTGGTATGAAAAAGATCTTTTACTACTTACTTTACTTTTTAATAAAACGGGCGCAAGCTTCTGGAACACAACTAAGCACTTTCCGTAACTACTGGATTTACTCTTATGATGTACATGCAGCATAGCTTCGATCTGTATGTGTTCCAAGTGGTTTGATTTGATTCATTTTGACACTGTAATTTATTCTGGTTTAAAATAGAAGACTGTAACTAAACTAACCAAATGTGTTGTATCGTATTCAGTTATTTCGTGCTTGTCATAGCTTTTTGCGCATCTTACCAACATTCTGCAAATTGTGTGGTCGCAAAGTAAACTCTTCGACTTCGAGTAATCCACCAGTATGGTCCAAATAGACCAGCCGTATTACATGTAGTAAACATTAATGTTATCTCCGATCTCTTACAATTTAGTGCCATTAAAAACGTGTAATGGGCCAAGGATCGCGAATATCCTCATCAATTAATTATGAGTCGTAATAGCTATGCAAGAACTTAGAGAATAAATAATCAACACCTTTTATTAGAACAGTACTCTTTCTGACTGCTGTCTCGACATCATGTTTTCTGAAAGCGCCGTAGTTCGTGTTCAACAATTTATAAAGAGACAAAACCGGTCAGAGACGCAGAAAACTGTGATTAACTTGTATAGCGAGGTACAGTTTTTGTTATACCGAAAACCGTGACACTTGTTGCTTTTCCGTTAATAGTAACACATTTTTTTTTATTTATCGGACAATCGCTTTAAATTCGACTTCGCTGAAAATATTAAACTATTACCGTAGCTCGAAAAAAAGTATAATGCACATCACTCAGTGTCATTCAATCATGCACACAACCTATCTAGCAGATAAACCGTTTTATAATCCGTAGATAAAAAGTCACATGGGAAATGTTAACATAGAAAAATTTATTTTTTTTTTTTATTTCTATCGCTCTAGCCACCTTCATTTTTTAACGCTAACTATCTGTTCATCAACCAACATAAATTTTCAGCAGTCAACAGCTTTCCCAAAACGCTTGTCATCGAGTTTGATTAGCACCTTAACAATTTCTCGGCACCCTTCAAGACAACGAGTGATATACTCCACGACGCGCCGAAATCATCTCTAAGCACTGGACAAGTGCCGGTATCACTTGTAAAAACTCCGTCCACGGCGAAAGGCAGCTGCTGTGTCCTGACAACCTCTTCAAGGAGGATTTTCTTGGCAGTGGCGTTCTTGCTTTGAGCTGCAAATACCGTCATGCAAGAAAGAGCAAGAACCCACTCAAAGGCACATACCACAAACCGGCCCAAATTTCGTAACGACTCTAACTTGATGCTAGTAATTGTGTTAACTCGTTCTTTCAGCTCACTGCCATCGGCCCAACAGTCAAGTATTGTAAGCGGTGCAATATAGTACTCGAACGCGTTGCTTAGATCCTCCATGGGTGCAACATTCGCTTTCGGTGACAATACTTTTCTCAACGTTTTTAAAGCCTCGGTCGACTCTTTTTCGTCTTTTGCCGTCAATAGCCGCAAGACGAGGTATCGAAGCTTCAGCTCTTGTTTCTTTGTCTCGAAGTCTGTAAAGATGAAATGATACTGCTTTGGCAGTACCGACGTGTCACGATTATCTTGTAATCGGTCCCAGGCTACGGTCGGCACGAGGAATCCTTCTAGCTTAGCTCCGGTACGCTCGTCGGCGTGCAGTTTTTCTATTGAGCACGCCAGAAGAGCCCGCATCACCTTGGCGTTCGCCAATTCAAATGAGTTTTCTAGCCATGGTTTGAGTTCTTCCATTTCCTCAACTTTATGAAAAGAACCGAATTTATAGCAGGAAACAATACCCTCACCAATATCCTTCTGCGAGCTAGCATGTAAAGCTATTATCTTCCTATACAGTCGAATGGTCGCACCAAACGAGCAACGAAGCACATATGGGCTGATCAGGTACCCTAAGCTTTCCCACTGCAGATATTTAATGGTGAGGTTATCGCATGTGGCTAGAACCTTTAGACCGGCTTGAATCGCGCAGTAACACCACATCAAGCGCATTTTTAGCCGGAATCCGTTCGGCGAACGCTCCTTGGCAAACTCCAGCTCGTCGATGATTTTTAGTAAACTGCGCTCGTCACCACAGCGTTTAAAGCGCTCCGCGACCATATCAACAGCCAGCTCCAGGTAGCCGTCCATTGGGTTTGCATCTGATTGCCTTTCAAGAGGCGCACCCGATCGGTATTTGTCACACAACATCTTGATTTTTTTAAGCTCTTCCTCATCGGACCTGGATTGGCCAAGATCAAAATCGATGGCCATCCACGTTAGGGAATCTTTATTGGCAACTTCCGACATAGTATTGACTAGATGCGTTCTCTGATCCTCGGGCAACTCGCGTACGAGGAACAAAATATCGGCCACACACCAGGTTTTATTCTCGAAGAGCTTGTAAAAATTGATGAACGTCTTTTCGAACTCATCAAACTTACCTAACCTCTTGTACAGCAACATCCTGTTGATGAGCAACTCTCGACGTTTGTCGTGGTTTTCAACTTTCTCGATGAGACTTATAAGCTTCTCGGCAATATTGCCAATTGCTTCGCCGCGTTTTTCGCCAATATCAAATCGTCGCTGGAGCCATTTGTGATCCTCACAATTTCTTCGAGCAAAACTAGCCTCGCTGATATCAACAGCTCGATCCCAGTCTTGCATTCGATTATAGAGTAACCATTTTTCTTCCGGAATGTCCAACATATACAGACGACTCGCGTTTTTCTCGAGAAACTCCGCTGTCTCTCCAAGTCTCTCTGAGTCCCGTAGAATCATGTATTGTAAATTAATCTCAGCGTCCACCGATGGAGGCATACGTTCAAGCATCTTATCTGCTAGCGTGAAGCACATGGTACGCTGCCTCTGGTCCTCAGATTCCTTGCCACTGAGGTACTGATGCATAACCGCTGTAAAATAATACGTCCGCTTATCTGTCAGCTTGTGTAATTGTAGCGCCGTATTTTTGGCCTTTGCCCTTTCTTTCTCGCGGATGTAAAGCATAAACAGCGAGTTGAGGATCTCTTCATTTGGGGCACGTTTGCATGCACTCTCGTATAACGGAATTACTTCTGTGTGGCGTTCAGCATCGCGCAGAGCGATCACTAACGGTGAAAGTGCAGAATCCTCGGTCGGTTGTTTTTTGATTAGCTCATCCATAAGTTTATTAGCATCCTGCCACCGATAAAGCTTAGTTAAAGCAAGTGCCTTTAAAGCGTACACGGTCGGTCCCATCTTATTGCCATATTTTTTTATCACTTTGTCACAGTCTTGCAAGGCTCGTTTGTAGTCGGAATTATCGAAGAAATCGTACACTGTCCGGAGACGTCTCTCCTCAAGAAGAGCACGTTGCTCCTCTTTTTTTGGAGGCATTTTTTCTTTATGACTTGATACACACGCACGCCTACTGCGGAAAATCTATTTTTGATGTACTCCCCACTCACAATGAAGGGAAGACACCGTTCCCGCCTTCTTGAGGGCCAAAAATTTCAGTAGACCTCACAACGCTTTTGTCTGATTCTTTGATCCCATGGACAAAATTCTACACAATACAAAGTTCGAACAACAAAATCGCACTGGAACCCGACCATGCGCTCGCACAGACACTGCGGGGCACCGGCGATAGAACGGCCCTATGGACCGCACTAATGAAATGATCTTTGCCTAGTGTTTTGGTTTGAGGGCAACCGGGCGCTCTATGCAGCAACATCTCAGCGCATTAACAAATGCATTCAATTTAGCTTAACTTCTGTTGTAAAATCTTAATTAGGTTGATGGTTTGAGACCTACACTGACTAATTAATATGACTATACAGACATTATCCCGACGCTAACGGGAAAAAGCATTGCAGCATATTACTAAAAAAGTAGAGATTCTCAATTCTACAATAGTTTAAAAGTATTGAAACAGGCTACCCTAAACAAAGTATCCTATTAGACAACAATATTATCCATAAGCAACTATGTATATAAAAATGACACTTCTATATAGTGCTATACCAGTAATTCCTAGTGTACTCTGAATTCCAAAAAAATACATGTTATTTTGTAGACGTCATGTAAAAAATAATAGTTATATATAAAGGTTTCTATAGTTGAAAATTTTAAACGATTAAGATTAGAACTGAGACTACAATTTTCATATTTATAGAAAGAAGCTTATTGAGTATGGCATGACGATTAGGATAAAGGTGAAATCGTTTGGGGGGCTGATAAAGATTACATTCAAACGAATCTAGCAGCTAAGGGCCGTCAAATGCCTCATTAGGTTAAGGTCCCGCATGAATTGTAGGCGACCATCATGACTCGAAACCGATTTCTCCATTATGCTTGTGGCCTCTCGTGCCTTTAATCAAGGAACTTACTGTAATTTTTCGATCGAAATATTGATGAATCATAAGTAGATTTGATGAAAATTGTAACTGATTGATTGATATATATGAAATATCGATCGGCTTAGTATGCAAATAATTTTTTTGCGTGCAAGCGCGACCTTTTAAAAAAATTCCAGGATATTTTTAATTTAAAGGCAATAACTGAGTTCTTATTCCTCAGAAATTTTAACTTTTTGTAGAGTATTTTCTTTTGAATTGAAAGAATAGTTGGTGGGTTTCCACAGAAGTAAATAAGAAATACACCGCGTGTCCGGGTTTGCTATTTGTATTAAATTATCCAAAACCAGACAAAAGAAGTAAAACGAAACTCTACCCCTTTGAGGTTGCCTAAAATATTTGTTTGTAATTTAGTTATATAGTTCAATACATGACACGTCTCTTTTATACATTGGGGCATTGAGTATCCGCTAGCTAAAATATGTATATTCTGCATGAATCCGTTTGTACAAGTACCTGTTCGATTATATACAGTATCCTTCAGTTCTTTCTGTTGGGAAATAAGCTTCTTCAATCAATCACATTTGTCGTGTAATAGGCAAAGCTTAAGCCAGCCACCCCTCTCTGGGAAAAACGCACCCAAGTTTGGTAATTTAAACCAGCCGATTCAGGCGTTGCCTGCAGAGACCAGGCATTGATACACCAGTGTCATGAATCGCCTGGGTGCATTAGGGAATGCACCGTTAAGGCAATAAAGTTGACTTCACGTAAAACCAATAAAGCAACGCATTCTAAAATTAAATAAATTAAATAAATTCATTAATAAGGTTAACTTCTTACTAGCATCGCTTAAATTAGGCTTAAATTATTCTTCCGTTGACCTGATATGGCCCGTTGATGAAAGAATTTCCTGTGAAAATTCAATTACTTTTTTAATTATGTTTCACTATCATTACCTTTATTAATGTCATCTATATATATGACTATATATTTGAATTCATTTTTACACAGTGGGACTCATGACATTACTCACGATGTATGGAATTTATTGTCCAAACAAAAATATAACGTTATTTAAAAAGATACACTCATAGCTTCAAGTTTTATTAATATAGATAGATATAGCACAATTTTTTTTTGTACAATAACTGTAGGTGCAATTTGGAAGTTTTTTTTTTAAAACACGTGTCCTAGCAATCTAACCTAGACTTAATATAAAAGCTTACACCGCAATCTAGAATATTCCTTACATATATAAACAAGATAATTCACTATTTTCATGAATATCGCACGTGATCCAATTCCGATACTCATGTCATCTTGGAGAATTCTACACCGCTTTAAAACGTCTAAACAGAAAGTACTGTACAGTACGTAGAGCTGTGCACGTTGAACTATCGGGTATGCAACGTAGGCTGCAACGAGCATCGTTGTTCCGCCGTATGTAAGAGAGTGTATCTAAGCCTTATAAAGCCCTGAATCTATCCTTTTCTTGGCGCAATGCGTTCATTGTAGAAACGGGATCCTGCTGTCCAGTATGTTTCTGAACGGACGCTTCGCGGGTTCGCATAAATGGGTTAATCGATTTTTCTTCCGCGATTGTCGATGGAATGGTCGGTTTTTTTTGGGCGCGTTGCGTTTGGGCCCACAATAGTTTTTCCTTCACCTGTGTACATGAGAAAAGAATAGCACTGTTGCTCATAGTTTCTCTTTTTGTTTGACCGATGCTTTGCATTTAGCTTAGTATGGCCTTTACTAGTCCACTCTAAATGGTTTCTGGATACGTTATTATCGGTTTAATGAATATAATTCCTGCTTAATATAGAGGCACGTAGTAGTCTAGGTTCGGAGCCGAGTATAGACGTTTCGTTTCGTCGTTTGAAGTAATGCGTCACAACTTAAGTACACTACTTAAACGAGAGTCTCACAACAAAATCAACCCACTTGTTAATAAGTATAGCATTTGTCGTATATCATTATTACTTTCGTATAAAGAATTCTTTCACAAAAGAAACTTCATGATTGGTATGATAGTTGAACGTTAATTGATCGGTATAATGGCTTAACAATTACCGCTTGGTTGTCTGGCTCGACGTGTTGCGCATATTTCAGATTGTTCACGGTGTACTCGTGTCCATTGTAAACGCGTGTCTCGGGCGGGAGCGAGCCCAGTTTATCCATTGCTGCTTGCATCTGAAACCATGAAGGTAGGTAATAGTACATAGCAGAACAATCTATGATGAGAATGATTGCTTCGTATACTTAAATGTAAACGATGGTGCCGTGTACATTGTCATTCTCGAACACGTATCGGTATAGATGGGTTGCAACCCAACTGAGGTATAGATGGGTTGCTTGTAGTAAGAAATACCAACTTTAGTATATATAATATAATACTATATATACAGGGTGAGCAAGAATCTCTGTATTTTGCAAACTACTATTTTGAAAACCTTCGCTTCACTACTAATATGTAGGGCAAGAAAAAACGAGGTGCCAATGCGAAATGTTATCTATAAGACGTACTTGCTGAGCCGTGCCTTCAAAAAATTTTCCGCATCCGGATGTGAACAACGTGTCACCGGTGAAGACGACTGGAGGACGTTCAGCTGGGGACTCCGCATCTCCTGCAATGAAATAGCATACGTGTCCTGTCGTATGACAAGGCGTGAAGAGACTCTGTGCCGTCAATGAACCTGCAATAAGACAAATGAATAAGGAAACATTATACATGCTTAAAAGCTATCTTCAAAAATTTGTCGATATTCTGTTCAGGAATTTATTTTTCGATTTTTTTTCGTAATAATAAGCTGGCTGTGCATCCACCGTACATAGCTGGTTGTGCTAGATTAAATACTGGCAGTAAATGAGCGAATAACCGTCTCATCTCTATACGACTGTTGTTGAACTGGTCTACAAAAAAAGAAATGGTCACGATGACATACCAATAGTGATGTTGACGTTGTCCTTATTAACCTTGTCCGTGAGTTCCTTGATGCGATCGTCACCTCCAAAGACGCGCAAACCGGGACGCAACTGAAGAAGTTTTTCGTTACCACCAGCATGATCCCAGTGATGATGAGTCACCAGAACGGTGGTCAACTTTACTCCAGTACTTTTGACCGCTCTCAGTACCTACGGGATCAAGAAAGAATTCGGAACAGCTATGATGTCCAATCGGAAACTTTAATTGTGATTTTATCGTTTGGTTAATCTGTCAATACCTATACTTTCTGTGCAAAAGTTTATAGTATAGCTGTTGGCATTAATAAAAATTATTTAATTACTTTATTAAAACACTGAGATTACAAATTGGTAACTAAGTGTATGATGCGTAGACATCTTAAGATATTGCACGACTTACACGATTTTGGTGCTTGATTGGCAGTACCGTATAAATGAACCTGATGCCATTCTTGAATCACCTGCTGCTTACCTTTTCAGGGTTAACGGGATCAACTACCGCGGCTTCTCTCGTTTTGGGACATATTACAAGGTACATGTAGTTATCATCTAAAGCTTCGAGGATTTGAACTTCCGCCATATTTCGCTTTATTAACACTGCAGAAGATGTTTTTAAATTGTTGCCTGCGAACAGGCGGTTTGCCAATGATTTCGTGGTTACAAGTCGACAACTCCGCGCAAAGCTGTAAAAAACCGGCACATCCCAGTATACAAAATTGATTATGGACTGTTAAACCTTGTTGGGTTTAGATGGGCTAGAGAACCTGGTGGGTAATTGCAACCTAAGCGAGTAGAAACACTTACATCATTTTTGCTTAAACGGTAACAATATAGATGACAACCGTTCGATCAGACAGTTGTTAACATTAGATTGCCTGCTTTGTATTTCAGCTGTGATAATAACAAGCCGTTTCGATTTTAAAGACAACAACTTCTACATATATAACAGTGACTGGGGACCTACAAGTCCTTCGATAAAACAATATAGACATACTCGAGTAGACAGGTTCATTCGAATGCTTCTCGCGCGATTGCGTGCGTATCGATGCATTTTTGACGCGTATTGCAGTTGCGGGCTGTTCAGCAAAAAAGAATGATATCGGCAAAGGCTACTAGCTGTTTTACATGCGATCTTTATCTATTGCGATTATATAACAAAGGTGTGCCTAAATATATGTATATTAAATAGTTGCTTTCAAGTACTAAATGTAATTAGGTATGTACTTTGTTGGGAACCTACATCGTTTTGACATATTATTTTCTTTGTTTTATAATAACAACTAAGTTAGTACTTGTGACGGCTGTATCAAAGTAATGAATTAGATCATTTCTATCCGGCTTCTCAGCCGGACCGACCTTTATTGATCACTTATTAACCTTGAACCTTCTTTGTCAATTATTTGCCACGTCAGATTCAAAAAACTAATGCAGGAGGATGATTGTGACAAGCTGAATTGACCTAAAGAGCCTATAATATATCCCAAACGCGTTTCAGAGCTCATAGCTGGTGGAGATACCTATTCAATTTTAGTACCTTTTAATGATAAAAAAAAAAATTGCCGAGATCAGTCAGATCGAAATCCGTATCGTTTGATCCGGTAGGAACTAGTTACACCCCAGTTATTACGACGACAAAGAACAACGTTTATGTCAAAAATGAAGACATGCTCGTGACATCGCTTAAGAAAACCAACAAAATCCTTTGTTTTTTTTTATTGACGATTATCATAATAATATGTTGTGTACCATTGTCTATGCGTTTATTGACCTTTATTCGAATGTCGCAGTTAAATAAACAACAGCTCATTCTTAATATGCGGTATATATTTTTATTGGGACACGCTTTTCATACTTTATAAGTTTACGAAGATTTACGCAAGCGTCTGTTAGTTAATTTCCGATCGTGCTTATGACAATCACCTAGTACCTTTCTGGTAGTACTTTTGTCCTGTATGAAAAAAATGAACAAAAATATCATGGTTCAATGTACCCTGAATACGTCTATTTGAAACGTATATTAAAATATAGAATACGTCTAATAAACAGCGAGATAATTAGAGGTAAGGAGAAAAGGCAAGAAATAATTAACGAACGAAGAGCGGTCACCGTGCTTCATATTATTCTTGCAAAATATATATCTAAGCTATATGAACACAATTCTGTTGCATAACGTATAGAATATTTGAAAATAAATAATATTTATATTGTATCATGTAGCTTTGGTGCGACGTAATAAGAACTCAACGAAGGATTGAAAAATGGATAAAATCAGAAATCGTTAAATCAGATTATATTCTATGAAAGCAAGGGCAAAATGCTGACTGGGGCCACACCGCGTAGAGTCAAGACTTCCCGGGGGGATGGAAAAGGTTTCAGTCAAGTGCTGACTCCCTTTGCATTTATGGTGCATTTAGGAAGTCGTCATTCCATGGCTATCATTGGCGTTCACGTCAGTGAGGTGATTTATGCGCGTCGAGGCTTTGCTTGCCAAACGGGTGTCTAGACGCTTATTTGACATAGGACCCTCTCCAAAGGCCGGGTTCGGTAATTGAAGCTGGCCTTTGACGTGACGAAGATGAAGGGACGCCACTTCTGTAATTAGGTTACATACCCGAAGTGAACCGAACAATTAAGAGGTTAGTTCGAGGTGTAGCTAGCTATAGATCCAATAATGTCAAAATTAGGATTTATATAGAGGCTCATTTACTTATGCCAAATTAGAAAAGTAAAGACAGCTTCCTAAGCAGACAACTGTGCTTAGTCAGTAATTTTTCTCAATTGATGAGGACAAGAGTTTGCGTATGGTAGGCTACAGCGCACAGCTTTTATTGACATCAAAGCGAATTTCGATTATATTGAAGGCACAATCTAAATATCAATTCAATTGATATATTGGAAACGAAGCAGATATATATGGCTGATTTTGAATATATAGCTCCATTAGGATAGTTTCGGCAAGCCTCAATTGAGAGAGCGATTGAGGGTCCATGAAGTCAGTTCAACAAATCTGTACTGAGGAAGTTACTTCCTTTGATAAGTTAGTCAGACAGTATCGTTAATAATGCTACATTGTACATATAAACTGTCCTGTTTGCAGGCAAAAGCAGCTGCAGATGTCGAATCCTGCTTTAACATATACAGCTGTCTGACGCTTTTACAAAACAGTACTAGTGTCCTAAAAATCGCTTCGCGATTTTTTTATAAAAGCAATAGTAAACTGCTAACTCGGTATAAAAATGCAGCTGCATTTCAGCTTGACAGGAAAAATGTATCAAACCTTCTGACATCTCTGGTGGAAATGTCGTCCTCCTTGGTAAATGTTCCAGTTCGGCGTAGCGTTGACGAGCTCGATGTTTTTGAGGGAAATATGTTTGTTTCAAGTTTTTTTCGACCTTCCTGGGCAATCTGGGTCAGTCTGAAATATACGACACGTTTTACAGCTACAAGCCTTCTTACGAAGTAATTAATAAATAATTACAAGAGCTAAACCCAGCTTTACTTAAAAACGTATCTCCAAAATCGAAACACAATGCAGTAACATGATTGTGATTAGGTTTCCGAATATAAAACTTGCCCAAATTTTGTGGCTTATCTATTTAAAACACCTCCCTACCATTAGCTTTGATGCCCGCGCTTATTTTTGAATCACCAACACCGAAAACTTAAAATCACATCTACCAAAAAGGCAATAATAAATCTCGGTGAACTATTCAAAGCAACCTATATAATCAGGCAAAGATGTTAAATTGTGTCTGATAAATTTTGATTCATTATCGAGTTGAAATACGGGGCTACCACTCTTTACCACAACGTTCTTGCGGCACGCCGTACGGCGCTAGATCTCCTCAAGTAATCCCATTGTAAATCTTGATACGAACTTGCTATAGGCCATATGCCAGGCCGCCTCTCGTTATTTTATGACATCTCTCCGGGGAACTGCATCCGCTACACTAAGCGAATGGACGATCATGTCAAGCCACCTAAACATGCCTAAATTTGCTGTTAGCAAATTTGATCGAGCTTCCTAGCAGTGTACAACTGATGTTATTGAACCTATAAGTTGAATCGACTTGGCTATTGTCCAGTGTGAATAAAGAAGATTATTTTCCTGAAATGAACTTCGTGCAGACGATCGGTACGTGTATGAGACACTTAGCGTGTAAATGTTCAACATTCCAGGATGCAGATTAATTGTTGTCATTTCTATGTTCGCTGAAGGCTGGTGCTTAGAGGGGGCGCTGTACAGAAGATCATGTTCTAGTTTCAGGGCTTTGCAGGCCAGCACGAAGCTCTAACATCGTGCGAATAGCTTGTCCAGCTCTCCCAAGTTCCGTCGGATGCGACAACTCTAAAACGCCTGTTTTGAAAGTTGTAGTAGTAGTAGTATAGACAGCGAGGGCCGCTATTCTGTTAAGCGCTCGTATCTCATTGTTATAATTCCCTCGCCGAGCTTCGAGCTTACGAGTTTGAGAAATATATGAATAAGATCTCTGGTTTAAGGAGCTATGAGGCGGCAGCTGGATACCGTGTACATTCGTGCCTATGAAATTAGACAGAAGAGCGATCTCGGCAATGTTCGACGACAGCACCTATGTCCTGCCGTACATAGGCTATACCACTTGGAAGATGGTTACGAAGAAGCCCAGAAAACCAAGCATAAAATGTTATTCTATATACCGTACAGGCACGAACTATGTGATGAAATAAAAATTGTTACAATCCTTATATAGACTCACATGCATATGACGACGAGCAAAGATAATTACTCGATGTGGAAGAATCGCTTTGAAGTACGGATCAGTGTTATTGGAAAACGCTTAATTACTGGGCTTTCAGGCTTTAAGAGCTGTGGAATTTAATGGCTATCCATAGGAACGGGCTCCTGTGATGAACATCCATATATATGAGCTAACTATATACTTGTATGACTAAAACATTCCTGGTTGACACATAACTTTTCCATATCAAACATTCGGATCTATCGCGCCTGCCGTGTGCGATGTCCCAACGAAAATCGGCACAAGGTACGCGGCTCCTGTTTATACTGTACTATCTCTATACCGTTTTTCGTACGGCCCGACGACAAGGAACGCAGAGTAGCAGTAAAGTTCGTTTTGAGATGCTGTAAATCCAACTCGTTGTGGAGTGATAAAGTGACGTTGCACTCTAAACTCCCGATCAAACGGACAATTTTTCACTTAACTTGTACTCGCTTATAAGAGTACACAATAACTAATTTAAAGTTAACATCTACGTTTCTGCTATTAGTATTCTGCATCGGACCGATGACGGCTTTTGCTGACCATATGGAATGTTATGAATGTACGTGGGACGCTTATCACAAGGTCTGTATCGTGCACGTTAAGCACATCACAGTTACTTCATAGAAAATGATAAAAAAACACAGAAGCGAATTCTGCTTATAACCCGATCGCTTAGCCCTGTTATGTTTGATTAACTGCGATCTTTCCTCTAAAAATCACTTTTTGTCGGTTGATATCACAGGTTGATAGCGCGGCGAGGAAGCAGAAGCAAAAAGAACTACAGGATTTTGGTAAAATGAGTTATCCTTTAAAATGGATGCTTCCAAATTCAACATTTTTCGGCAACGAGGTAAATGTATTGAGCTTTTGTGCACGTTCTTAGCCTATTCTCATAGGACTAAATTGTGTAAGACAGGCCTATCACTAAAAATAGACATCATTAGAGAATCATAATGATAATAATGTTGTAAAGAAGCACGGAGAAATGAGTCGTTGACTCATTCCATGTTTATATTTATTCCTATTGGCCTATTGATCAGAGCTTCTTTAAGTCGATTTTACGAATATATCCGAAAAACACGTTATCCAGAGGAACAATTGTTTCCTCGTAAGTGCCGAAATTAAATACTAAACACTATATTTTTCCTTAACGTATCCCGTCACACTGCCTGTCCAAAAAGCGTCGCTGATGTGACATTTATTACGTGTGTTTGCATCACTATAGTAACTGGTTTCGAACTTAAACAGGGGCAATCGTCCAATTCACAGAAAATAACTGTTACTTATGCAAGGATATGTAACTCTCTTGCAGTATCTCATTTCGAAATTGTGGATTCAATCCTAAGGTTGCAGTCTATTTTTCACAGTTTTTAAACAATTGACCACTGAAATCATTACGACATCCGCCTGTAATGTACAGTTCGAATGGGTACTGCTGAACTTATAGCCTACAGCGAGAAGTACCCGTCAGTATTACAATATGCAGTAAAAGTTACGCGGTGAAATTTGGTGGAATGTAAACGTTTGTCCGCATCGGACGCTGAGCGGCACAGACGTCTGCGGTTACTCTTGAGAGACCTATCTGCTAGGTCTTACCGGTGGCGATATCGTACGATTTTTTCATTACTTTTGCTGAACGGCATTAACATAAACTATTTTCATGCAAGCTGTATGAGTGAAAACGACGAAGAGTCGTAACCAAGTATCTGTTGGCTTTCTTTAGGCAATATCTACCTATCCGGAAAAGGCGGATCTAGAACGCCTATGCTCTAAATGTAGCCTAGGACCTAGTACCGTATGTGTGAAGTGGAAGTTCTTCACATCAGTCAAAAGTGAGCACTAGCGCTTTCATTGCCACAATTCAAATTCAGTACAAAAGTATTTTTATAACCTCAATGTTATTATGGTCTTTTCACTTGTCGCTAATTAATGGCTATCTAAGTGTAGTGTTTTTTCTTTTTGGCTTACTGTGCAAATGTAACCCAGCCGGGTCCAGTAATGCCTCAGCCTCTTCGACGAAAGTGCATAACTTGAAGAATAATTTTCAGAGAGCAACGGATGTAGGTAAGGTCACAATGAAAAAAAAAAAAAAAAACGTCATAGAAATACACGTTCGCTGCATGGTCGAATGAAATTATGGTTTATCGATAACGACAATAGCAGGGAAAACCTCTGTTTACCAGTTGGATCATGTTTTTGTATTAGCACGGTATTCGATACGATTAAAAATGAATTATCGGCCCATTTTATCCCAAGTCGCATCCAATTCATGTATATGTATAAGGCGAACCTAACAATTTAGATTGTTTCTGTTTTTTCATTACTTTTGTCAGATAATCCACTAAATGTAACCTGGGGCTGTGTGTCATCGGTGGAACGAGGCTGTTTTGAGGAAAAGGCTGCAAAGGACCTATACAAAGAGGTGTGCCTATGCGACAGTCGACATTTATGTAATTCGGCGTTGGCGTTAAGGCCAAGATGCTATTTTCTGCCTACATATATATATCTTCTACTAACATCCCTCGCTTACCAACTTTTTATCTACTTTGAACTGTGCCCCATTTAGCGGTTAGTATATTCAATTAGCGATTCAAGTTACTGCATACACCCGTTGTCTCAGACTAACAGTATTGCAGGGATCGTGATTAGCCACGATGGTTCAGTCCTTTGTTTGAGACAAAGCATACTTTCTAGTACTTCGTTCAAGTTACGTAGACGCCACTACCTGTATAATCAGCTAACCCATATTAAAATGGAAAATTTACCGTGAATACCGGTGTGTCTATTTAGCTGGAGAGAAGATTAGTTCGAATGAAAATTTGGCCATCTTGCGTGGTATCTCTCAGTCTTATATGGCATTTAATTCATAGAGCATAACAAAAATTCTAAGCCACCACCACTAAATGATGCAGATGGTGGTTCATTGAATCTTAAAACCGTCGTCTACATCATCACGCCCTCACCTATCTCATCACCGATGTTGTATTACAAGCAATAACTCGCGTTTAGGGTTTGCTACAGTGCTGCGCATACTTATGTAATTTTGCCCCCTATACGATACGGTTCGCAAACATTCGTTGCGCATAGACTCAATAATGAATTGGTGAGAACCCACGTATCATACGTAACCAGCCTTTTCACAGGGCTTTTACAACCGTCAACAGTACTAAGAGGGATGATCATTCACGATAAAGCACCCCCACCAGTTTCCCAACAGTTGAATTTACCTGATCTATTTCGAATTATTTCAAAATATCAAATAAAACTTTTTTCTTTTTTGTAAGTGTGCGACGTTTCCTTTTTTTTTTTTTTTTTTTTTAATACACTCGTCTGTCTTGCACTTTGCCAAAAAAAAGGCTGCAGGATCACCTCGTCGATTTGGTATCGAGAACCTCCCCTTACTAGGCCTGCAGCCAGAGTGGGTCTTGTTAAACCTATCTGAAGTTTCATCCACTAATCTATGAAACCATGGTAACCGTACGAGCAGCATACTAACCTGTTAAGGGCCGTCAGGCTACGGCGAGCTAGTCTCGGGCTGAGGGTAACCGGTTGAAGGCTGCTTTGGCAAACAAGGGAAGACGTATAGCTTTTCGGACCAGAATAGCTATTATAGTCTAGTGGGTAACTTGAGGAAGAAGTAGTCTCTCTAACGTGGGGGCCTCCATAAGGAGATGTGCTACGGCGAGATAGTTCCGTATCGGATGTAGCAGGCTTCAACGTGCTGCGTCCCACAGGCGTGGAGCTTTTCTTGGACGACTGCAAAAAAAATATATTTAATAATAATAATACTTTGATGTTTATTTAAAGTGATTTAGTTTTGTATTTGTTATACGAATGTACGATGTTACAGTATTGAGCTATTTTGATAGTAATCTTTGTGGCAAATTTTACTGGGCTATTTATGATGGCTACTTATAGTTACGCAGGGTTGCCAGTTTACTAGTTTGAGGGGTATAAATTTTGTGACACATCCTGTTGTTCTGGAAATAATAAAACATTATCCGGGTAAAATTTAGATAGAAAATAGCGATTTTCTAGATTAAGTAAGCCTTAATTTCGAATTGGCCGCGAGAGAAGCGTATCTTTGAATACCTCCAGGGCGACCCCTGTCGATTTGATCGTTGTGAACGTTTCGAGCAGATTCCAAAAGGTCATTAGTAAAAACCTACCTAATACCCATCACTACTCCAACTTTGTAGCTATTCGAATCGTCATTTAGATGTTGATAAACACTGTCAAAGTGTCTGAGATCCAATCAGCCTGCCATTTCCAGTTTAAACGTAGTCAGACACTTCAACGTACGTACATAGTAACCATACATTACGATTTCGAATGCTTCCTCACGTTATGAGGATTGACCTACCGATCGATTGTGTGATGTTAGGGAATGACAACTACGGCTTCTGCTGCTGGAACTGTTGGCGACGCTGTTGTTGTTGTTTACAATTCCGGAAATCTTCTGACTGAGCTGTTGCTGCTGGCGGAGGCGAACTGGTGGGCGCTGTTTTGCCGCACTGCTAGCAGTCGCGCAAGTGACAAGCGTCCTGCGCGTTTCGCCCGTGTACAAGTTATCGATCGGTGAACGCGATTTCGGCCGGCTGAAGTCCATCCAAAAACTCACACCTTTCATCATTGTTTGTCAGTGAATAGTTTGAGCGCACTTTAAATGTAGGGAGACCTGATGGTCAAAGCAATCTATATTTCTACGTGCTTGGGATCGAACTAATTTGTCAAGAATGTTGCACGACACTGTACAATGGGGAAGACGAACGTTAACACACTATAGGTATATTTGGAGTCACTAAGTTCAAAAGGCCATATTTTCACTTTGTGAGAAACTCTGCTGCGTGCGCACCCGGTTTAGCATTCCTGCTCACTTATGGGACTACTGCAAAACGGTGGTCGTTCGATTGTGACTATATTGATCCTATGTGCTAGTAGCAAAAACGGCCCATCTGAGTAGATACTCACACTACAGGGCTCTCACGCGTGTATGGTAATGGTACATACCACCGATCATTCTACGTATTGAAGATGGCGCTACCGGACAAATCACCTATCGTGGTTCGTCCGGCTCCCACAGCCCGAGCAAATCACCACTGTGTCTTTCTTATCGGTTTTGCTAGCTACATCGGCGAGCGTGTCATCATACAGTACGTTGTCCGTAAAGTATATCCCATATAATAGTATAGTCGTAATGCGACAATGATCGTTCGCGTCGTGCAGCTGCACTCTTCCCCTGTAAAGGTAGCAGCTGTGGTCGGTCGATGCGTTGCTTGGTCACTTATCGGGCCTGCAGATTCAACAGTTGCGCATACCCAAGACAATCACGGTAGCATCTGCGGCATTACCCGTCACCCAGCTCTGCATGACGCAAACCAACCATGGCTATAATGGCAACAACTACCGCACGAGAGAGTGAAGTAACAGCGGGATTAAGGGGAGATATCCCGTAACCCTCAAGTCGTATCAAGGATGTTCAATCAGCGCACGTTAGCGAAGGGATTTGTCGTCACGCGGACAGTCAGACAGAAGGGAATACGGCCATTCCGTGTTACGTAGCAATAATACTTCAAACTATTTCGGCCTCGAACAAATTCTGGGAAATTCACCCCACAGTAAAGTAGTCAGAAATCGATTGAGTGGAGAAGTAAGTAACGCGAATACTTCATTACTAAAAACAAGTTTAAGCTGGTACTGAAGTGCGCGTTAATTAAATAGGTCATTTTAGACAGGGTAAGACAGTTAAGAAGCACTAATGCGATTATAAAGAGGAAATGATTCCACACACATACATTCTCAATCATATTTGGCTGCGTAAGCACGTATCGAAATATGGTATACTGACATAAGCTGGTCAATTTCCCATCGAATACATTGTACAGATAGAAAAAATTGTCGCTTACCCCGTCGGTGAAGTAGTCTTATTATAGGTGTGGTTGCTATAACTGTTGTATTGCACGTTACTACTGTTGTTATTGAACACGGTTGGCTGTGCTCGGCCGATCGCCGAAGGCACATCAAGCATTTTCTTTCGTGCCGAGTAGGTACTTTGAAGGTAACGAGGTACCGATTGTGTGTCAGGAAGTGCTCGTCTCAATGGAGGAACGTAGTCAGGAAGGGGTAGAGCGCGCCGGTTAATCTCATCTGCAAACGGCAAACGAATTCAAATGCTCAGTTGCTCGGTTTTCATTAGGACGAAGCGCTTCAGTGAGGTCAGTCGTTCATGTGACATCTGCATTTTATAAGGCATCTTTGCGTAGCTTATGATAAAAGTATGATTTCACGATTTCCAGCTGGGAAACATCGTTAAGCGAAATTCATGATTTTACTTTTTTTTTCATGACTCATGCATTTGCCTTGCGAAAGACACCTATTACTATCTGTGATTGCACTATAATTGAAATGCAAAGTAAATTCTGCGATGTTTAGTCAAGCTTCATATTTGTTTGTCTCGATTTCTTAGGCAAATCCGCTTTCAGAGTCTGTTTATTCTTCGAGACATAAAAACTCTTATCTGTTATCGTTGGACTCTATACTTTTTTCGTTCCCATCCTTCATTTAATCATTACGTGTTCACACTTGCATTTACTTGAATCTTCCATTAAAGCTAAAGTGGGTAACACATCGTCACAAAATTAACTGAACAGAGGTACTGCCAACGAATGAAAAATTCCCAGTGCTCTGTCTACCCGGTATTGTCGATAACTAGTAGTCGACATAAAGCTACTGTTGTCGGAAATTTCTAATGTCTAAAATTAACATCGTAATTATATCTACAGTTACAGCCTGGCAGACACACAACACACGGCGATACGAACATCCGCCGTTTCAACAGATCCGATTGATTCTTTTTTACTTCTACGACCATAGCGTACGTTTCTGTGCTCCTTATACTGCACTCGTACATACTACAGACCGATCTTTCACTTTTGCACCGTTAAGGCTCAAGTTCTTAAATCACTTGACTACGTGGCAGGAATATGACCCCCACCGTTTCGAAGTAACGCAGAGGGTACGTATTTGAGATTGGAGTTTTCCAAGAGTGTAAAGACAACACTAATCATCTCCTCATTACAAATAGGAACGGCTACAAGTACCACAATTTTCTTCCCATATGTTCTATATGATTATTGTGGATGTTTGCGGCTTGTACTGGAAAATCGTTCCGCGTCCAATGGATACAAACTGAACCTGAAATTTCCTCACATTTATGTATCTCGTTTTAGCGCTTTTGCAAATGGTAATTAGATAAGTAAATAATAATCACAATTGACTTTGGTATGCGATGCGTAACATTTCATAAACGGGTTGAATCGAACGGGTAGCTGCGTTGGGGATGAGTTAGCGGGTGGTTACAAGCTAAAGTGGAGCAAATCGGTGCCATTTGGCTGCATTAGGGTAGATAGACGGGTATTTGTGACAGCCTAGTGAGTAACGTATTTGCCTGCTGCTAATCTTAGGGACACGTTGTGCCCCAAGCTCGAACCTAAAGAGGCTTTAGTCCCTGTAGAATGCCTAACGATGATATAGGACGTAAAAAACGTCGTAAGGAAAATAGAGGATCAATAAACGGAAAATCGGGCTCGACATCGCATCCCTCTGATACGGGTTTGTCGGCAGTATAAAAGCATGAGACCTTCCGCAGTCTTGAGTCTGCTAAATATGGTTCGCCAATTTCAGAACGGGACTTTTGTTTATTTGATCTAATCGTCAATACAGACTGGCCGGTAAACAACGTTGTTTGTAGCGGATACCTTCAAGTATAATATTCTGACTGGTTCTTGAAAAGAATGCGAAAGACATGGTTTGGCTCGTTCCTATAATATAGTAAAATTGTTTAAGTCTACGTGCTTTGATTGTTTATCAAGTGCTCTTTTTTCAAATAGTAAATTAAGGACAATATCTAAGGTGTTCCTAATATAGCATCAGGCTTATTTTTCCAGTTCTTAGATAGCTTAAACCTCTAGCTGAAAAAGCCAAGAGTTCTTGATTCGGGTCCCGCCAATGAAATATACGACAAACAGGATTAAACAAATCTATTGTTTTCGACTATAAGAAAGGAACATGTACTACTACGATCTACAAATATTACATTGATTCTATGGCCCCAAAGCGCGAAACACCGAATCCTTTATTCTGAGTTGGAATGACCAATCCGCACCACTTGTTAACTCATCATTTATCAAGTACAGATTCTTTACTGTATATCGAAGTTACGTAATTTCATTCCATTTTTATTACGCGAACAATTCGCAGTATTCAGCTGTAACTATGATTCCCTCCGCCGCTAAGGGCGTAAACATGATTTCAAACATACGTAAACATCACAACTACCGTCAGCATTTGACATAATAATTATAATAACAAAAAATAGAAGATTGCCACAACCAAGCAGGGGCCGTTTAAGCGTCTACTACGTGCGTTGATTTCCCCTTCGCAACGCCAATTTTAGAAATTGTTTTTCCCGCCACCGTCCTAGCTGGTCCTGTGGACAAGCCGTCCTGATGGACAGTCCGCTCAAACCAACGCTATGTGTAGTCACCTACCGATGATTCTACTAGTATAGATGCAATGACAGGTTCTTAGTCTTTATCTTAAATCGTTTACGGGGTGCAGTTACGTTTTTAAGCTGAGGAACCAATTCGTCACCAAGCGAAGCTTCGGTTTGGCACGTGAGCTACGCGTTCTTCTACAAATGTTTATTTCGGAGCTTTGCATGCATGCAAGTATGTATGTCTGACTTCGCTTTACGTGGCTTCGGTCTTTCTGGCAAGTCGACTCATTTGGCCTAGACGAGCCCATCTTACGAGCACCGATGGTGGCTCGTAAGATGGGCTAAGGCGCGAAACTCCATATAAAGGACCTATTTGGAAAAGACCAACAACCGAATATACACGGCCTGTCACGATTTTGCAAGGTTGGTCGGGCCCCCGACTATGCTGCTAATGCGAATGGTTTTGAGGGCTAGGCAAAAGTCCTTAGTGGTTCTGTGATCGAGTCAAATATACGAGATAAGGCTGCGTACGAATTACGTCATTGAACGCAATAGGATATACACAAGCAAGAATTGGCGACGAAACGGTCGCTTCCTCAGCGATAGTAACGAAGGAGGCCAAGGTGTCTAAGAAGATGACAATATTTTTCGTCGACATTTTGGAGTGATCCGCCGTTACCAATCAGGGCATACCACGTGACTCATCAACAGATGAATAATCATGTAAGATTTTACGGCCGTATCAAAATAAAAATTGTATTAACTGTACTATTGATACAGAGAATCTGCTTCGGTTAGCTAGTAAACGCAATTTACCGCCGCCATAGTCAGTACCTTGGGCTCAACATGAAAGTCCGCGAGACTTACACAAGTGAAACCCGGCTTACAAAGTTTTGAAGCATGCATAGAAAAGTACGAAGCACGGTCGCTTTACTTTGACAATAAATTATAGTATCATCCTGTGCAGACGCAAACATGCCCAGAGCTATTTACGGGTCGGGGCAAACATTTCCAAGCAGCTTGAAAAGTTCATTTGACGGTCCATGAGTTTTACTATTATTACTACCCTTATTTTTACTAGATTTTTATTTTCCTGCTACTTTAGCATATATTAAGTAAAGGTTGTGAAACTGTCCTCTTTTCTCGAACCGGTGAGATACTTTCGCCCGCGTGTATTTTATCATTGTCGTAGATTATATACGGTAGACATTTAACGAAGTCCAATTTAATTATAAGCTCAGGATTCTGTTTTTCAACCATACTGATATACGGCAAGTTAAGAAGCCCATGAGCATTTCGCGAATCTACGGCCGCTTGAGTAATTGGTCTGGCTTGTTGGACAGTGTCCTGTAACCTCCGCTATAGGGCGGCGACAACGTCTCGATAAAGCAGTACGACATCAATGTCAAGCAGACAACATCAAGGGCAGATAAATCAGCAACAGCATCATGACAGTTCTCATTTACTGAGGGGAAAAAGGCACCGTGGCCTTGTCAAGGTACTCCTTTGTAAAAATCCTCGTCAAAGTATAACAGCCATATGCTTAGACAATAGGCAGCTATTTCAACACTACAATAAATGAGGGAACTCTTTTTTTTTTTTTATAAATGGCCTTGCGGTACGAAAACATACGAAACGTTGGTGTGTGTTCGTGGTCTATAGTGGTTTGCATTTATGGCGGCCCGCTTTTAAAATACCCTGTAGCCGCACATAGGTGAACGACGCTTTGCAGGCGCCCAGATGCACCACAATTAACGAAAAGCCTGTGGCAGCGGTCACGGCCCACACGTCTCGAACAATAATTGTCACTGTTGTTCTTGTTGCACCTATGGTGGCCGGCGGCGAGAAAGCGATGCAACTGCCAGAATATTATATCGTTCCGACCGATATTCGAGACCCTTCCGGCTGACTGTTTGGGTGTTCTAGCTTGAAATCCGTCGTGTGCCAGTCGCTTTCCGACGCCGTTTCCCGGTTCTTGAAAAGCACACATACATACTTCTGATCTGTCGAGCGTTCTCGTTTTGTCCATTTCTAATTTCCTTTGTTTTCGTTGCGTGCTTGCTCCAGGTCGTCGTTATCGGCATGCGCAGATGATTATCGTACTTGTCTAAACATTACGCGATGATGGTAACCGCGCCAGTGCGGAGATATTGACGTGAGTGGCGGCTGCGAAGCTTTTTACTTCGCCCACGTACTTCGCTGTGTGGGTTGATAATAATAGCAGAATCAGAAACCTTCTATATTGCAACGGCGTTTAGTTATTGTGTTGAGATGTGAGTACTGGTGATATTCAATTTAAGGGTACGGAGGCCCACTCCTAGTAGGCCTAGCCGAACTAGTTCGTTTGTCCTAATTTTTGGCACTTTTTCGTTTAACAACACAACAATAATTAGAAATGACGGAACCTCGGTGCTTTTGCAGCCATGATAAACTGCGGTTACATTGCATTACGTGTATATGGTCGAGTTTTCAGTGGATTGATATGGCATGTCTACTTCTTGTTTAATGTAAACATGATTAATCTTAAGCTTTTCGGTAATGGCTAAAAGCTTTCAAGGTTGATACCTCTACAATATATAATAGCAGTAAGGTAGGGCGCTCATTTCAAATATATGTAAAGCAGAATGTGTGGTGGTATTCAGTACTCTGATTAAGCGTATCATTCAAAACAACAACAACCTGGATTATTCAAAAATATCACTGAAGTTTTGAAAACCAAGTCCAAAACCATATAGTCATGAGTTCGGCGCCCTACCAACTTCATCAGCATACTCAAAACCGTAGATGTTATTTAGGTAATTTTCACGGAAAATTTTTGACACGCTTCATTGTGTTAGCAGACGTTTAATAACATGCCATATGGTTCGAGCGTTGCTTTCGGCATAGGCGCAAGGCTAAATCAGTATGGAAATAAATAAGTATTCCAAATTTGAGCTGCTGTAAACTCTTTGTGCGTCATAGCCATACATTTTCCATATATGAAAGTCTATTTGAGTCAACTTTATTTAGCTAAAGCAAAGGTCAACTCTAGCACTTTGTCAGCTCGCCGTTTCTTGTCCTCCAATTTAACTCAAGGTGCACTTAAGTTCTTCAACTAGGTACTCGTAATAGTTCGCTGTTAGTACAAAGCTTATGGTTCCTTGGGTTTCCTCATACAATGGGCGCACAATTAAATAGTGAACAAAGTACCACTATCCACCAGTTGGCGCCATCTTATCTACTGGTTAGCATGCTGCTTTGGTTCTGTAAAAGCAGTGAAATGGTTCACGGACAAGTAGACTTTTCAGCCAAAATGGCTGAAAGCCACCGATGCTTAGCTAACGGAAAGCGACGTATTAGGCGTTTGTTATTATAGTTACGTAATGATCATCTGCAACACAGTTCATTGTGCGTCGAAGGTATAATACAACCATGAAGCTTCATGTCTCTTGCTATGGTAGGACGACCTTGCTGTTAGTCTATTTAACTGATAGGCTAAAAGACTGAATAAGTTAGGAGTTAAATTGTGGTTTCTCTTGTATTTCAAGCTATAATAGGTCAGAGCAGGCCAGGGCAGGTCACCTGTCACGAAACCGGCGGCCAACCATACGGCCATCAGCTAAGGGCTTAATGCAGGCCGTATTAGGCTCCCTCAAATGCCACTGAAAACTAATGCTACGTATGTCGTAGACAATGTATCTGATAATGCTGGTGGGTCATAGAAAGGTAAAGTATTAGAAAAATTTGCTTGGAATACAGTCTCGTCCAAATCAGATTAGTTTGGTGGTTAGATAAATACGGGAATGGGCTTTTAAAAGATATTGACGTAATATACGTATATAGGATGTTGTGTCACAACACCCCAGTTGAGCTGAATCTTCGCTTTCACATTAACTTTGCGCCTTAAATCTCGGCGTCTCATGAGGTTCTGTTGATGCAAAACTTATAAATCATGAGACAGACAATAATGATGCGATGTGATTTGTGTTTTTTTGTCAAGCAGACAGACTATATATACAAATACGGCACACTTTTTTTATACTTCTTTTGTTTGTATGATTACCCATGTGAACTTCGTTGTCTCGTGCAATGGAACGTCGATAGATGGGGAAACTTTATAGAGCAGCTCAGTCTTCAGACGAAAAGTTTCAAAGCGACTTGTAATAACAGTGGAATGACGAGAACACCTCTGTACTAATTTGTGAGTGTCGTGGACCGTCGCTGACAACTCTAACAAAACAATTTTGCGCACCTTCAGGTGGAACAGGCCGTTCATTCGGCGCGTTCGAAGTAGCCGACTAAGAGAAGGGTAGAAGTGACTCACTGCCGAACCAGGTCAGGTTTATTTAGGAAGAACTAGAAAACGTCTCATGCTCGAAAAGTCCTATGCTATTGCTTGGAACCATGAAACGCCAGTGTATCGCCAATTAATACGTGGAAAGTTCATTATCATCCAGAAATGGTACATGCACATAGCCACATACTGCTACCGCTAAAATGAGGATGACAACGGCGAGGTCTGTACGAGTAAATTCACCGTGTCGCTTTTTTGGAAAAGTATATTCGTCTTGTGACCCCAATGTCGACTACCATATTTTAGTAGATCATCATCAATCGTCGTCTTGAACGTCGTCACGATAGTACAGCCGACGACACTGGCGATAACCGACTAACATTTGTTCGCAGTAACTAATTTAAAGAAAACCGAACCGCTGGCCGCCATTGTTGACCATTCTGCCGATCGTACTGAAGTGGTCACTCGTGACCATCAACCGATTGGCGCTCTTCTCGTGTTCGTGACCCTTCATTCATTAAAGATAGCCACATCACCTGCGATAACGAATCACAGGACCATCCAACTGCCGCGGCAGATACTGCTGATGTTGAAGGTCGATAAGGCCTCCTACTGGAAGGCGGCGCAAGGACGGCCGCAATAAACTAACGCTTGCGTCTGTTTAACTAATTATACGTTCAATGCTTCGGGTCCGCGTTTGTCTGAAGGCGTTAGGTGGCGGGCTTTCTGCCAGCGGAAAAATTGACGCCACTCAGAATGGCATAGTTTACTGACGAATCTCTAGCGAGCTCGGGTCAGACTGAGGACGGTGTTTACCACGCGTAAATAAATTTCGGAAACTCTGCAGCGTGCAGCTACACAGATAAACTGGGATCCTTTTGCCGCCCCCTTCTACAGCTCCCAAGAATAGCATGGAACAATTGCATGATTGGCCATTTTGAATTGATGGTCATCACTGCTGAACTGCGCGACTGGATCGTCGGCTGGAACAGGTCGTTATAGGTTTTAGGTATGGAATTAATTGGGTACATGATCCTGGAAGGCTAGTAAAAAATCAAGGAGCGAATCAGATGCTCTCGACGTAGAGATCGCCATTGTGCGGGCGGATCGGATTATTAAAACGTCTTTACGGAGAACAGACCGACAGCGAAGGACGAATAAGACCTTTCAGCTAACATATTTCTTCTATAAAGTTTAAATTAAAGGCATTATTTATAAATTGTCACCAACGAAACGTTGGATTTGTTGCATCATCGGCTATAATAATGCAATAGAGCACATTTACCTCCTACCAAGCGAATCGTTCATGTAGGCTAAGATGTGCTTGAAACATACATATAATGTTCTAATTGTGCCAATGCGCAGAAGTGAAATTAATAGCAGATTGATTGTTGGTCGCTTTTATTTGAGTCGTTTGGCCTTAAGAAAATTTAAGGCCAAATACTCGCGTCTAACTTAGCCAATTTTACCATCGTTGTCTAGCTTCTAAGCAAGTTTTCTTCGAACTACCCCAATATTTACATCAATTATACGCCAGATAATGTTACTGGATACGTGCTAATGATGATGTACATAATTAAAGTATATCATTACGTATACGTAGGCTATGTACACGTCTAGACGTTAATGTGCCATTAGAAATAGCTTTCGAGGGCGGTAGCAACGTGCGTCATATGAACCGCTTGTTATCAGTCGAGCTGCGATCATCGATTAATATAAACATGGTTATTTAGAACTAAAACGAGTTCGCATAATCGATAGGTAACTTTATTGTGGTCACTGATGCGGCGAGTACGCCCACTAAGGATCTAGCGATCTTTCTCCACTTGAGACTCTTTACCCAAGATGGGCGTCATCAAGCGTCAGTGAGACAAGCGACGAACCTGAATTCGGATAAAGGATTAGATGGACGTATTGCAGGCAATCAGAACTCACGAGATGAGTCCTATTGTGGTCGGAATTGTGAAATGTACTTATCGAAAAGGAACGCGTCCATCATTGAGCGACTCGCGGGAAATTCAAGGTAACGTGCTGTAAATCGTGCCTTAATATTATAGTCGCTAAATTCTGCCATATTAGATGCGTCGAAGTGCTGAAACAACTTGACACTTGAAAATATATGTGTAGACGGGGATTCGTCATATTCAGATACATTCAGACAAACATTGTACGATAGTTTTATCTAATTCCGGCGACTAAACGCAGCGCCCAGTGTACATCTATATTAGGATGGTCCACAATGACAATATTTGTATTTTGGTACTTTGTTAGCGTTGAGAGTATCAATTCAAAATGATGTCCATAATTCACATGAGGGAATTTAGTCGTACTTCTGAGGTACTATCGTTTCCATCGTAAAATTTTCACCATGACAGGATCGAAGTCAGTCACTAAGGGGGTAAAAAAACGTCGTTTTTTTCAACCGAAGTCCATCTCAGGCTCCACAAGTCTGTCTGCGGAAAAAAAAAAGCTAGAAATTAATCCCATCATAATGAGAGTGTGGCTAGTTCGACCAATTTCAGTGAACTAGATCCGCGCTGACTTACTTTAGTAGGAAGCTGGTGATTTTTCTACGGTTTATCTTAGTTGTTAGGCAACTTATACATAGCCATACATATTATGCGCCTATATAGCGAACTAAATCTTCTACGACAAATGAGCCTTTGCATCGGAATAAACGACGATTGCCTAACAATCAGTACGCGTCCAGTGGCCAACACGTTTAGGAAATACGTCGATAGCCGTTTGAACCCAAGCGCTACGAAGCTATTACGGCACGAAACAGACGCGCTCGACGAAACGCGCGTACAGGCGTATAAAGGACGATACGCGTTAGACATTAGCTCTTCGGGCAGGGACTCTTCTATAAGTTCATCATGCCATTATGATTATATTTATCATTCGTGTACTTTTGTTGTTTTAGTGTGCTGTTATGTTGTATGTCCTCATGTTAAGGCATTTCCGTCGTTCTCGTTGGAGTATGTTCTTCAGTACACTGGATTACTCACGGTACCGCCACACTTTGCGCAGCTACCGGCTAGGACCACCTTCATCTTTCACCTAAATACAATGCTGTTTTAATGCAAATCATCACAGAGCGATAGAATATCAAATAGACAGGTAAGAAGAAAAGCCGTAGCGGAAGAACAACTTCGTATTAACCATTGTTTTCTTCGTAATAGTTACAATTGTTCCAGTCGCGCGTTGCCGGATCCGTCACGATTGAATCACAACACGTTTGTATTAATTTCGTGTGTCCACGAAAAATGCGTCACATAAGATAACGTGGAAAGTCAAGACGCGTAAAGGCGACGACAAAGACAGAGATGCTCTACTGCTGAAGCGAAAGCGTCAAACAGGCCGCACAATGACTCAAACTGCCTGTTTACGAGAACGACGTTTCTCTCTCTACGCAACACGTATTCTGTAGTTCATAGTGGGAGCTTGTGCCGAAAATTACGTTTCTATTTCTCATTTGTTTCGTATGTTTTATTTCTATCTTATCCAGACTTCCAACAGTTATCTGGGGACGTACGGGGCGCGGTTCGTACCAGAGAGTATTCACGTTTTGATATGATCAACATAGGGCAGTTTCGGTTTTTGCAGACGTTTGAACGTAGCGCGCTTACTCACTTCACTATAATAGAAAGAAAAAAACAGAGATGTTTAAATGTACTCAAATTTTGGGGGTGTAGAAATACGTTTAAGGTGGTCAAAGGAGGCATCGTAATTTCTTGACGATTAATACCGCCTGTGGGCCGTCGAGAAATAATAATGTTCGATGCTGGAAAGCTCAACTTTTCTACAATTCTAGAACATTTTAGCTTCGATCTGATTAACCAATTTTTAGCTTATAATTTCAGTCAAATTACTATTTTTGATTTGCTCTCGTTGCAGAAGTGCTTTGAAATAGTTTGCCGGTCAATTGGCATCTTATGTCAGCGAGATTTTTTCTGTTGACTTAAATAAATAAACAGCTTCCCGACAGTTCGAAGGTTTTTCTGCAGTAAACTCTCGATCGACAGACATAAAACGAAGACTTCTTTGGCCGTCGGATGATTTTCTATCATATTTTTAAGAGAGTGTTGCTTAACACTGTATATTTACATTTATTTACACATTTTAGCAGTTCCGATTGAAATTTAATGTCTAGGTATAACGAACTAGTTCAGGATCGTACTTCACGAATAGAGGTATTTGCTTGTCGGTAAAATTGTCTTAGGAGAGCTGTGAAAGGGATGGAAAAATACGAACACCGTTACTTCGCTTGCTTTGATGAGATATCGAAGAAGTAAAGAAGACACAATGGACAGATAATGAAAGAGGCGTTATGGCCAGTATGTGTCATCACTATAAGGCTGTTTGTCTGCTCAAAATAATATATCCAATTCGGTTTGTAATCACTAGCGGGGACCGGGGATCATAATGAAGACATTCACGGATATTTCATCGCCATACATTTATGTAAATATACGATAAATATATATATACGCAGCATATTTGGTTTTGTTAGCCCTGGCCTTATACTATTATACCAGAGACAGGCGATATGCGACTCCGGTGGAACGTATAGGCAAGCATTCCCAGAAAGGTTTGCTGAAAGGTTTGCAGAAAAATGTTCACTGGTGCCGAGAGTATTTCGAAAGGTACTCGGTTGATGTAAGCTTCGTTTTATTTGTAGATTATATAATTTCATACAGAGAATACGATTAGTTAGTTTTTGGGTAGGACAAATTGAACGTCGAAGTTTTAAGTGATGATTGGCTGGCTTGTGACAGGCCTCGTTCGAAAAGAAACGTTTTCAATGAAGATTAGGAAAAATGGACCAAGCCTCACTCATGCACTGCGGTAAGGAAAACATCATTACTGTAATCATTTGTGCTTAAGCGTAACTTCAAGTTAGACAGTGAACGAATTAACGCATACGAGCGTAACTACCTTTCAACGCCAGTGCCCTTCGGTAGGTAATATTTTCTGTGCCATGGTAAAAACTGGCTCTGGTTTGATGGGGTTCAGACTGATAAAATGCTGGCCATATGTGGCCATTGACACGAAAAATGCTCTAATAACTTTCTGTACTCGTCAAGTCCTGTAGTCACACAAAAAGGGCGATTTTGTCCTGTCGTTTTGACAGCTAGGAGGGGCGTCAAAAACGGCCCCTGTCTGTTTTACAAATTGGCGGGTAAATTTCGAAAAGATGATAGAATTGCGCCTCATAGAGATGCCATCAAGAAATTAAGTGAATAAAATAAGTACAATGGGTCACCCATTATAGGAGTTCATTGATTTCTTGCCAGAATCATTGCTTACTAAAAACAAGCGGTGGCATTAAGTTTTTGTTTTAAAGAATTGTTGATTTGGTTTATTACCGCTTATTGCTATAGATCTAATTAGTTAGGTGGAAGCCATTGTTCAATAGGTGTCTATACCTCATGTATAGGGATGACGCAATTTGTGTGATTTCTAGAGTGCAAACTACGTCCGGCAGCGTATAGCAGTAAAGCGTAGCTACGCATACCTTTTTAAGGATAATAGCAACAATACGAGAGAAGCTAGGATCTAAAAAAGTACGGTGGTTTGCAGGAGAGAGGATGATTTGACGAAACCTATCTACCCAGGGACCTACTTCAACTACGTTATAGACCACTGGAAAATTTAAAAAAAAACATTTGTTAAATACCGAAAATGTGGCACAACTCGTCGTTTTATTGCCTGTGTGAATGGCAAGCAATGAAAAATTCGAAACCACAATAAATGTTTAATCGTATCAAGTAGTGAAAGCTTACGTTGAGTACAGAGCGTATATTTACGTATGTGATATATTAAGGACTTCACGAATAGAAACTTCTTTCTATGTCGCTAAGGAGAGGTACGAACTTGACTTTTACTGATATAGCAAAGCACGCATAGAGCATTGAATGAAACAATTCTAGTTATTGGTTTTTTTTTTTTTTTGCTATTATGAGTTCAGGTCTATAGGGTCGGTTGCGGCATAGGCTCGCGGTGGAAAATTTGAAACTACCCGAAATTCCGTTATACAATGGACCAAAACAGTACACCAGGTTATGAAAGAATTGTTAAGGTAAGCGAAAGCAAAGCAGGCAATCATCTTGTCTCGCACTCACGTTGCCTGAGCTCTTCCATTCGTTTCTTCTCGATAAACTTACTCCACAGACGTTCGAAATTGGACTGCATATTGTTGAGGGGTAGGTCTCTTTCCTTGTCGCGAGTGTCCTGACCGTCCAAGGAAACGTTCTGAGGAACTTCTTGTTCTCGGATCGTGTTGATTGCCCGTCGCTGAATTCGGACTGCCGAATCGACCGCGAGACCGCGACGAGAAGGAACGGAACGGTGATTGGTGAGCGTGAGGACAGAAATAAATGACGATTCATCAATCATATAGGGAAGAAATTACCCATTCGTAATAAACAAATGAAAACGATGGATGGCAATCACATCATCGATTCTACGTATCGATGAAAAACGTACGCAACTGTCAACCTTTGATAGTAACAAACTACATCAGGAATATATTTCTAAAACTGAGAAAACAATGTTTAAAACCAACGAAACGTTTGCTTATGGCCGATAAGCTCACGGCTCAACGGCCTAGAGCTGGAAGGGCGCGGGGTAGTAGATAAGTTGATCCCACTTTTCTTGATGTCAGCAAAATTCAATCAGAATCTTTAAGGTACTCTGGTGGTACTTAACCGTGGTGATTTAAGTAAGAAAGAGAATACTGGATATGCTGTACACACCTTTTTGATTGTACGATAACAATCGGCAGGTGTTGCGAAACACTGACTTTTCATAGCGCAACTGTGAAAAGTTAAAAAGTTCATGTGACTTTTGCCTCCAGACAAGGGCTTCCGCCCAACATGCTATTACACATCTGTTATGTGTTGTGCTAATTTTGATTTCACCTAAACACGGCCAACATAGGTAAATCTTAAAGCTATCTCCGATCTTTGCCAACGGTTACTACAAGATCCTTTTAGCAATAGCCTATTCCATCGATCATGTAAAACAGATATAATAAGTATGTGTGAACTGGGCTTTCTAAGATGATATAAAATCGGTTCAGACACGTATATCTATAGTTGGGCCACAGGAATGCATCCGCCTGAATTCCGCTTGTTGAGAGCACTACATCTCGAAATATAATAATATCACCACCGATACACAAACGAATCACGGTACACTTCCAATTAATTCCTGTTCTTCACTCGTCGCTTTTCAATGATCTGTTGCAAACTGCACCCCTACGGATAGAGGGCGCGGCCTTAACACAACAATACATCACTCAAATCTGCTCTGATTTGCTCCTCTATTAGTATTTTTTGTCGTTGATGCTGTTTATGCCATAGCTACGAATGATTATTTTCATTCTATTGGATATATGTACCCGACATGACCGCGTCGTGCGTTTGCAGTGAACGTTCCGTGGCACCAGTTGATTTGCGGAATCGGCAAGGGTTGTGAGGGCTCAGGGCGTGCAAATGCATTTCACGCCTGAAGCCACCCTCGCGCCGGTGGCTCTCGCCCAGAGTCACGATTTTTGACCAACCGAAACCGAACTGTACAAGCTGCCTCAATGTCTTAGGAGTCAGTGGCGGCGACGACAACAACAGCTGGCAAATACAAGGCAATTGCCAGTGACGGGACGACAATAATGGTCAGGTCGAGACACTATATATACCTAACGCGTGGCGGCTTAAGTATCCGCTAAGTTAGCTTGCGATTACTTAGGTGAAAGTAGGGTTTGGCGAGATGACATAGTTGTAAGGTGTCTGCTTATCTAAGTTAGCGTTACCAGGGAACCGGGAGTAGGGACACGGTTTGTGTTGTACTGACAGGAGGGGCCCGCCATCTAAAGCAATGCTTAAAAGCCGTAGTGCCAAACGTAGAGCTTGAAAAATCTGTCTTTTTAGAGTTCGACGTTAGATAATGGCACCAGTGATTGCCAAGGTATGAATCAATACGGCCGAGAAAAAAGTTCTAATTTTACAGACGAGAAAAAATTACTTGCTAGGGGTAATATTGAAAGGGTGGATGATTGTAAAATAGATAGATGAAGAGTCCTGGCGATAGCTTAGTGGGTAACGTATCTTTCTGCTAACCTTTGGGAGACGTTGTAGAAACACGAAGATTGGTTCGAACCCGGGCATAGACCCGTTTCGCTTCGTGCCGTCTAATGGAATGCCTAACGCCGATATCGGACGTAAAACACGAAACATAGAGAGATATATGCAGAATCCCACGAAGAAGATAGGACCCAAACAATGTGATAACATAGTAGTAGATTCTTTCGAATGGAATATCACTGATATACTATGATTATTGTAATGGGGAGCTTTCTTTGTGCCCTGCAGGATCTCAGGACTTTGATGGAATCAGAATGGATTTTCCGATGTGAGGTAACTATCAGCACTCTGCTGAAATGCGTACAGAGTGCACTAAGCAAATGACAGAAGAGCGCGAGCTATATCACTTTAGAAAGAAAGACAATCGTAAAAAAACGGCACGGATTGATCATTAGGTAATGGCGTCTTATGTTGCAGAGATGAAAAGCTAATGTTAATAACGAGGGCCGCGAAGTGACACTTCATGCATCTATGTATAAAATTGATTACTACATTGCTTCAATATGCGATAAAGTTGGTTCTTTAATAAACGGGCTCGAGAGGCTTCGTTCCTAGTACTAGTCGCCAGTTCATCAGAACCTTTCAGCGGAAAGCCCTGCTACCTGTAAGATAAACTAATTATTTATCTACGTAAACCCGGTTTCGATCATGAGAACTTCTTAGCGGGTCAATTACATACTTTGAAGTAACGCAGTAGGAGATCCAAGAAGGGTCACTAAGGAAGGACCAGCGCATTAATATCGAACACTGCGCCCACCTAACGGTAGACGCAACTTGTTCAGTCACCGTAGCTGCAAACAAACTCGAAATCGGTTTGAAGGTGGACCATTTTTGAATTAAATGTTTCTTGTTTTCAATGAAGTTTGAATCAAAACGTCCCAAATCAAAAAGATGATTGATATCTCAGCGGCGGTCATATATGCTATTGGATGTCTGGATATCTGACAATGTATTTTCTGAAAACGTTCTATACCTGTTCCTATACACAATAGTTCGAACTTTATCCCTTTTTTTTTGTGACATCTTAGTCATCATCATCAGAACTTTGTTTTTTAGATTATGATGATCCGTTCAGTTAAAATTGCGCTCCTACCAAACGTATAGCTAAGTTTGCATGTTTACAGTTTTGCCTTTGGATTCCATAAAATTTATCCGACAATGTATGATTTCAGTGTACAGCTGGTGCATTACAAAGACGGATGTAAATAAACTACAAATGATAAGAACATATCTAACAGTCGCTGTGTGTAAAAAGCACTGCCACGACTCTGGATGGCGCATTATATATATATTATTTGGCAAAACAACAAGTTCGTTGAAGGCAATATCAGCACCGACGCGCAGTTGGCCATTTTGTGTTTCACTAATAAATATTAATTACAATAAGTAAAGTGTTTTCCAAACAGATAACGCCGCAAGTTGACTTCGGTACGAAATTAATCGCCTGCTTAGAAATCGTTCAGCATTGTCTCTTCGGATCCGATCTTTTCCGGACCTCCTATGAAGGTCATCGCGGAGCGTCGTAACTCATTGCAGTACAACATCAGAAATAGCAATCGGCCACGGCCATACGCTCTATCAGCTGTCAATGGCGCTTACGTCGGGTACGTACTGTAGCATTTCGTCCATGGTATTGCCTTAGACTAGCGTCTACCATGTCCGCCAGAAATAATTAATATATATATTGCTATGGAAACAATTAGTAAGATATATATATATGAGCAAGTACAATGCACATAAATACGTGCAAATACGTATTTATATGCGATTTTTTACAGCACAACAGCGTCTTGTCGTATGTACTGTGACTTTGCGGACGCTGAATTTGTCGCTGCTATTTCTATAGTTGTCCTTTGTGGTTGTTTCCTGCAACTGGCCTGCGACTTTCGTTTACAATTCATATCTACCACAGCCAGAGTTCACCAAGTGAGATTTTACGCTTAACGATGTTGACGCGACGACACAATGGTCCGCCCGTCGCTAGCACGCATAAAAACGCGCGTGGTTCAAAGCGTGCGAAAACTACAAAAGTTCTTAATGCCTCAGCGGCACATCCTTGTGTGGTTAGAATATGATTTTTGTCAGTCTACCTCGAATTGCCCATGCAAAATTTACAACGCAGCGATCGCGCTCGTACGCCCATGCTTCTTATAACATACAATGGCGACTCATAACGAAAATATGAGCATTGGCATAAATCCTCTATTGCTGTATCGTTAAATTTTCCGTAACTGCCGGAAAGGCATCGGTCTGGTCAATGAGCGAACTAGCGCTCTACGGACACTAACGTTTACAGATGCACAATCAAATGCTATGATATACTATCATCAACTTAGAAATCTGCAGAATACGTAACAAAATAAAGACAGCACCGCCGTCTCCGCCAACGATGACGACGTCGCATTCGGAGTGCTATTATTCGGATGCAGTGGGCGATTTTTCTCTACGAGGTTTTTCCCACGTAGCTTCCCTATCCTGTAGGACGTAGCTCTCGAGATCCGGGCGGATCGAACATCATGTACCGTTTCAACAGTTTGTCCGACCGTCAACTGCGATCCACGGACTGCGCGGTTATGGGAGCACGCATGAACGCGGAAACGTAAATACATATGTGTGAATATTGCAAGAGTCTGGACGCTTTCTCTAATCTATTCTTCTATCTTCACGTCGGGTCCAATTCATACATAGTGAATAGTGAGTGGCGTCAGCCACTGTAGGCTGTATTGGTAGGGCTCGCGCACTGCGTGTGAATGCGAAGACTGAACACGACATCCTAGCTACATTCAAAGATAACTAAATGAAGGACTTGCCGCCGGTGTATTTCCCTTTGTTTGGATGTCATTTCAGTATTGGTCAGTAGTATGCTTAAGTTTCTCGTTGTTGGCTTATTTGAATGGTTCAGCTCAGTCCGGTCTGTTCAAAGCCCGTCTCGTCGCTGTTCTTCTTTTTCTCCGCCTTCTGGTCTTCTTTCACGGCATCTCATTTAAGAAGAGACTACGCTGGCTTGCGCGCAAATGCGAAACGTGTTTTGCGGGGGCGGCCCTCAAGGTATAGGCAGTTTCGCTAATGGTAGCGTTGATGTCAGCTTCTTCATAAGGGGCAACTCACTCCCCGAATAAAGTCTTGGTTTCTCGTGTCCTTGTCACACGATCGATATCACCGCAACAGGGCCACTGACAGCAACGACAGCAACAAGTGGCGGTAGCATTTGTCATTTTGAGTTCAACGATGACGGTAGACGGCGGAAGCTGTTTAGAAGAGCAGCGGATTGAAGATGGCGGAAGATATGAGGAGTGGGTAAGAGAGTCCGAGAAATTATAGATTGGCGTTTATGTAAAGGTACCCGCTGTTTAAATAGAGTCACTTACACAGGATCAGTAATAAACGCATGCAGCTAGCAATTGAGATAACGGGTACTGTACAACCTATAGACGTATATGTGATGCATCGATGAGGACTCACTTGGTTAACGGTGGAAGAGCAATAGAAAGGGATAGCTTCGACATGATAAATGCCCTGTGATCTACTTGGATATTGATGATTTAGGAGGACACAAAATGCAGGGGCTTACGTAGGCACTGAAGGAACGCGTTGATTTTAAATGTTTTTTTTTTTTTTTTTTTTTTTTTATTAGAAGAATTACATGCATTTCCGACGCAAGAAGACGTTGGGACAAAAAAATATCAGCAGTTCGGTAGAAAAATGTGTTTTTATAAGTTATATGAAATAGGTATGGTCATATACTCTAGTTCATAGCTTGTTAATCTCTAGACTCGATTTCTTTACAGACTTGTTACTTGGATTAGTATATAAAAAAAAAAAACATACTTTTGCAACACAACACCACAATCAAAGTATATTATCAATTATTACGCAGTTTATAGAAGCATTGACATAGATAAAGCAAGACTTGACATAGAAAGTATATATAATAAATAATCATTATTTCCAATTCAGATTCTACGGTCGGCTTTTTTTTGTGATTACTTACACAAATGATTTCTCATGATGTTATTAATTAACTTGGTTTTGTAAATTGGACTAGATGCGGTTTTATGATTGTTCCTACGACTAGAGTTTTTCATCAGCGGTAGCTCTCGACCCTGCAGTTCTCCAACACATTGGGTGTGCTTACACCCGCAAGTGTCTAACCACGATTATAACGAACATTATTTTAGTACAACATCAATTGATGACGTTGTCAAATAATTTTTTTGAGGTTAATTCAAGCCAGGTGCACGGGTCTGACGTTCGAAAATCTCACGCTTCATCAAAGACGTACCGCAATAGCGGGCATCCAACCGAAGTCGCTCTGTTCTCACACGTATCTATACGGAGCGGCAATTCCAGCGACTGGCGCAGGATACCTGGCTACTGGGGCATATGGCAGAGGGGCCGGACTCACGTGGGCCAAGGGCACAGGAGATACCTTGGCAAGCGGTGCAGAGGCTGCTAAAAGAGGTGTCGACACCGCTGGGACAGCGTATACTGCTGGAGCACCCGGAGGCCCCGGGGCTGGGAACACCCCGGCTGGCACCGCATGGTTGATATGGCTCTGGTAGGAGTATGAAGTAATGAGATTAGTGGGCACTGGAGCAGGGGCTGCTGCATATGCAACAGGTGGAGGCGCAGCCAGCGGGGCAAAATGGGCCGGTGCTCCTATTTTCGACGCAGGCGCAGCATAGGCTGGTGCTGCTGCAATAACCGGATGAAGAGGGGCTACCGGAGCCGCTAGAGCTGGAGGCGGAGGAAAAGCTGTTACGGCTTTGGCCACTCGTGGAACTGGAGACGCAGCTGGCCCATAGAGTAACGGCGCTCTCGGAACGAAGGGCGCGGCAGGATCGCCTGAAGCCAAGACGGTCACTGAAGTTACAGCGAAGCACACGAGAATATACGACAACATCGCAATGGTGAAGTTAGAAGAACGCGAACTCGCGAGAACAACGGTAAACGCTAGAGGCCAAAATAACGATGACAAAAATACTGCGACACCAAGAAAATTGAATGAGGAAAACACGCAGAACGACGCACGTTAAAATCGGGGTCGTCAGCGAAGCTTATATAGTGGCGGTTGTGTTCGTTGAAAATGGCTATGAAAGAAAACAGGGAAAAGGGGGAAGACGCTTTATATGTAAGGCGGGGAACAGGAGCAGCTAAAACCACTTGTTTTGCACGAACTTAGTTGTGCAACCGAAAACTATTCTAGCGGATTTCAGTAGCTATTAGGCATGATAGCGACTGGCGGGACAAGATCAGAACCAAGGGGACGCGTCTGATCTAAATCTTTAGCGGGGATGAGCTGAGAACGATAGTAAAGTAGAAGCCGTTTGCTTAGATTCTTCTTCATTGGAAAAAAACAGCGAAGACTAACAGCGAAGCACGGTTCAACGGCTTCTCGATCCATAAAGATGCTAAGCCTCATTGAAATTCATTGTTGGCTGATCTGTAGTCATATGAGACACACACGATTAGTCGGAGTGATGGTCGTGCCTCCGGTTGATTGACAGGTACATTTTGGCCAAATGGAACACGTAGTGAGATATCGTATCAAAAACAAGAGGCGCCCCATTCCTAACAGCCCAACGTCGTTTTTCCCGCCCGTCCATATTCAAAGCGAAAATTAGCGGTTGGACTATCCTAGAGCACATAAAGAAAAAAAGTCATGCTTACGGTGAGATATATACATAATTGTCCCATAAATATCGCGTAATTGTCTGCGCGATAGGAAGATTTAGATATTTTTCTAGTCTAAAGCTGCTGATACAAGAAGATATCGCCTTCACATTAGAAGAGGGCGAGACGTATAGTACGGCCAAAAAGGTAACTACTGCGCATCTGCTCATGTCAAACATGAGGCAGATGCACTAATTAGCGTTAAATTGTCATAGAGAAGATACCTATATTTCGGCGTTGCGCATTTTAAAAATGATATGATAATAATTTTAAATAAATACGTGAAGATGCTAGTAATCGTAGCTTGTAGAAATCCTTTTGGATCAGTTTCGTTCATCAAGGTAATAGTACGATTTGTCCATAGGCGCATTCGACGTCTTCTGTGTTAATGACATAAAATTTGTTGTTTCGGTCATCAAGGAATTGATGACTCATCCGGTTTAGGGCATGAGTTTCGGTTCGACTGTTGTCAGGAGAAGAAAGAAGACCTGTGCTCTTACCTTGACAAATTTATAAGAGGGACAAACATTAGGCTCCGTTTCTTCGAAAATGCATTGTTCGCGCCATGCAAAGGGCACTTTCTGAGACTTCAAATAAATATGCGAATGCGTTTTTAATTAAATATTACTATTTTAATATTAACATAATAATATCTTTGCGATTTTTTACTGTACAAAGGACGGAAATCTGTTATTTTAGCGCAATTAGCTCATAATTAAAGAGTTAAAATATATAGTCCGTTAATATTATATATATTGGCAGAAAGTATCTGTGCGGCGATTTTTTTAAATATTCTAAGAATGCGCTTTTATCTGCACACGCTTACTAGAATTTTTAGATGATATCATCCACTTTTAAAGGAAAAGCTCTATTTAGGTAATGGCATTAACTTAGACAACCTTCGTCGACCTGTATTTGCCACCTGCTTTAGACTCTGTAAACTCAAAATCAAAGGAACCATTTGATGCGGAACGAACGAAGTTTGTGCGCGTTCACCTATCGATCCTTTTTGTTTGATTAAATTATTTTTCACATTGATACACTTATGATATTTTGCAGTTTATTAATGAAACGTAATAACTCCGTCCTACTTTGCAGGTTGCTTTTTTCCGGATCTAATAATGAACACGTTTTTTTTTTTTAATGAAATATAATGATTACGTTAAAAATCTAATGAATACTACTATAAAATCCAGAGCTGCATATTAATTCATTTGAGGTACAATAGCAATACTAGCGTTTCGTTTACCAGCTAGACTTATGCCTACACCTATCTAACCTTCGAAATGGAATTAAAACAAGAACTCAGAATGTTGTTGCTATTACCTGTAAGAATGAGGTCAACAGCTGTTTTGATTCAGTCTTTGATTTCTTCATTAACTGCTGCCTCAGAAACCTATCCTTGCAGGCAATAGCGTGGGTAAATTTCTGTTCTGACTGGCGATAACTGCGTTCATCCGCAACACTTCAGGTCAGGTGCGACCACGACATGACTTTGCCATGCATTGAAGTACAAAATAGATCTAGACAGATGGCCAGAGCCACCAGGTCTCATTATTATAACAGAAACGCTGAACGTAAATTCAGTTATTCGACGTTTGCTATTTCTGTAAGGGACATACATATACGATGCCGAAACGGTGCTTGTTTTCAGTGTTTGATGTATTACAAGGATCAATACGTGAACCGTTTTCAGTTCTGAGCGGCCAGCAGTATTTGTACACATTGCGAAAATGACTAGGAATAAGAACTAAAAAAAGAAAAAAAAAAAAAAAGAAGCTGTAATATTTACCGTTCGGCTAATAAAGTCGTTCTAAGTGTGTTTGCAGATAATAGCTCCCCCAGCTGTTTTTGTTTGTCCAATCAGCAGCGCCCCCTGGCGTGCAGTGAAGTGCACATAAATGCGTAACAAGCATTTATGTGCACTTTACTAGGTGTTATCATTTACTAGCTATAAAAGGGCACATAACAACCTTGGACCTGCTAATTTTACTTTACAAATAAGGTGGTGTTTGTAGTTGTTTTTTTCCCAAAGAATCCGGCTCACGTGACATAGCTTCAATTATTTTTCCTTTTCCCAATTTTTCTTAGGGGTTTTCCAAAAAAAAAAAAAACTATACTACTTCTGAAAAAGCAGCGGAGACTTGATAGCATATCTATAAAAATTGTTGTTAAATTGGTGTTTGAAAAAAATATTGTTGAATCGAAAGGCAAATTGCTAAGTCATATAGCCTTAATATAATAATTTTTTAAAAATCTAATAAAAATAGAAGTCAAAACTTCAAGCTTAATAGTAACTAACTGCCTCTTAATCTTTTTTGGTACGAAATTACTCATATATATATATAACGCAAAATAGGTTTCCATTCAACTGCGTCGTTGTTGGCTGTCCATAAGGGCTTCAGACATGAACGTGATCCCTCCCATCTTGTAGAATAAACAAAAAAGCTAAGTATCAACAGAAAGGTCTTAACATATGGTTGTATAGATTTGCGTACAAAGATGTTTACTTTGCTATTTTCCGTAGTTCTTTGTTTAAGCTTCGGTTAAAGCCGAACCCCGCAATGTCATGCATTGATCCACGATTTTTTGTATCGTATTGTCGACAAGGGTTGGCAGGCACTTCTTGTAACGGCTGTTTTCCGTTTTGAACTAGCCATATTGTAGCTTCTTCAGCCGTTCCATCAATTAATTTCTTTCATAGTAATGATTTGTCTATTGCGAAGTAAATGAATTTCAATTATCTAACGCTATAAAAATCAAGGATTTCATTGTTGTACCGAGGTTGCCTGTAGTATCACCTGTAACAACAGTTCATAAACATTATTATATAATAGGAAATAACGGTTTTGTTATCGTTAACGCTATCGTATGGTTACGGATGGCCTTTTCATAAAAGCTACAATACATTAAAATTGCGATCAGGTTTAATCAGGTTGAAATCAGGGTTGATCAGGTTGAAAATATAACGAATATAATAGCTAATACA